ATCTAATCTATCTATCTAATCTATCGATCGATCTATCTATCTATCTATCTATCTAACTATCTGTCTATATATTTATCTCTCTAACTATCTATTTATTTGTCTTTGCCTTTGTCTGTCTATCTATCGCTCCATCCATCCATCCATCCATCCATCCATCCATCCATCCATCCATCCATCCATCCATCCATCCATCCATCCATCCATCCATCCATCCATCCATCCATCCATCCATCCATCCATCCATCCATCCATCCATCCATCCATCCATCCATCTCTGCATTTGTTCTACTTATCTGTCCATCCATATATATATATATATATATCTCTCTCTCTCTCAATTCAACTATCTATCCATCTGTCTGTTTATCTATTTATCCTTCTATCTATACCTAACCTTGCGAAAGTGCTGCGCCCGCCACGAAATCGGTACTGGATCTTGTGAAAGTGTTGCGCCACGAAATCTATACCTGACCTTGCAAACGTGCTGGCGAAAGTGCGGCGCCTGCCACGAAATCTGCACCTGCCTTGCGAAAGTGCTGCGCCTGCCACAAAATCTGTACCTGACCTTGAGAACAGAGCTTTTTTCAAAGGTGGGGATCACTCCACCAACATGTTCAGATGTTGACCACCCTCATGTGTCATTCTTTGGGGAACAAATCCAGGAGGATGGTGGCAGTACCTGCCGGCCCTGGCGGCTGATCCAAAAACGCATTCGCCCGGCTTGCTGTCGTATACTTGTGTCAAAAGCCTTAAGCAGCAGCTTGCAGGGTGCCACTAGGTCAGCCGATTTTTGAGATAGGCACCTTAGTTGGTACTTGGGACCACGAGCCTACGCATGTATAAGTTGGACTGCTAGACATCCAGTCCTTGCTGTGGCCCTTGAGCCAGCATCTTTGTTTGTTTTGAGGCACGGCACTCTTTAACGGTTGGCTTAAAGAGAAGCAATTGGAACACGACATCCATGTTTGGGGCCCAGATCCTTTTTCAGGCACATGTCAGCTTACACTTCCAAGGTAGCTTTATATTCGATTCTTCTGAGCAAGGTCTGATATACATATGAGATTCCTACATCCCGACCCGGCGACCAAACATGCAAGCTGCAGCTCGGGCGAATACATCTGCTGTGGCTGACTTTGATCATCCGTAGTAGCGTGCGATTGCAAAGAACTCTGATCCCAGCGGGTCGATGGCGTAGAATGACCAGAAGCCTTCTCATCCCGGGTCTCTGACATGACATTCGGGGAGGGGGGATATCGAGGCCTGGAATTCATTTATGGCAACCCGTTTTCCCTGGTTGAGGACCACAAGCCACCCCCCTCCCCCCAAAGAAAGGGGGATTCTTCTCCAAGACTCGTGCCTCACTGTGGATGAAGTCAGAAAACCACCTGCGAAACCCTGGAATACCTGTTTCCCCCATGGTTTCCTTACCCGTGGTGCGAGAAGCAAATGGAAAAACCGATGTCTTCCAACTCCACAGGGCTTCAGCTAGGCTAAACCTAGTTGGTTTGGAGAACATTTGGTCCCTTCCACGCCCTGCAAGAAAAGGCGACCAACAAGTTTGGTGCTTGGAACCCGGGTGCTTGAAAAACACAGCCCTTGAAGGGGGTTCAAATGAAAAGGGGGCTCTTGGCAAATGCCGACATTCTTACAAGACCTTTCTCGCTATGAGTGCGAGAAAGGTTTTCGACCGCCAAGGTGAAGAAAAAAAAGAGCGTGGTTTTTGGAGGGGGCCATTTTCTTGGCAGTGCTCCCAACGAGAGAGTTGGGGGGAAACATTTGCATCCCTCTCATTGGTGGTACCCCCTACGCCCAATACCCACTTTTTTCAGGGTATGATGTCGGCCCTCTACTAAAAAAGGAGGTATTTACCAACCAGGTTTTCCCAAACATACCCTGAAACAAAGCGGGTATTTGGACTAGGGGGTATGGATTGGTGGCTTCGAGATTTGAAGCCCTGGGCTTTGTAGAGGGTAAATCGGGCAGAAGTTTCTCCGTTTCTTGGGAAGGATCTCGCGCGATCTCGCCATCTACTCCTGAGATCAGAGTTAAAGAGTAGTTCGAGTTTTGACTGGGCCTCTCAGCTGGGCGTGTTCTCGGTTTTGCCGGGGGGGGTGGCGCCTTCTGTGATAGCAGGGGGCCTCCCCTTTGGAGAATTCGTCATGTGGGAAAAGCCTTTCATTGAATCTTCCATATGCTGAAAGGAGTGTGGTTTTGTTGATTTCCCCTTGGTGTTTAAGGAGCATCGATTTCATGACTGAGCATTCTCCGATCTTTTCCCGGGGGATGGAAGATTGGCATCCAAGAAGTGGACAGTTGCAGTTACCTGCGACTACCGACGGCCCAGCTTGAGCAGCCCAGCTTCTTCGTTTGTTTTTTTTTGCGGCTGGCGGGACTTGGAGGCTGCAAGAAGCGCAAAAATCTTCCATACGGGCCCCCGAGACCACACCTCAGCCCCGTCTTTATGATGTCAACCCTTTACAAAACAATATATTCCGAACAAACCAGGGGTGTGAAATAATTCACTCAACAAAAACGGACATTTGGAGTAGGGGGTCGTAGCAAGCAATAAGGTTGGACTTTCGCAAATCCACTCAGGAGCAATCCCTGTCGCTCATGTGTTTGTTGATGGCGTGCAATTGCCGCCCCTTATGTGGTTGGGGGTATTTTCCATGGCAGGCATTGTTATGATGAATCAGGTGTCTGAACCATTTCCTTGACCCGGCTTCCAGGTCTGACAACCGGATAAGACACCCCACCCTCCCCTGGTTCCCTTGGCCTAAATAAGGCCGTGGGCAAGAGCGAGCCTGGGGTGGGGAAGAGGGAATTCTTGGATGGGATTTCTCGCCAGGTGCGAAACCTCGCCGGCATTTGCCGCGGTTTACCGCACACCGCACACCGCACGCCGCACGTATCTGCTCGTTTTTCTCCTGACCTGGGATGGCAACACCTGGTTTGCCCATCTCCCGGCCATCCGCTGTTGTGGATGCATAAGGGTGTGTCTTTTTTGGAGGGTGCCCTTGCTGGGGTGGTGTACAGGAAGGGGCCAAAAGGAAATCACCCACCTTCGTCAGTGGGGGGGAGGGGGGGTTCCCGAAAAAAAAAAAGGACACACCTGCATGAAGGCTACGAGTCGTACTGAGTCGAGCTTGGCGTGGTTTTTTGTTGCTCCCCGACGGGCCAACTCATGAAGCTGGGTTTTGGACCCCCAACCGGTCGTGACTCCGGTTGGATGGACAGCGGGATGAGCAGCGCCTGCTCGACTGTGCGGAAGCGGTAAGCCTCGATGCGCATCGGACCGATTCAAGGCTCTTTTGGGCACCCGTGAGGGTCGGCGGAATTGGCCGAATCGAGTTGCGTGCAGTACAGCTTTGACGGCAAGGCCGATCAGGAAAATTGGCCCTGCGAAAAATTCGCTGAGGAGTTTCGCATTTGATTAGTCACGGCAACATCCCTCTTGCCATGATTGTAAGTCCTTTGGGTGGGTAACACATAACTTCCACTTGTTCAAGAATATGTTTCATTTTTCTTGATTTCTTGCTATCACTGCTGGGAAATATGTTTGATCTTATCCAGAGGAAACATTCGCGAAATGGAAGATCACCTTTTGCGACTTTCTACTTAGTGCCACATTTAGCTTCTCTTTGATTGGTGGTTTGGAGCTCGGTGGTTTGGAGGTCGCTGGTTTGCTGGTGGGTAGTTTCCCAATTGCTCTCCACAAGAACCAGGGACCCGCTCAAATCCAAAACCACCAACTCACACCACCAATCGCTCAGCGGAGGGGCCCCGCCCCCGGAAAGATCGCCACCCCCCAAGATCCCCCCCCCCCCCCCGCAACCTCCAAATACCTGCGGAATTCAGATACTTGTTTTGGAAAGCCGATCGGTTTTCCAGGGTAACTGCTTCCTTTTCTTTTTTTTTTGGTAAAGGGTTGACATGATACCCAAAAACAGCGGGTGTAGGGGGTATTCCGATAGCGTCCATTGAGCGTGTTATTCTTTCACCGACTCTTCCTTTTGGGTGAATCAGGAGACCCCTTAAGTGACGTGGCAAGGGGCAGTAGCAATCTTCTGTTCAGTTATGTATTCATTTTAGTCTGCTTTTAGGTCATGAAAGGGGTCATCAATACAAGCGTGGTCTCATGATCCTTGAACAGATTTGGAGGATCCCCTCGCAGAGCCGGTGGTTTTTGGATGTAACCCTGGCAACAAAAAGGGGGGTCGATTCCAAATAATTAGAGATTATGTTCCCCCTGAAGCAGCGGGTTCTCGAACCAAAGCAGGTTCTCCAAAACAAGCAAATAGAAAGGAGTTGTTTGGGCTCCAAAGAAAGAACCCTCGAAGAAGATGTGCATGTTTGACCTTCAGAACTTCACGCCCCAGTGCCACCAATATCCGAGTATCTGCCACGCTGCGAAACGCTGAGCCGCTTTTGCATTCTTATGGTAATGTATGCATGTACATATGTTATCTCCACATTTGTCCCCAACAAGTACCCTTCCACTTATTACCATGGAACCAGACGTGCCGGAAATGGTCCCTTTAAAGGGAAGATGGTCCAAACCAGCACCCCCCCAACGTCGAACGGTTCCATTTGAAAAAGGTGGGAGGGCACCTACATGAATTGTTTGGACTAGTGTATTCCCCTTGGTTATGTATACATATATATATATATGCATATATACGTATGTGTATGTATATGTCTATATGCGTCTATATGCATATATATATATATAGATATATATATATATATATATATATTCTCCCCCCCCTCCCCCCCAAGACCCGCGCCTGGTTTGCAGCCATCGTTGCTAGACAGATGGACATGTGCCAGCGCATAGATATGTATATACCGTATAATATATATATATATATATAAATGTATAGATATGTCTCTTCCAAATTTACCAAGCACAATATATATATATATATATATGTATATATATATATGTATATATATATATATTCACATATAGGTGCGCCGCCAATTCGAACATGAGTCAGGTGATTCTGCACCACGTCAGCCGCCGGGACTGCGCAGCGGCCATCCGGAAGCTGGACGCTTGGCGAGATCCTGTTGACCCGGGTCGGTTCCGGAGATACTGTGGATGGACGAAATCCGTTTCGCACCACCTAAGAAGCCCTGGAATGATGATTCCCTTGTAAATGACAAGCGACAATGGTTTCCCATGGTTTCAAAGTGGTGCAGGAATTCGTCCATCCACAGTATCACACGGGAATCACACGGTTCTTTAGAAGGGGATTTCGGGGAGGAGGTAGCCCCAGGCCGCAGAAGATCCCCGTTTATGGTGAGCCTTCTTTGTTTGGGGAAGACTGGAGGAATGAAATTGGAGAACCCCCCCCCACCCGCCTCCCCCAGAAGGTAGGGGGCATTTGGAGATCTCCATCTATGGAAACCTGTTTTCCCGAGAAGACCAACAAATTGTTGATTAGGGGACATCTAGCTTTTCACCTGCATCCCTTTCTGGTCTGCTGGAAGCTGGTATCTCCAATGGTCTACCTCTCTGAGCTCCGTTTCGGACTGTGGGCATTTTTTGGGTTGGACCATTGCTCGGCTTGCGCAAAGCGAATCGGCCTTTTGACCGTTGGATTTTCCAACAACGTCCATCTTTCGTCATGGCCCCAAAATGTGAAGCTTTTGCTTCTGGGTACTTTTGGCAACTGACGGTTCTTGCCAATCCTCTCGGTTGGAAGTGAGATTCCTGCTTCTGCTTGGGTGTTCGGCCAAGTGAGTACGTTGTAGGACACCTAGGTCATAACCCACCTATTTGTCCCCCGTTCAGCGGGGTTAACCTTGTGAAAAGTTGGCGATCACCACTTACTAACTTGGCGAACCCGACCATCCAACTAGAAAAACCTTAACGTTGACCCCAGATTGACTATGGGGTTCGTCCAAAAGTGGCGATGTGCGGAATCCCCACTAAACTCAGAGACACCTCCTATGACTAAACTTCCATTTGCTTAAGAATATGTTGTATTTTACCTGTTGGTTTTTAAGAAAGTCTATCACTGCTGAACATTTGTTTTCCAAACAACTTAAGCAAATGGAAGTAAACAGGGGTACCGTTTCTTGGGTATAACATCTTCATCGGTGTTTGAGGCTCCTGCTTGTGTGAGCTTTTAGCGTGTTTTTCTTGTTTGTTATTTGCAGACCTTTGGGCAACTGATGGCTTCAAACAGCAGACAAAGAGTCAAAGCCTTTAAAATACAAAGCCAATGTTCCCCGTTCTTTCTTTGTCTAGCCGGATCATTCCACTGATTGTTTTTAATAGCTCATGTTCTGCAGTTTGTTTGACCCAACCAATTTTGACTGATTCTTCTTCTTACCTCTTAAAAACACAACTTTTCAACTTGTTTGGGGTAACATGGGCTATATGTTTGCAAAAGATTAACTTCCCCAATCCTTGAAGTTTTCAGGGGTAAGTCTCACTTCCTGAGTTCCTAGATTGAACACTTTCCGGTGAGACCATTTTGGCGGTGGAAATCAGAAAACCGGTAAGTGGAAACATGGACCAACACCCGCGGAATCAGCCCCTCCTGTTTAATTTTGAGCCACAGCCATTTTAGTGGTACATCAAGAGTTTTACTTTTTCTGGCCAACCCACTGCATGGGAAGTGAGAACCCGGTGGGTTCGATGTTTCTGAAAACGGGATCTGCGTCCCACGTCCCCGGGGTTGGCTCAGGAGAACATGAAGTCCGCGGACGGTCAAGAGCTGGCAGCCCGGCTTTCAGATGCATTTTCTCAGGACGCGGCAACGAAAGGGACCTCCCCCCCCCCGGAAAAAAATGGCGCACTCCTTCCATTTGGTGAATATATTTTTGTTGTTATGTTCCCCTGTTGCTTTTAAAGAGAGTCGATTTCACTGCTGGAATTATTTTTATTTGTTACAATGGACTTAAGCAAATGGAGGACTCCAAGTGAGTTCCGGAGCTCGAGCTTGAGCCACTTGTGTTTGGTGTCCATTGCTCGTGGCCTGGACACAGAGTTCGGCTCTCCGCTTTTCGCCGATCCACCCAGGAGGTGGGTAGAAACTCTCTTCACGGGGCCTGTTTCTTTAGTCTAAAAGTGGCATCTGTGAGTGGAATCTGTGGGGGGTTTGTGGGTCTTGAGTTCCCCTTGGGGTGTCATCAGTTTGCAGGGAACCGAGAGAAAGAAAGTCTCTCCCAAATCAAGAATGGGGTTGGCTTGAATTGAAGGAAAGCTAGAAACCCGCCGTACTATCAGCGTTAGAATGCGGGTGTTGGGGGGAGGGTTCTTGGGCGTGAAGTGAAACCGAGTGAAGTGATGCCTGGAAAGATCCCCACCTGGAAAGCTTCACCTTTCAGCTTTTCCCTTCAACTTTTATCAGGGGTCCTGAAGCATTTCCCCGCTTTGAACCTTTAAAGGTGGCTTAATGTTTATGTTTTGGAACTTGCCGGGCTCATCAACCTTTGGATCGGGGAAATCCAAGGAGGCTGTTATTGAACTCTCTTCCTGAGTTCCGTTAGGTGACTTCAGTCACCCTTGCGGGCTTGGACCGTTTTAGTGGTAAATCAAAAGCCAGTTTTTTCAGCTGCTTCTTTGGGCAGCTGAGAGCCGGGGGCACTTCCCCGAGCACCACAAAAAACGCGCCTTCGATATCGGCGAAATCGCGAAGTTCGCCGAGTCCCGAGCTTTCCGAGTCGGTCTGCGGTCTGCGGTTTGCGGACGCGTGGCCGATTTTTGTTGCAGGGCTAGGAGGAAATCACAGGTCTAAGTTTCCCTCGAACTAAACCGTCACGGGCCATTTGTGCCATAGAGCTCCCTTTGCGCCATTCGGTCTAATTGGGCGAGCCGATTTTTCTAGGAGTACCTTCCCCAGGGATCCGGATCTTTCTATAGAAAACCTCCGGAAACCCAGCGAAAACGGATCCGGTGGTCGGAAAGAACGATGGTTGAAAAGAATGGACAATGAATCAAGCCTTAGACGAATGTTGACCCCATATTTTCATCAATCAACCCAGCTTAATGATTTATAGGGGGTGAAATTGTCCCCGGGTGAAATGTGGGTGTGGCTCATATTAAACAGGAGGGGTTACGCAGGTTTTGGTCCAAGTTTCCACTTACCAGGGCCAGCCATTTTGGAATTCCGGTTTTTTGAGCCACAGGCATCGTGGGGAATCAGCCCCTCGTTTTTGTTCGCTCGGTCTCCGCGCCATTGGCGAGGTGTGCCGCTTCGCGCCGGTGCTCTTCGGTGCGGAGCCCAAGGCCTTCGCTTCGCTGCTGCTGCGGCCGCAGCTCGAGACGCTGGACCCGCGCCTTGGACGCGGCGAGCTGGACGAGTCGAGTTGGAGGGGCGACGCCGAGGATGAGAGGTGTCCTTTTTGGTTGATTTGGTGGAAAAATAGAGGGCCCTGGTTTACCTAATGGTTCAATCAACTACCAGGGCCATCTATTTTCCCAAAAAGGACACCTATGCCGAGGATACGCGAAATTTCGCGCGCCGGGGAAGTGTTTTTTTGTTGACCCCATGTTTTTTTAACACCGGGGTTAGGGGCTGTCCCTGGGTGAAATGTCGGGAATCATCACTTTTATTAGTAAACCGGGGTTGATGAATGTGGGGTCGTGCACGTGGGTCTCTGTCTTTTTGTTTTGAGGGTGCACCTATGTTGGGGCAGTTTTACAGGGAGGAGAACCACATTAAATGCCCTTTTGGGGGGCTCTAAAAGACAGTAGGGTAACTCCCACGAAACATATTGACCACGCGCGAGTCCAAGAGTTGTTCACGCTGAAGCACCTGATTCAGAGCCATGTTGTGGTATCCGGTTGCTCTGGCTCCTGCTAGGTCCACTTTCAGTCACGCCCTCAATGGGTTAAGCTTTTCTTCACTGTTATTGGCAAGTTGCTTCTTTTTTGTGGGTTCTGTTCATTTTTTGGTAGGGGGCTGCAACAAAAACGAGCTTTTGGTTACCATGCCAAGGGCTGCGAAGTTTTTGTCTGGGTCATTAAGCGAGGAGCAGGTTGGGTTTAGGGTTGAGAATCTTAAGTTCCTCACACATGTTGGAACCTTTCTTGGCCAAAATTTGCTTGGCTCACCAAGGCAGCCGCAGCGAAACAGGCGATCGAGCTGAGCTCACGTGTGTTTTGTGGCCCTGTTGGGTTCCCACGTGCCACACGAGTCAAATATTACCCCTTCGGTTTGGATTGGTTTGGGAAGTTGAAGGGGTCCAAGTTGTTCTTGTAGAGCCTCAGCTGTTCAGTGGCACCAAGTCTTTTTCCCTTTTTTTTGGGTGGCTGCCCCACTAAACTGGTCCAAGCCCCAAAAAGAACTGGTTCCCGATTTTTTTCTCCGGGGTCACTGAACAACTGAGGAGCGTAAATCTTGGGGTTTGCCAGCGCCCCCCACTGATCCAAACCAATGAGCCGGAAGCACGCGAAGCGGCCGAAGGCTCCCCGAGTTTTTCCTTGGTGAAAGATCTCCCCATGGGTTCTCGGCATGGAAAACCATGGCCAGGGCAGAGAGTTTGAAGGCCGAAGAGCTCGGCCTGTTCACTTCCATGGTTTGGATTGGTTTGGATGGAGTTGAAAGGCTTGGTTTTTGAGGGGTTTAGTTGGGGAGCACCTCCACTCAACCGAAGCACCAATTGGGGGAAGGATGATCCATGCTTGAAAGGAGGGTCGCCACATTCACCCGGGACAGACCATTCAACAGCAACACCGACTCGATGCCCCCCCTACTCTTGGCTTCAGATTGGAACAAGGGGGCCACCCCGTCCCACTGCCTTAGAATCGTTTCCCCACTGTCCATTGGAGCGAGGCCTCGCCCCCTAAATCGTTCTTCGAAGCGAAACCGACCGCAGAATTCATGTAAGCACGGGTCCTGAACAATTGCAACCACTTGAAGTGACCCACGTACCCGTAAAAAAAGGGGGAAAAAAACAAAACGAGGGGTGCGGAGTTCAGCTTGCTTTTTGGCCTTCCCTTTGAACCCAGCCCGGTTCAATGGTGGCGGGTCGCGAGGCTCCTGGTACTTCCGGGCATCTTTGCACTGCACTCCCGAACCCACAGGCCCTGGAGTCCGACGGAATCTCGAGGGTGGTCCCACACTGGGGCGCTGGGTCTTTTTTTGAGGAAAGGAACCCCAAAAAAAAGCCCCAAGGAAGACCCCAAGGAAGCCTAAGCCACCTTAAGGAGCCATGAGGAACCTGAAAGAACAGAACTCTGAGGAACTCTAAGGAACCCCAAGCAACCCTAAGCAACCTTAAGGAACCCTAAGCCCTACGGAAGCCGAAAGGCACTCTCAACTACCTACCCCCCTGGTAGCTACCCTCGCCAAGGCGAGGGGGAGGGGGGGGTTCCCCAAAGACTGCGTAAGGAATGCGAAAAAGCCCGAAAGGAGCTTTCGACTAACACTTGCCTTGTACCTCCCCCCCGGATAGGATTCCATAAGCGCTGCGGCGAATTGGGTGGTTTGCCTTTTGTCTTGTTGTGGCGGTTCTAAGCTTTAAGTGGTTTGCGCCATTCGTTTTTTTTTTTTTTTTTTTTTTTTATTATATATATATATTATTGTCATTATTTTTTTAAATTTTATTTGTTTGTCTGTCTCATTTGGGTGTGCCCGCATTTGCTCATATGTATCTATACTGTCTTTAGGCTTCCCCTTTAAGAGCTTCGTGGGATAGGATCCTTCAAATTATGCGTCTCGTGGGTGTGAGCCTATCACATAGAACAGCCATGGAGTTGTGTTTTACCCAGTTACCCTGTGTCCCCCGGCAGAGAAGCGAGCCATGATTGCCGTTCACAATTTTAAGCAGCGAACCCGGCAAACGAAACTGGATTCAGAGGGTGACACCCACAACTTCTAGATTTGAGGCAAACTCGGGGTGGCTCCAAGCCCGCACAAGGCAACAAGTCGAGCACCTTCGGTAAGCTTCCTAGAAAAGCACACATTGCTGGGTCCCCCAGTAGTGCCCCTTCTCTCCCTTGTTTGGGGGAGTTTCCCCCTGCCAAAATACACTACAGAAAAAAGTTGGTACCCTTATTCTAACCTTTCTACTGAAGGATCTAGATTGTGTCCAAAAGCTCTCGTTGCAGGGACTTTGGGGTCACACCCTTGAGAGCAATGCAATACAAAAATCCGGGCCTAGCCCCCTCCCAACATTTGTGGGTCGACCTGAAAATTCGACTTCCTCTTCAAGGGGCCCTCTGTCAGGTGTGGGAGGGCACCGCATGTTCAGCTGCCCACGCAGTGAGCCCAAAGCCCCATTTCATCCCCCCCCAACGGTTTTCTCGAGTGGCAAGAGGGGACGTAGGTAGAACGGAACTCCCAGCTCCAAACCCTTCGGAGCCCACCCCTAGCCAAGCGAAGCCATTGGCTCAGTCACCCCTTTCCGGTGAGAGCTGAGCACGCTTTGCCGCAGGGGCAGAGTCGTTGTTCCACACAAAGAAGGCAAGGTGCCATCCCCCAAAAATTGGGGGGAAAAACCATTTGTTGACTTTGATGCCACGTTTGAGGACGCCAAAGTCAGATCCAACCAAACTGGAAAGCCAACCCACCAATTTCACGGGTCAATCCTAGAAAAGGCCCAAACATGGCATCTCCGAGTAAGCAACCATCATGGTTGAGAAAATCTCTCATTTTGCAGGTGTGCGAAACGTCATCAGATGCAAAGCGCATGAAATACATATAGTCAGATCCGGTATAGAAAGACACAAACGCTGAGATTCACAATGAAATTATGCGAAATCCACATAAGACCTGAATAAGGCTTCTTTGTGCTCCCCCGCCCCCATGAAACAAGCCACCTTTCCAGGACACCTAAAATTCCCCCCCCCCCCCTCTCACTGAGCTTGCTTCAGGTCGGAGGCGACGCGGTACCTGGAGCACGCGGTGCGCCACGAGCGGACGGAGAAGAGCAGCGGGCGGACCCTCCGCTCAGGACGCGCGCGGCGCGCGCGGCGCGCGGCGTGGCCCGCCGGAGGTTAGGAGATTCATCGCAGTCAGCCCCTCATGGCTGTTGTTGGGAAACAGGGTTGTGGGATCAATGGGTTTATCCCCCACTTCTGTGATACAAGAGAATCTCCCCCCTGAGATCGGGGGGTTAGTCTTCGGAAAACCCTTTGTGTCGGGAAACATGTTGCATTGTTGCTTCTTGTGGATTAGTGGTTGAAATCCAACCACTTAACTGCTGAAATTTACATGTTTGCTCCCCTTCCAACGTCAACCAAGGCCTCCTTCCTGTCTTGGCGACATGTTTTGCACCTTTGCCCAAAGAAAAAAGAGAAGGTATCTAAAGCCTCGGTTTAAGGTTCAAGCCCGGTTTGATTATATTTAGCATCTTTGCCTTTTAACCAAATGCAGACAGAACATATGCAAGTTTGAAGCCTAGGTTTAGGGTTGCATTTCTTTAACCTTGAGGAAAAACATGTGGCCATGGGTCAAAATTCCGTACCCCCAGTGAACATCCCCATCCCCACTAAAATAGGTTCTGACATGGGTGGTGAATTCACCAACCCCCAAATGGGATCCCAAAACGGTTTTGAGCCACAGCCATGTACCCAGCAATTGCATTAACATGTACCTACTGTGGGTGGACGAAATCCTGCTCCAAAAAAAAGGAACCTGTGGGAACCATTGTTTGTTGGCATTTGTTTGGGGTATTCATCATTCCAGGGTTTCTTAGGCGGCGCGAAAGGGAGTCTGGCTATCCACAGTAGCAAGCATCGCAAAGTGGAATATGCCATAAACAGCGAGGGAAGCCATCCACCCAGTTGCTCTCAAATACCTTTTGAAATGGGGTGTCACCAAGTTGGGGAATTCCCCCTTTTTCTGGATAGTTTGAGGGTCCATCAACCCATTTCCCTTTTGGATCCTGGGGCAGGAAATGCCTATTTAATTGGATCCTACCGAAACTCTGAAATCCAACCCGGAAAGGGGGCCTCATTAAAAATTACGAGGGGCCCGTTTTGGAGGTGACCTATGGTTTCCACCGGGATCGATCCCCCCCCCCCCCACAACCTCCAAAAAAACAACATGGGTTATATACCCTGCACCTTCCGTTGGCTTAAGAAGACTTGTTGTTTTCCTTTGTTGGTTTTAAGGGAATCCACAACTCTGGCAAATATATATATATATATATATACATATATATACATGGTGGCCAGTTGCGTGACTTCCTGGAAAGGAATGACCCCGCTTGAATGTTTTCTTGGTTCATCGTTGTAGTCAAGGACAAGGATGTAAGATACTGTGGATAGACGAAACCATTTCGCACCACCTCCGAAACCCTGGAATGCTGAATTTCCAGTAAGAACCAACAAAAAATGGTTCCCATGGTTTCTTCGATGGTGCAGGATTTCGCCCATCCACAGTATTACGGGTCCCCCCACCCCAGACTTTTGGTTGTGTCCGGCATTTATTCGGGCGACCCTGACAAAAATACAGGACTCCCTTCTCGTACCACTGTGGATAATTAAGATCCATTTCGCAGAGCGAAATGAAACCATGGTTGAAACCACAACGTTTGTCGGTATTTTTCTTTGGGTTTTTGAACCGTGGTGCGTTGGATGGATTTGGCAACCATCCACAGCACCCGTTGGTAGGCGGTTTGTCCCATTCATAGGGCTTCATCCATCCCAACTGGTGCGGATTGGATTATGTCCATCAGTAGGTCTAAGCTGGTTTGCACTACTCAACTAGGTTGTCCAGGAGTGCCCTTTTTTGGGGGAGGGTTCCTGTTCCCCTACTAAAATAGACAAAAAAGAAAAAGAGCAAAAAACAACACGGTACCCTTGTTCTAGCCTCTCAAATCTGGAGGACCTAGTCAAGCCATTAGCCCCAAGTGGTGTCCCAAGCAGGTCCCACAGGTATCGGCATCGCAGGAAGCCTCCTGCTGGACAATAACTTGGGCTGTGTGGAGGAGGGCCAGAGATACGGCGGCCCGGCGCGCGTGTGGACGCAGGTTCTGTTGGATGCTGAATGGCAAGGGGCATCCGAGATTTCCCCCTTCTCAGGGTGTTCAAACATCATCTTTTGGGCCACTCTTAGATGAAGTTCTTTGTAGTGCAGGTGATGTTGGATCGGGAAATCTGGGGAGCTCTGCTCAATGAACCCCCGGTTCATTAATTGAAGATTGCCAAGCTTAACCAAAGGGGACGGCCCAACCATCTCTTGTGACATGGCGGCACTGCAGCTGGTGCACGTTACGTGACCCTGGATACGTCGCGCCGATGGCATGGTGTCAAAAATTGGATTTTGGTTGTCCTTTGGCATTCTCAACCAACGCACGTGTGCCCAAATATGTAAGCCTCGCATGCGGAAACATCATGATGTTATCATCAACGTGACTTGCTGTTTCTGAGCAAGGAATCAGACATGACCCCGAAAAAACCCTTTTCCTTTTACGGGATCCCAACTGTGGATGGACCATTGTTTGTTGGTATTTACAGGGGGAATCATCATTGCAGAGTTTTCGAGGTGGTGCGAAATGGTTTTCGTCCATCCAAAGTAGGGGTCTTGGTGGCTTCCATCCGGTCCCTTAGCTTTTTATCCTTTTAGTGTTTAGTGGTAGTTTCCATTCAAGCCACTGAAAGTTGGTCACCTGTAGCGGGGGATCAGAAAACGGGCAGCCTGGCAGTCCAGGGGTCACTGCCTCACTGCCAGCCCCAGGTCATACTGAGACCTGCGGCACTGAGGCTGGGCGGTGGGGGGCCAAGCGATCTTGAACGCCCTGGTGCTCCTCTACGCCGAGCCCGAGCCCATGGAAGGAGGGGCGGCAGAGAGCGCGCGGCTCTAGGGTTCGTTCCGGAACTGGTGGGCTTAGATCTCATAGGCTGAGCGTTTTGGTCCATATGGCTGTGGGTCAAAACTGTTTTGGGATCCCATTTTCGGCTAGGTGAATTCACCACCCATTTTAGAACGTATTTCAGTGGGGATTGGGATGTTCACTGGGGGTACGATTTGGGTTTTGACCCATGGCCATTTTTGTCCCCATGGCATTTTGGACCCTTTGGGGGCTGATTGCCTTTCTGTCCCCTGAATTTCATGAGCCTAATTCATCAATTCAAATCCGAAGTACTTGTGCCGGCCAACTAGATTTTGTTTGGTAGAATTTCTCGTTTTTGGTACAGGCCCAAATCATTCCTTATAACTCTGGTTGAATTATAACGACTTCAGAACCTCACCACACATGGTGGTTTATGTGGGGAATAGCCTTACCAAGAAAGATTTGAGCGTCTGGTTAGGCAGCATGATAGAGTAGACTGGGCTGTTGGCTTTAGACCGGGCTTGAACTTGAAAGAGAGGTTTTGAATACGTTCTTTCTTCTTTAGACAAAGATCTACACCATATCACCTGCCCGTTTTCTGATCCCCCGCTAAAAGTGACTAACTTTTAGTGGGTGAAATACGGAAACTGCCGCTAAACACTAAAAAGCTTAAAGGCGAAGGAACCGGATGGCTGGGAGCCACCAAGATAATATTTCACCAACCTGAAATAAGGTGGTGGGGGGGGGGAAGAGCCGCAGGGGATCAGAAAACGGGCAGCCAACTTATACTTCACCCAGGAACTTTCATTGAGAACTCAGTTCGGAAGGAAAAAACACGAGGTTTTGGTGGCTGCCCCACTAAAAATGGTCTTCCCCAAAAGGGTTCCAGGGTCACAGAACAACTGAGTTCTTGAACTCAGGTCAGAAGGAACTCTTTACGAGGGCTTGAGGCCAGTCAGTGACACCCGGCTTCCCACGTAACAACGCCCCCAATCAAGATCAACCAGGGGTTTATTTGTCCCCACAAAAAAAGAGAAACACAATGAAGATCAACTAGGTCAACATTACTTCGGATTGGCGTTGTTTGATTTGCACATGTTTGCGTTGGACACTTTTCTCTCCTGCAGATTAAGATGGAACCAACAAAGCACCCGTTTGTAAAGGAATCTCATCTTGGGGGACCCCGCCATTTTCGGTTTCATGTTGGCTTCCTCGGTTGACTCGTTTTGCGTTTTGGCCCCGATGCCGAGTTCGAAACAGTTGTTTTTCCAGAGACGATCTACCCCCCCTGTCGGTTCTAAAGGGGATCGATTTCACTACTGGACATAAGTTCTCGTTTGTTTCCGGGGACATGTTCGCAACTGGGAGAGAACCCGTCCTGTGGATGGTTGCGACCTGCGGAGCCAACCCCAAGAAAACCCGAAGAAATTCAAGGAAACCCAAGGAAGAGACCAGAAGGAACTCCAAGGAACCCTGGGGGAACTTTAATAGAACCCTAAGGAACTTTAAGGAACCCTGAGCAACCCTGAGGAAGCCTAAGAAGCCCCAAGGAAGCCGAAAGGTGCTCTGAACTACCAACACAAACCCCCTGGTTGCTACCCCCTCTGGCGCGGGGGGGGGGGGGGGGGCTTCCCCAAGGTTGTGTCAACGGCTTGGCTCGCCTCCCCAAACCGCAGGCGAAGGCTCCGAAGCGCGCGAAGGCGAAGGCTCCGAGGCGGGCATCCTGCGCTTCCTCGCCGCGCAGGCGCTATCGACCGGACCGGCCGGAGAGGTTTGGATGCGGGGATCGCGACGGTTTCTTCCAATTCACCCCCCTTGGGGGTGGGGACCCGTGTCCCCCCGCAAGGCGGTAGTGGTAGCGACAGTTTCTCCATTTGCCGAACGTCAGGTTCCACGTTAGAGGGTACCCTGGTTTAAATGCTTCCATGAGAAGCAGAACGACCCCAAGATACACCATCCAACCGGTGGTTTCCTGGAAGGGGACCTCCAGGTTCACGCCTTAATTCCCTACCTATCGCACCGGCAAGAAGAGTATTTCTTATTTTCCTTGTTTATGTTAAAGGGAATCTAGCACTACTGGCAATATATAGTTTTTTGGACTTAAGCTAATGGAGCGTTTCCTCAGACTGGGTGCTACGCAAGGTCCCTGTTGTTGGTTCAAGCTGTTTAGGCTTTTAGACGCTTTTTGGTTCTGCTCGATTTTAGTAGGGGTGCTGCAAACAACAAAGTTGTTTGCTGCCCTACCAAGGGTGTAAAGATAAACGCATGGGTGGCTCGTTTTGTTTAAGGCCCCCCCCCCGAAAATGGTGCTACAAGCCTTTAAAAGTATGTATCTTGACACAGCTAAAAGTGAATAGGTATGGGCGGTACGGGTTCTCACATAAAAACGATTCCATTTTTTAATTGGATGTGGAAACAGCACGAGGAGCAAATGCATACTTTCTGCGCACAGATCCAGAGGAGTCCCTCTAATCCGAGAGAACTTGATCTGTTTTTCTGCCTGGGGGTTTCGAATCCTCAAAGGAATCTCACTTGGTGAGTTCCGTTTCGGACTTCAGTCACTTTTTTGCGCTTGGACCATTTCAGTGGATACAAAAAGTTCAGACCTTTGAATCCAATCCGCTCGATCGGAAGTGAGGAGTTCCCTCTGAACCGAGAGATGTTTGTTGTTCTCCCTGGAGTCTTCTTCTGACCCTTTAACAATGGGTCCCCATGATTTTGGGTAATGACCCCATGTTTCAAGGGTGCAAAGTCTAGGTGCACCAAAGTCAAATTTGTTCCGTTTCAGTTTCACATTTACCTGGAGTCTCCATGACCCCTAGAAAAAGGGGTCATAACCCCTTGATTTTGAGTAATGACCCCATTTTTAAAAGGATCATGGAGACTCCATGCAGATACTCACATGTTAGCTATGATTAGTTCTGAGACCCTGAGACTTTGGAAATATCGGGGCTGGCTCACCAGGTCCAGGTCCTTCTGTTTTTCTTTGCGCCCAGTGCCCTTCTCTCCCCTTTTTTGGGGTTTCGGGTTCCTCCACTAAACTAGACAAAAAAGAAGAAAGGTTGGTTACCCGTGTCCTAACCACTCAAATCTGGAGGACCTAGTCCATGTCCTTTTTGTTTTGCCAACTAATGGGTATTCCATTCAAACCATTAAAGGCTTTCCCTTTTTGCAGGGCTTCGCAGAAAGCAGCCGAGTGTCCCTAGGTTTTTTTTTTGGTTTGCGTTTTTCGAGGGTTCCCTCCCTCTGCCAAAAAAGCAAATAAAGCCGCCGCCGCAGCACCGAGGAGGGCAACCCGCTGCTGGATCTGCACTTCGCGCTGCGGGTCTGCCGGCGCCAGGGCCTCATCAAGGCCGTGGTGATGCTCTACGGGCTCATGGCCATGCACGAGGCTTGCGCGAGGTATACCGGGGTTGGCCCGGGCCCAGAGCGGACGGGGGAGAGGGAGAGCTGAGCTGCTGAAAAAACTTCCATTTGCTGAAAAGAGTATTTAATTTTCTCAAAGTTGGTTTTAAAGGGAATCGGTTTCACAGCTTTTTTGTTTAATTATTATTATTATTACTATTATTGTTTTTTCTTTTTCCAGGGGACTTAAAGCAAACGGAGGCTAAGCTTGCGATCGCTGCGGTCGGAGGGTAGCAAAAACAAGGAAACAAGAAGAATACTTTGTTCTGGACCTTGTCAACACTGGGGGCGGGTTATTGATGAGGGGTACACATTACTTGCGATCGGTGCGAGAGATGCAGGGAATGAGAAATTGAACGGCCCCAAGACAAATCATCCAACTTGTGATTTCCTTTAAGGGGACTTCTGGGTTCCAACTGATTCCCTACCTATCGAACCAGCCTTTAATGGGGCGATCAGGTACGTCAGATACGTGGTTAGTACGCCCGGCGATGACTCACTGAACGGAGACTTATCACCACGGTTTTTGTGGGTTACCCACTTACCAAGTACCCTGCCCCTTTAAGTGGCGAAACCCCTAAACCACAAGTTTTGGCTTGGTGGCTCCCAGCGAATCATCCGGTTCAACTTAGCTTTTAGTTGTTTTTAGTGGGTGAAAGGTGGTGATTTCCGTATTTACCAGCATGACTTCCATTTGCTGAAAGAAACTATATGGTTGTTATTTTCCCTTGTTGGTTCGAAAGGGAATCGATCTCACTATTGGACATACGTTCTCATTCTTTCCTGGCGGCTTAAGCAACCGGATGTTTTGGCAGGTGGTTTTGCTAGGAAGACTAAGGTGTTTTCAAAGAAAAGTAAAGACAAAAAAGGAACAACCAGATATCCCTTTCTCTCGTGAAACCACAAGCAAACCACAAGAAAAAAACACAAGATATCGTGAAACCACGAGGAAAACAAAGGGATATCGTGAAAATAAAGGAAACACAAAGTGAAACCACAAGGACAAGGAGCACTGGCCATTTCGGGGGTCCCCCTATTTTGAGACAGACCCATAAGGATCATAAGGCCTGCGTAAACCATACCAACCTTACCATCTTGGTAGAGCCAAAGGTTAAGTTTCGGTCGCTCAATTGTGTGTAATTATCTCACTCCCGGGTTCATGGACTTTAGTCCCTTTTTGGGTATACGTTTGCCCGGATTAGTAAGCTCGCCCAGTTCAATTCGGGGGTGTTCCCTCCAAAAGTGGCCTGAATCCCCAAAAAGCGAAATCAACCCAAGGGGGTGTTCAAAATGATCCTTGCGCTTCTGCCTAATCTTTGCGCTCTTGTTTCCTTACTCCTGTTTTTTTTGGTGGATGTCAACATGTTCGGTAACCCTGAACATGTTGGTATTCCTCCTGCATTGCTTTGAATCGGTCGGAAACAAGGTACAGCACCTCCTCCTGAACAACCAAACTACCAATCCAAACCAGCAATTGGAGGGAAGCGGAAGCTGCCGAGCTTTACTTGGTGAATTCCAAAGAGGCACAAAATTGACTCAGATCCGCAACGAGGGGCTCACATTGGTTGATCCAATGGTCGTCGGTCGGCGGTTTCCACTGGGCTAGGAGGCAGTGGAGGTGGCGCTGGAGCATCAGGATGTGGCCCTGGCCAAGCATAGCGCCTGCCGACCCCAGGAGTTTGTGCCGAATCAGTGGGCTGGTTGGATTGGTTGGTTTGATTGGTTTTGTTGATTTGGTGTGTTTGGTGTGGTTGGGTTGGTTTGGTTTGACTGGTTTGGTTTGCTTGGTTTGGTTGGTTTGGTTGCTTTGGCGCGGATTGGTTTGCTTGGTTTGATCGGTTTGGTTGCTTTGGTTTGGATTGTTTGGTTGGACTGGTTTTGTTTGTTAGTTTTGTTTGGATTGGTTGGGTTGGTTTGGTTTGGTTTGGTTTGGCTGGTTTGGGTTGCTTGGTTTGGTTGGTTTGGTTGGTTTGGTTGCTTTGGTTCGAATGGTTTGTTTGGCTTGGTTAGGTTTGGGTGGTTTGGATTGGCTGGTTTGATTGGTTTTGTGAGGTTGGCTTGGTTGGGTTGGTTTGGCTCGGTTTGGTTTGACTGGTTTGGGTTGCTTGGTTTGGTTGCCTTGGTTCGGATTGGTTGGTTTGGTTTGGATTGGTTGGTTTGGTTTGACTGGCTTGGTTTGATTGGTTTGGTTGCCTTGGTTGGGATTGGTTGGTTTGGTTTGGTTTGGTTGGTTTGGTTTGACTGGTTTGGTTTGCTTGGTTTGATTGGTTTGGTTGCCTTGGTTCGGATTGGTTGGTTTGGTTTGGTTTGGTTGGTTGGTTGGCTTTGGTTTGGATCCATTTGGGAGACACCGGTTGCCTTGTAGGGCCTTGGGCAGGTTTCCCTTAGGCCCCTAGAAACGTAAAATCTACCATGCATTGCCATGCGTTGCCCTGTGCTTTTGCCAAACCTCTTTGCTATTGGGTTCCCTTGCTCCTGTAACCTTTCTGGTGGATCTCGAAATGTCCGGTAGCCCTGAACTTGTTGGTTGTTCTCATGTGTCCCTTTGACATGGTTGTCGTTGGGAAACATGTTACATTTTTGCTTATTGTGGTTTAGTGGGAAATCCCCACTTACCTGCTAAAATTTAAATGTTTGCTCCCCTTCCAACGTCAACCAAGTTGAATCCGTCTAAAACAGGGTACAGTACGCCTCCGTAACAACCAAACTGCCAATCCAAGCCACCAATTGGAGGGAAGCTGACTTCAAGTATTTGGTTTGTGGACTCACGAACTTTCATCCACACAACCAGGGGCTCTCACAAAAAAAGTCGCCCGGCCACCATACTCGTGAGGAAACTTAATGGTTTCTCTCGCGTAACCACGGCACGCGCTGTTTTTCTCCACTCCCAAATTTTCCCAGGCAACCTTTGGGCATTTGCCCCCGCTTTCGGGGTTTCTCCCTGCCTGGGAGACTACTATGGGCTTATCTCGTGCCGAACCCACCAAATGGATCGGTTTATCCCGTTGGTTCCCCTGGAAATCAACCCCCAACAGAAGAGGTAGCCCCAAAAGCCATACCCGTATGGGTGGCTCGTCTTTCTTTGCAAAGGACCCAGAAACAAAAGGTGACCCAGCCATTCCATTTAATTTGCCAGTATGTTTGAGTGGGCAACCAAGGGAACCGCACTTTAACAACCAGGATCCATTGTGTGAGGCAAGTGAGCTTCCCCTCCCCAACCGGGATACTCCCCACTCAACTCAGAACGTCACCGCCCGTCGTTTTTTTTTTCTGCAACCACCGGCTGACCCACCCGGTCGACTTGCAGCGGGGCAAGTGAGAAAAAAAAAATCACCGAGGAGAAGAGGCTCAGACAGAAGCTGTGGCTCCGCATCGTGGAGCACCAGGCGATTGAAAGATGGAGGGCTCTTGGGTAGGGGTTTGACGAGCTTCGAAATCTAATCCCCGAGGAAGTTCGCGGATTGATGTCGCATGTTTATGAATATTTAGAGTGTTTTGGGAAATTGAAGTTGCTTTGCGACTTGGCGTCGTTGATTCTGGCCTTTTTTGGGTCATGTCAGGTTTCGGAATTGGAGAACTTGATGTGTGAAATCGACGCTGGTTTTCTTGCCGAGCCTTTCCTTCAAAGCCCGGTGTCCTTTTGAGAATTTGAGAAGGCTGAGGGTTCACAAGGTCCTGTTTGCTTGGTGGTTCCCAGCCATGCCTTTAGGTTTTTAGTTTGTAGGGTTTGGTGGTTGGAATCCCTGGTAGTTTTTCCATTTATCCCACCAAAGTTCATCTGCTAGAAGGGGATCTGCTGCCAGCCCAGTTTGAGCATGCCCCCCCTTAATTGGTTTCCATTTTCTGGGGCAACTGAAGGGAGAGCACCCACTTTTCGCGCCGGGTGACCCCGGATCTAGGTAGAACCCGTCCCAATACTGGAACCATTTTGTCCCTTTCCTGGGATCAAAGTCAGAAGGGGCGGCTTCCCTTTAACCTACCATAACCTGTCACTTGTGGAGTGACTTTGGTCCTGGTAGAGTCATGAGGCCAGGAACACGGGGTTCCACAAGTGGGATGAGTCCCTATAGGACGCCCCAAATCCACATCAACCAGGGATTCTGAATATTCCGGGGTTCCCATTAATTTGTGTGATTTCTCCGGACCTCCTATTCAGATGGAAATGACGCATACCTTCCCTGGCTCAATTACTTTTTTGAGTGCACGCAAGGTTCCTTCTAGAACAAGCTAACTTGGAATTCTCACTGACACCCAGCCAGACAAACAGGGAATGACACCTAGAGTCCCTGGTGGTCTACTTTAAGGGAATCCGTGGATGGACGAAATCCTGCGCCACCTAAGGAACCATGGGAAGCCATTGCTTGTTGGCATTTACAGGGGGATCGAATCATTGCAGGGTTTCTGAGGTACAGCATGTTAATTCCAAGCAGCCCCAATGAAAGCAGGGTCGCTTTTGTTGGTTCTGTAAGCAAAGTTCGATTCGCGAGGACCGACCATTGATCAGATGACCCCTGGTTGGTTTGGATTGGTGGTTTCGGGGTGTGAACCCCTGGTTCTTGTAGAGGGTAGATGGGGTTTACCCCCGCTTGACCACGGGAAGCTGACCTTGAGTGCATTCTCAGTACCAATGGGATCCCATTTTGGTTGGTAGGTGAATTCACTACCCATTTTAGAACCTATTTCAGTGGTTGGATTGGGATGTTCACTGGGGGTACGATTTGGGTTTTGACCCATGGCCGTATGGCTTTTGGAGGTATGGATGTTTATGACCCTCGTGGCACCAAAAAAACACACACCAAAAAAAAAACAAAAAACGCCGTGTTCCATGCGCAGGCCGCCAGCTCCGACGTGCAGAAGATTATCGGTTTGATCCGGGAGCTCTTCGTCGGAGCACGGGAATTTCAAGAGACCACGGACCCCCCAAAAAAAGACAGGCGAACTGGGGAGGGGGGGGGACTCCCCTCATGAACCTCTTAAGGCCTTAAGGGCTTATCCTGAACCTTACCCAGGGATAGCCCCCCCCTTTTTCCTACTGGTCCATGACTTTAGGGGGGCCTTCTAAAGATCAGCTGGAAAAAGTGAAATGGCTGTGGGTCAAAACCAATGGTGCCATTTTGGGCTAGGTGAATTCACCACCCATTTTAGAACCTATTCTAGTGGGGATTGGGATGTTCACTAAGGGTACGGGGTTTTGACCCATGGCCAAATGTAGGTGGCGCAAATTTCCGGGAGGCTGATAGAGAGGCCTTGAATGAGTCGCAAAGAAATCGGCATGCATTTGCATATAGGTTCACTAACTACGTTTGCAGAATCAAGGGCGGGCTTCTGATTGAGGAAAAACCTTCCGGGGTATTCCTTACTCGGTGTCTTCAAATAGAAAATGCCTCACAAATCGTCGCGTTCCAAACCCGTTGGGCCCTGGTTGGGTTCTTGGGCTGTTGGGCTGTTGGTTGGGTTCTTGGACATAGCTGACATGTTGTTTTGCGTTTTGCTTTTTTGGGTGTCTTTTTTTTGTTGCTTACCCGAAAAGTTATCACTTGTTGCAGAGTGGTCCTCCCGTTTGGTGCAGCAGTGCCCTTTTACCCACTTTTTGCGGAGGGTTCCCCTACTAAAATAGACTCGAGAAAAAAGTGGGTACCCTCCCACCAACTAACATGGAAGTGCAAAAAAACCCTTTCCAAGAGGAAAGTAGTCTTTCTACAGGGGTCTGTGCACCAAACCATGTTAGCTGGTGGGAGGGTACTAACTTATTCTAAGCTCTCCACTGGAGGATCTAGCAGGATCCTACCTGCGTGGATGGCTTTCAGGTCGCAGGAGCTGACGGTGCGCGATGTGCTGCCCTACCTGCCGGACACCATGACCATCGATGCCTTCAAGGCCATAGGTGTCCTTTTTGGTGGTTTTGCTGGAAAAATGCACAGGGCTCCTTAAAATATACATTTTGCAACCATTTGAAACGTGGCTTTTTCCACCAAAATAAAGGGACACCTCCATTTACAAGGCAATTATCAGGTGTATAATGTAAGGATCCCTGATAAATGGCCCTGGTTTGCCTGGTGGTTTAATCATCTATCAGGGAAACCCATCTATTTCCCCGAAAAGGACACCTATGTTCAAGGCGGTTTTTGACAACTCGGACCTCTCCAATTCGAGCCCTAGGATGCCCAAACCGGGGTTTCCATGGTTTCCCAAACCAACGCACCATGGATCCAAATGGGTTCTCCAAAAATGACACCCAAATGAGCCTTTAAGAGATGACACACCTCACAATCGCAACATGGTGATGAGTATCCTTTGGTTTTTTTTTCCTTCGTCCGAGTCTTCTGCCGAGGGGTCTTTGGAACAAACCAAGTGATGGATGCTCACAGAGTTGTTGGCCCCCAAGACCCTCAGACCCCTCAGACCAAGTCGTATAGTGAACCTTGTGTGCGCATGAATCATAAAATGTTAACCCCGGATTCATAAACCCCAGGTTGATTAATAGGGGGTGTCCCCTTTTAGTGGGGATTCAGATCACTTTTGGAGGGGTTTCCACCCCCCTAATAATGGGAGGGGTTTATTAATCCTGGGTCAACATTAGGCTGTTGGGGGCGGGTGCCGTCCGAAACGTGTCACCTTTTTCTCTGGCGGTACACGCCAGTCCACCTAGGAATCTTCCGTTTGTCTAAGAAAATGTGTTACTTTCCCCTGTGGGGTTTTAAAAGGAATCGACCACTGGAAATATGTTTAGGTTTTTCCAGGGGGCTGAAGCAAAATGGAAGGGAAGTGAGGTGATGTCCGACAACAACTAAGCCCTACAATTGTATCCTTGACGCTTCATTCAAGGCCTGTTTTGGTTTGTCAAGGTCGCCACTGTCTGTCATACCAGAGGTTCGAAACCCTTCACGTGTGAGAATGCAGTCGTGGGCGATCGACCACTTTGGAATCACAAGCGTGGGTGCTTCACAAGCATGGGGCTTGGAAGTTGTTTTTTCTTTTTTCTTTTTTAAACTAGTAACTGGTGCGATTGAGCTGTTTGGGCCAACAAAAGCCCAGCTTTTAATGTTGTGGGGTGTTTAAACTAAAGGCCCAAGAAAACGTCGAACTTACATGTTTTGATCTTGGCCCGGATGAACAAACCCGTCCTATGGAATAGGAAACCTTTCCCTCCAGCAGCTGTTAAAGCACTAAAAGGGGACACCCCCAGTAATCACACGGGAGTTCTGCTTAACTAATCCGGGGTTCCTACTAGTGGCTTTGGCATAGGTGTTCTTTTTGGTTGATTTGGTCGAAAATAGAGGGCCCTGGTTTACCTGGTGGTTCAATCAACTACAAGGGCCATCTATTTTCCCAAAAAGGACACCTATGATTGAGATGTTCTCGAAGTACACATGAGAGGGGCAATCACACAAGTATGCCAGAAGGAAAACATGCGCATCCAAGGGTTGATTACCCATTCTGTAAACATAAAGATACCTGAACAGAATTGGGAGGGCACAATTAGAAGAAACAACCAACACTTTCAAGCATTACTCCCTTTGGCTCAATTTGCCAGCCTCACCCCGCGTCCGGTTTTTTTCTTCTCCCCAGGCGGAGATTTGCGAGTGCCTGGATACCTATGAGGGTGCCTCCCTCAGCTTTCTCTTGTCAGATGGAGTTTCCCGGGTTGGGGAGTCCCCGGTCAGGTTTTCTCTTAGTTCAAGTGGGGAGCAATTGTTACAGAAGAACACGTGCGGGTCGTGCACAACAGGACCCACATGGAACCCACACATGGAGCCCACAGCGGCCCTGAAAAAAAACATGTCCCAGGAATGATGACAGGGTACCTTTTTGGGGCTGGTTTCAGGGGAAACCAGCGGTAGACCACACATGAAGTTGGGACTCCTGGGGCCATGTTCCTCTTCAGGGGTACCTGTTGTGCACGACCATAACGGGAGAAGACGTTTTGGCGGGGCCGGCTTTCTTTAACGATGTCATGGTTGAAAAGTCTGGCAGATACTGTAAACAGAGTTGGCCACCAAGTAGCTGGCACCCTTCGTTACTTATTTGGCACAAACTCAAAGCAAGCCATCAGCGTTGTGCTCCAATTGGACAATTTTCGCACATCTGGACACAACACAAAATCAAGTTGTCCAGGGCTGCGGTGGACACCGAATATATGTTTCTCAGATATCCTTAAAAGTGGTGCCACGACTACAGAAAAAGTGGGTACCCTTATTCTAACTACTGGAGGACCCAGTCAAGGCCAGCACATGTTTCAGCTGGGTCGCTAGGATACATGTCGCTTCCCGAGTTCCGTTTCGGAAAGACCATGTTAGTGGTTCTCCAACAGATTCGTTGCTTCGTTTGGGGGGGGGCGTTCAACAACCAGTGAAAATTTGATGTTATCAGGATGGAGCTTGAGTTGTGCAGAGTTCGAACACACCTGGCAGAGATTTCACAAGGGGCGTTCTTCTTGCTGGCCGCATAGAGCTAGATTGCGACATCGCTTTGGGGGGGTCCCCAGAAAAGGTATCCTCAAAGACACCCGCACCTTTTGCCAACCCAAGGCTATCCGGATCATGGTTTGGCTTTTCAAGCAGCCCCCTTGGTAGAAACCCTTTTCGAGGGAGGCTGTTCACTCCAATGGAAAAGGACCCCGACCCGGATTGCTCTCAACATGCTGTTTTTTGTAGAGTCACCATAACCGTCCCTCTCTGGGAGGTCAAAAACTCAATAAAAATCACAAAACAACTGAGCTTCAAGGAGCACCTGAGCCACAATCAAAACCCGGGTAAGTGAAGGTTAGTAAGGGACGATCCCAGCCGTAAATAGCTGCGGCCGCCTTTTTAGTTCTTACATGTTTCTGGGTCGCCCATTTTCTCAGTTGTTCAAAGCCGACCTCTTGACCTTTTGGTTTCTCATTTTGGTCCATATTTAGTCATGGCCCCAAAAGGTCCAGGTCCTGGCGCAACTGAGTTTTTGTACTGGGTTTTGAGCAGTGACTAATTTCGCACCATTCGCAGGGAATCAGGAAATTCCCGGGTTTCTCAGGTGCGTTGGATGGATGTCGCAACCATCCACCGTAGGCGTTTTGAGCAAGTGACTTATTTGGTCTTCCTTTGACCGCGCTGGCGAGGTCAAATCGTGACGCTGCGCAGGGAGCTGCGTTTGGCCAACTTGTGTCGACCGAGTTGGCTTGTCGCATGTCCCGTTCCTTCCATTTTCTGAAAGGAATACCTGGAGTCTCCATGACCCTTGAAAACTGGGTCCATGGCCCCATGATTTTTGGTAATGACCTCATTATTAAAGGGTCATGGAGACTGCAGGTATGGTTTTAATGTTATTTTCCCCTGTTAGTTTTAAAGGGAATCCATTTCACGACTGGATAGTTTGGTGTTTCCAGGCTTTCAGGGAAGGCTCCCGGAGGGTTTGGGTGGGCTTCCGAGGCTGCGAGGCTCACTCGCGGAGTTCGTGGACGTTGGGCTTGGTCCATTTCAGTAGCAAACCGCAAGTTTGGGCTGGTTTTGGCCGGTCAACTCGATCGGAAGTGAGGGGATGCCGCATTTTTTCCAGACTTCTCATTTGGTTAGGAGATGGAAGACCACCGTTCAGCTCTCCAAGCCTTCAAAGAAGACTTGAAGCAAGCGGAAGAGTTCGGGGCCCCGGAACTTCGCAAGGGAGCGGCGGGACCCGCAGTTTCCGAATGATTTGTTTTCCCCTGTTTCGCCCTTAAACAAATGGGGGGAATACTCAAAATAGTGGGGTGGACCAAATTTTCAAGGGTCAGACTCCAGGCAACCCTTACCCTCTCACAAACTAACAGGGAAGCTGACGTTCGGGAGCTGGCTCCCTTTGCAAGGAAAATTGTCTTCCAGGACCGCTCGCAGGTCAGGTTCCTGTTTTTTTAGGTGGCAAGGAAATAAACATCTGATAACATCTGCCTATTTTATGGCAAGCTCACCAGGATTTTTCAAAAGCTTACCATGATAAAGTCCTTTACTTGAAGATCCCCTACTTCAGGTGTTGGAATTATAGTAAGCATTGCAGATTAACTGATACACAGTCAAAACCCGGGTAGAAGTAAGGCACAATCCCAACCATAAATCTGGGTGAATTATAGCGACCTCACACAACCTCACCCTAAATGGTGGTTTATGTGGGGAGTGGCCCCCAACCACCTTATTTCAGGTTGGTGAAATATTATAATTCACCTAGATAAATGGATTCCTTCGCCGCCTGGTTAGTTCTTGACATGGTTCTGGATAGACTCCCGGGTAGACCATTTTAATACCAGGTTTTCGTTATGACTCAATGGGTGGCTTGGATTTGGAGCGGAACCGCTGGTTCTAGAAGGTAATTGGGAAACCACCCAACCTCCAAACCACCAAACCAATCAGTCGGAAGCTGAATTGTCAAATGTTGATTTTGCTTGCTGTCCTGGAACTTCAGTCTCCTACTAAGCGGGGTACGGAGGGGGTAGAATCCACATAGTTTGACCGTGGCCTTGATACGGAGACCCACTCTAAGACTGGTTAGTCTCCTTGTGGTTCCCGCAAGCCGGATCAACGCGCTTGCCCCTTAAACCTGGAAATAACGGGTTGCCTTGAGCGAGTGAACATGGTTCTTTTAGAGGTTCTTGAACATGCAAATGTGACCCCAGGGTGTATAAGCTTCTGCTTGATTCTTGGGGGCGCCCATGCTTAAAGATTCTTGTGTTGTTTGTTTTCCGGTGTTGGTTTTAAAACGTTCCATTGAGGGCATTCGCACGAGTCATGGTCTTCTTTATGTATGCCCCATGTCCCCCCAGATGTCCCCCCCCAAAAAAACAAGGTGGCACCAGAAAGCGGTTTTTGTTTGCATTTGTGCCCCCCCCCTCCCAGAAAAAAAATAGCAAATACAAGGTGGCACCAGAAGTTGTTGTTTACATGTGTGCCCTTATTAAGCCCTGAAGCCCTTCACTTTCTCACATGGGCCCCGGGGTTCAAACCGCCATTAAAAAACAATGGGGGGGTTCATATAACCACCGTTATTTATGTCAGGAGCGTCATCCTCCAAATTGGCTCCTTGCCATTCTTTTACAGGCGGTTGAAAATCGGTGGGGGAGGCCTGGCTTCTTGCCGCCGCTCGTCTGGGCGAATCGCCTGAGGCGGTGCATCACGGTGGCCCGGGACCAGAGCTGCGAGCTCTGCGGCCTGGCGGCCCTCAAGGCGAACCGCGACACGGGCATCGGCATCGGCATGGGCTCAGCTATGAGTTGAGGGGACGCCCCCCTTCTGGTGGTCTAAAACCCCAAAAAACGAAGGCGGCAAAACATAAAAACAAATCACCCCCCCCACCCTGTTTTTTCTTGGTCGGGTCCTTCAAAAAGACACCCTCAAACCATGTTTTTTTGCATTTTGAGACAGAGCCATGTGAGCAGCGCCATAAACCCTGACAATACAAAGTAGGAAAGGGGGGTGTCCTATAGAATCCCCGTGAAAGCCAAAACGCAGGCCGCGAAAGCTGGCGAAAGCTTATCGCGAAAGTAACCAAAGAAGGTCCCGCCGCGAAAGACCCGCGAAAGCCTGCATGCTGTGTGACAGTCCGCCGCGAAAGCGTCGCGAAAGCAATTCTAAAGAAAACAAAGCTCGCGAAAGCAAAACATGGGGTCGCGAGAGCATCGCGAAAGGGTCCGTGAAAGCAAGTTCATAGGACCGCTTTTACACAAGAGTATTTGGCACGGCTCATGTGGGTGTGAGATTCAATAAGGGGCCCGAAGTCGTGGACAGCGAAATTCGGTGGGGGTTCATGTCTCCGACCGCTTTGGAGGTGGCCCCCTATTCAAATCAATGGCCATGCGGCTTGCCCGGATTTTCCTGATTTGTGCATCGCCCATGCGAGGAGAGGCACAGTGACGAGCCCAACGAGCACTAGACTTCTCATACATACTTACTCCCTGAGTTCCTGCACTTTAAAACTGTTCGGGAAGCATTTTAGTGGCAAACCAAAAGTTCGGACTTTTTGTGGCCAATCCACAGCATCTATGTTCTGCGTATATACATATATATATATATATATAGCTAATATATATATATATACACATATGTAAGTAAATAGTAGTGGACGAGCTCTGGGTTTGAGAGAGAGAGAGAGAGAGGTCTGGATTTCCCCCATGTCCAAGCGCTCGGCACATTCATGTAGTTTGGACCATGGACAGAACACTTTTCTCAGTTCAAAGCCGCCCTGACGTGACCTTTTGGATGTTCTCAGAGATCTTTTTCGGTGGTTGAAAACTCTTCTTTTGACCTCTTGTTTTCTGAAACAATGTGTGGTCCACTTTTCTTACAGGCCAGAAACGGTGACCCATCCCAGGCGAGGATGTCTATACCTTTCCTTGGCGGTGCCCAGCCATCCGTTTCCTTAGGTCTGTAGTTGGTGGTGTTTCGTCGGTTTCGTGGTAGTTTCCGAATCTAACCGACAAATTATTAAACTCTTGGCAGGGATTCGGAAAACGGACAGCCCAGTCTCCTGGCATCTTGAGATGTTGCAGTGCGTCAGGAAAAAATGGGGGGGGGGGGGGGAGCAGAAGGACACTTCTTTCCCAGAGGTCCAGGTACCTTGTGATGTGTTCTGAGTGTTGGGCGCATCCTCCTACTTGCACTGTTCGGGCTTTCTACGTCCCACCTCACCCAGAACGTTCCTGAAGGGCTGTTGCCTCAAGGTGAGGCAATTGTGCCTGGACGAAGCGAAAAGTTTGGGAATGCCCATTTTAGTGGCAAATCGAAGGTGGACTTTGGCTAATCGTCTGAAGTAAGTTGTTCTTCACTGTTCTTGGCATTTCTGAATGGATGGCTACCGAAAACACACTATCCGCCAACAGCCCGAACCCGCCGGAACCCACCCTGAAAGCTGCTCCAAACCACCCCAGATTCTGTCTGGGCCTATCAACCGCACAGCTTTCAGTTATTGGGAATAAGCCTAAGATCTTCCATTTGCTGAATAAGTTTTACTTTCCCTTGTTGGTTTTAAAGGAGTCTATCACTACTGGACATTTTTCATTTTTTCCGGGGGTATCAACCGTTGGGAAAAGGTCTCACCTAGATAGCCGAGTTGTTGCTTTTTTCAGTCACGGTTGCTGGTTTTTGGGGTAAAGTGCATGGAAAAAAAGCAGCAACTGGCGATCCAGGAAGATGGCTTTCTCTACCCCCACTGCCGCCAGGGTAAAGTTGGATATAACCCGTGCCCACTAATAAGCGCGGACCACCCCCCTTCCAAACATAGATACTCACTGGGGGACAAAACAAATGTATTAGTAGGGTCCTTTAGGGTCGACCGGATTGCCTTTGAAGTTCAATAAAACCGTTCAAGAATGTGTTTTTGTTTTTTGCGGTTCAACATGAAAGGGCGCAGTTTTCAACTTAGTGCAATTCAAGAAATACATATAAATTCGTATGCATTTAGAATTTGGTATTGGGTAGAGGGCTCCCAAAGGCTGGGCCTCGTTTGGGCGGACTAAAAGTAGTGTTGACCCGGCGGTTTCAGCCAGTCCAGAAAAATCGTATTTATTAATATAGGGTCCTTCAAAAACTCGAAAAGGGTGGCGGATCATACCCTTTCTAGCGTCGCTATATTGTAGCCATCTTCGGAAAACAACAAAAAACACTTCTCTTGCTCACATGCTTCAAGGGTTGGAAAGTCGCTGCCCGTGAGTCGAAATCTCCAGGAGCGGTTTTACGCCTTCGCCTGCAGCCACTGCTGCCATGAGGCCTGTCTGAGCCCTTTGGCTGCACTAAGGCGAGATTTCGGACCACCAACATCAGGGCAGTTTCGGGGAACCGATGTCTATTTTGACTCACTGCCATAGGTGTCCTTTTTGGTTGATTCCAGGGCCATCTATTTGCCCTAAAAGGACACCTATGCTCACTGCTCTCAGTTGTTCAAAGCGAATCAACCTTTTGACCTTTTTTAATTTTCCCATTTTGGATTCCCATATTTAGTCATGGCCCCAAAAGGTGATCACCTTTTAGTTCCAGGTCCTTTGGGCAACTGAGTGCTTGTTTGATCCTTTCACAAAGGAAGGCTCATACATCTGAGGTCTTCACAAATATGTGTATCTCCGGGTAGGCTAGGTATGACACAGAGTCAGAACGCATAAAGTTCTGTGTGCTCAGATGTGGGGCAAAAATTGTATAGCAGCATTAATTGTCCATTTGCTTAAGAATATTTTTGAGGGCTGAGATTAACCCGTTGGTTTCAAACGGAATGTATCGCTCCTGGACATGTGTTCTCATTTTGCCCCTGACGAGCAATCAAATGGAAGTAATGAGGGTACCTCTGCACATTGCTCTGGAACCTGCCAGAGGGTCCGATACAATCTTGACCCCGGATCAATAAACCCATCCTATTAATAGGAGGTCCCTACAACAGTGGTGTGAATTCTTACTAAAAAGAGGACACCCCCTATTACGCAGTCCCTGAACTCCTGCACTTGATACTTTTTGGGAAGACCATTTTAGTGGTAAAATCCAAGGTTGGGCTTTTTTTCTTCAAAAAGCCACTCAGGAAGTGAGCATCTACAGTTCCTGGGGTTCTGCGGAAAAATATATATAGAAAAACCGGGTTCAACCTTCAGCAGCGATCCGCATCTAGTTGCGGCGAAGTTCGTTTGCAGGTTCCGGCACGGCACCCAAAGAAATGAGAATAGGGGTTGATTCCTGGTGCATTCTTTTGAACCATCTTTTCTGGAAATTTGTGATTGTTTTTTTCTCGGAAAAAGAGCGGTCCGGAGGGTGTACCTCGAAATTGGTGGCGCTTTCCTAGGAATTGGTGTGGTTTCCTCCTTCTTTTGAATAACCGGCTCCGTTAAAAGCCCCGTTCGGGCTTTTGATGGTTTCCTGACAAGATTCGCATCGGAAAGAATGGGGAAGGGTGCCCCCAGAAGAATCGAATGACCCCGAACGAAACACATTGTATGGTTTCCTTTAAGGGAATCCCTTCCGGTTTATTCCCAAAACCCGGAAGGTTCCTCCCTACTTCTCGCACCAGCCAGTTTCATGTCCATGTCATGACCCTCCCACCAATTAACGGAAGGACCCTAATGTTTGGAGCCAGGTCCCTTCAAAAGGAACATGGTACAAACCAGGACCCCCCGACGGATCCTTCTGTTACTTGGTGCGCGGGGAAACCATTAGTTATGGCTTTATGGTTGAACTCAAGCCTTCAAATCAGCTCCCAAAGTACCAGACAGATTTGGGTCTGATTTTAATGAGTGACCCTTTGGTGGACATCAGAATTTGGTGGGGATGCATGTGCACCAACCACTCTGGAGAAGGTTCCCTACTGTGGATGGACAAAATCCTGCACCACTTTGAAACCATGGTTGACACCATATGTCTTGCTGGCTTGTACAGGGGGAATCGAATCATTCCAGGGTTTCTTAGGTGGTGCAAACTGGATGTCGCAACCATCCACAGTATTAGCCTCCCACCAACTAACATGGAGATGCAAAAATGCCCTTTCCAAGAGGAAAGTGGTCTTTCTACCGGGTTCTGTGCACCATGTTAGCTGGTGGGAGGGTACCCAACAAACTTCAGAAATGGATTTCGCATAAAGGGTACATATCCCAATTTACCCCAATTTACAAAATTTTCCCTGGAGGGGTTCCCCTATTACTTGGTTGTTGTTGGGAAACATTTTACATTTTTGCTTATTGTGGTTTAGTGGTTGAAATCCAAACACTTAACGGCTAAGTTTTACATTTTTGCTCCCCTTCCAACGTCAACCAAGCTTTTGGGGGAGGGTTCTTTTTATCAAAGAAAGACAAGGGAAAAAGGTTGGTATCCTCATTCTAACCTCTCAAATCTGGAGGACCTAGTCTATATTTCCCTCACTTCATGGCCCGGCCCCACTCGCTTCCTTTTTTCCTCCCGTCTGAGGGGCCCTGGTCTTGCCCAGCCTGCCTGCGGAGCGCCGGCAGCGGCTGCTCAAGCTGGAGGCGAGGCTCGTTTTTGGGCGGTTTTTGGGGGCGCGGCCGCGTTTTTTTTTTCTTTTTGTGTTCTGGTGTTTTCAGGGGGTCCCCCATCCTAGTGGCAACCAACAACTTCCATTTGCTCAAGAATACGTTTTTTTATTTCCCCTGTTGGTCTTAAAGGTGGTTTCAGGGTCCCCCATCCAAAGGCATAGTCTCTGCCGGAGCCAAAGGCATAGTCTCTGCCTATTTTATGGCGAGCTCTCCCATCCGGGGCTAAAACGCGCTCAAGCCACGAGAAAGGTCCTTTACTAGGTCCCCCAGCTAGGTTTTAAAGGGGATCGATTTCAGTACAGGACATATTTGTCGTTATTTGTTCCAGGGGGCGAAAACGCAAATGGAAGTCTAGGTCCTTTTTTAAACCCACAGCAATTGGTGCCCTTTTTTAAACCCAACTTGTTTGGTTGGTTTTGGGTTCCCCTGCTAAAATAGAAGCACCAGAAAAGAGTTGGTACCCTTATTCTAACCTCTCTACTGGAGGACCTAGGTTTTCAGGGCAGATTCGGTGGAATGTCCAACCAAAACTGGGCAGTTCCCAGCGAATCGTCTAAAGCAACCAAGCTTTTTTTCGGTGTTTCGTTGGTTTCGTGGTTGGGCTTCCGTATTTGAACACGCCAAAAGTGTTTGACTTTTGGGGATCTGAGTTTGGAATTTTCTGGGCGAACTGGGGTCTGCAAAAGAAGATTCGTTTCTACCGGCGAAATGTGGGTGTCAAACTGTGTTGCAGTCGGCAACTCGATTTGACAAAACCCATGCGAAACAGAGTCAACAACTATGATTTTCTGTGTGGCCCTCTTTTGTGTGCCAAGGAAAAGGGGGTGATTGCAACAGTTGCAACCCAGCAAATCAAGGAATAACTTATTGTGTGCCGACCTTGCCACATGCAGTATCTCAAGGACATTCAAAGAGTTCACCCCGACGAGTTAGAACAGCCCTTCACAGCAATGACGGACCAGCTTGCCTTGGGCTATGCTTGCTGCTTGATCGCCAGTGTTGCCTATGCGGTGAATTTCCTGCCCGTGAAGAAGTACGAGACGGGGGATGGGATCTTTTTCACCTTTGCCATGTCCCTGGGGATCTTGATGGTTGGTCTAGTGATGGGATTCATGCAGCACGAGCCTTTTGTCTTCGAACCCCTGGCCGCAGCGGGCGGAGTCATCTTCACGATGGGAAGCCTCGTGTGCCCGTTGGTGATCCAGCTCATAGGCCTGGGCCTAGGTTTGACAATCTGGGACCTCAGCAATATGCTCATGGGCTGGTTCACGGGGCGCTTTGGCCTTTTCGGGGTGGACCAGGAGATCTCGGAGAAGCCCCTTTTCAACTACATCGGTTTAGCGCTGGCCTGCGTCTCCTTGGTCTTCATGTACCTGGCCGCGCACTTTGACACGAAGCTCAAGGAGGTTGAGTCGCAAAACTTGGAGGGTGCGGAGGACTTGGAGCGCACGACCTCGGTCGCGGACCTGAAGGATGAGAGGCAAAGCCCCATGAGAATGGTCATGGGTACATCTTTGGCCATGCTCGCGGGCGTTCTCTTTGGCGCGACCTTCGACCTGCCTCAGGATCTGATGCAGGGGCAGTTTGGAGAGAACCACAGCAGCTATGCTTTGGACTATGTCTTCAGCCACTTTCTGGGGATCTTTGTCTCGGCAGCTGCGTCCTTGCTCGTTTACATCATCGCGCGGAGGAGAAAAAAGCTTCGCCCCCTTGAACCTCGTGCTGCCGGCCATGTGCTCAGGCATCATTTGGGCCATTGGCACGGTTGCTTGGTTCCAGGCCAACGCGGAGCTGGGCTTCTCAGTGACGTATCTTCACTGTTGTTGGCAAGTTGTTGAGTTTTGTGTTGTTTGGTTCTGTTCATTTTTAGCGGCCGCCAAAGACAAAGTTTGCTGCAAGCCGGCAAAGGTATCCAATCATTAGCAGCGTGCCCAGCATCCTGGCTCTCTTGATCGGCTTCTGCTGTTTCGGTGAGCTTGCGACCTCAAAGAGCCGCGGCTTCGCGCTGATTGGGGTCATGATTCGCCTGCCGGGCGTGGCTCTCATCGCTCTCTCCCGACTCTAAGAGGTGGAGGGCAGGGGCCCTAATTACAGTGGATGGACAAAGTCCTGCAGCAGTTGGGATGATAAACCACCCCGTCCACAGTGTGTCTAGTGTGCACCGTTTTTCGGCAGTGCCGCCGATTCAGGCGACGTGAGGTCGCCGGATAGCCGCGTCTCAACATCCCTTCTTGTCAACATGTACGAACACTGACACTATACGTGTCATGGTCGTATTGAAGGGAAGCCCTGACGTAGCAAGATTGCATCCAGACGGTGTCAGGGAGTTCCTCCTTCCTCACCATTGTACAGGCATGCTCTACACTTGGCAAAAGCTCTAAGCTGCCAAATTGCGGGTCATGGTCTCTTTTGGGGACATTTGGAAGGTGGTCTACATTCCGCATTGGGTCCATGACTCCCTACGAAGCTCAAGTAAACCTATTGATTTCTTCCAAAATTGGCCCCAGGCAGTACTCTGACCAGAGGGGGGGGGGTTGTAAACCCAATGGCAGGGCACCATGCCCCCCCACCCCGCCCCGGAAAAAAGAAGAAGAAGAAGAAACAAACAACAACGAGATCCCGGGCGGAGTAAAAATTCCCAGCCCGGCGGAACTTTTTGCAAATTGAAAGGAGGAACGAGGGGTTGTTCCTTCCAACCAGTATCATGTGAGGTCTTCCGCGACCACATATGCCCTAACCTTGGTATGGGGGAAGCAGACATGGATGAAAGACAGTTTTCCTTCATTGGGTAGGTATTGACGTACCCCACACCCACGGAGTGATTCCCGAAGGTTGGTATTCCGTTGGAAGCGGTTTTCAGACAAAGCAGCACCTTTGAGAAGAGGCCAACAACTGATGAATGCATCGCGTTTCCCCTTGAATTCCTGCCTTGGAAAGGCCGTGTCAAACTGAGGTTCCTTTGGGAGCTGGTGTTGGAAGGATCAGGAACCCTGCGAAGAAAGCACCTGCCGACCGAATCCAAGTGTTGCACCAAACCTTGACGGGAGCAACCCCAGTTCCTCTGCCTCTGACGGAAAGCGCAAGTGTAAGCCCTGTTCTCGCCTGACATGGTTTTCTGCCCCGAACCCGCCAAAGAAAAATGCATGGAAAGGCCGGGAAGCCGCGGAGCTCAAAAAAACCACAAGGCCACAAGGGGCCAAATAAGTGGAATGAGCTGGGGTACTCTTAACCCAAGATAGATCATAGGACAAGACGGTTGGGTGAAATGTGGGAGACTATTCCTTCAAACTTGATTTCGGCGTCCCTTTTACTTACAAGCGAATCATCCCCTTTGCTGACACAGGAATCGTGTAACTGCACTGCTCTTGGCCTTGTTTTCTTTTTTTTTGTGCGCTGCTCATGTTTAGTCTGCAAGAAACAGCTCCGTTGCTATCATACCAAGGGCTCTGAAGACAATCCGCCGCCGGGAATATCGCGCGCGGGCTTCACTTTCACCCCTTCTCCGGCGGAGCACGCGCTCCGCCGCTCCGCCCGTCGCAAGTCCGCAGGCGGCGCGCTTGCAGCACCAGGCCGCCGCCTCCTTCGGGCAGCCGAAGGAGAAGGCGCAGAACCAGCAGCAAGCGCTCGCAGAGGCCTTCGCGGGCAGACGGGGGGCAGAAGCGCGCGGCTCCGCGGCTTTGCGAGACGCGGGGAGTTGGAGGGAAGGACTGGACTCCACTGGCGTGGTTTTGGGTGGTTTTTAAGCTTGCGTTTGCTGAAATTAATTTGGTTTCTTTCCCCCTGTTGGGTTTAATGTGAATCTACCACAGTTGAAAAAACGTCTAGATTTTCCAGGGATCTTAAGCAAATGGATGTAGGGGGTCAACAAAAAATAATGACCAGCATATGGGGGGACCGACTGGGTAGGGGTACCTTCCTGCAAGCTGACGACCGCTTTGGCAAAGCCCCCGGCCCTCTCCAAAACGCCATGGGGCAGGTGGATCCAAAAGGGTTGGATCCAAAGTGGGTTCATGGACCCTCAAACTATCCAGAAAGAGGGGAATTCCCCAACCATTGGTGGCAATATGCCCTATTTCACAAGGTATTTTGAGAGCAACTGCGTGGATGGCTTCCCTCGGTGTTTATGACGTATTCCACTTTGAGATGCTTGCTGCTGTGGATGAAATCTTGCACCTTCCAAGAAACCCTGGAATGGTTCGATTCCCCTGTAAATACCAACAAGCGTTTTTTTTCTCCCATGGTTTCAAAGTGGTGCGAAATGGGTTTTATCCATCCACATGGATAAAATCAAAGGCGCTTGTGAGGGGCAGCCGCTGAGATTGCGAGGGGTCTCCATCTTACTTGGCTCTGAGGTGTCCGTTTGAACCACTCGAGGGGTATGGAGGACGCTGCTGACCCGAAGGATGGTGGGATCCCTTGGGATGTGGCAGTGGCTCAAAAAATCACGTTGCATGGAAAAGGGGCAGTATCTGCCCTTTCTGCCAGTCTTCACTGTTGTTGGCAAGTTGTCAGGTTTTGAGGCTTCAAAAACAGACAGTGTTACTAGGGTTAGGCTGCCTTCAAAGATTCCAGGTTACTGGGGTTTTGTTGTTGGATTCTGTTATTTTTTTGTTTGGGGGCAAAAGAACAAGTTGGCTGCTCCAAGATTGTAAAGAAGTGATCTAGCACCTGTTTGGTAATATACTAGGTCCTCCCGTAGTGCCCTTTTACCCTTTTTTGGGGGAGGGTTCTCCGCTCGAATAGGCAACAGAAAAAAGGGTACCCTCATTCTAACCTCTCTACTGGAGGACCTAGTATATATGAGGCCGCTTCATGCGAAGGTCAAGGACCGCAGAACGCTGATTTCTGATGTTCTCGCTGGCTTGGTTTCTAGGAACAGCTTTCAAGTGCTTGGATGTTGTTTTGAGCGACGGGCACGGTGGTAGTGCTGGTTACAACCTATTTACCCCAGTCATAAGTCCCCGAAGTTGTGCTAAGTAATTAATGTTGACCCCAGATGAGTACTCCTGTGAACAGGAGGGTGTTCCCTCCAGAAGTGATGACACTAAAGGGGGAACCACCCCCTTCCCAATAATCTTAATCCAGGGTTCGCATTACTGGCTTGACTGCTTATGTGCTGCTCTCGCGCGACTTGTTTCCAAGATACCAGGTGGAAGACGAGCTAGACAGCATCCTTGCAGAGGACGTCCGAGTTGATGACTGCACAGTGTCCGGGAGCAAATCGTTTAAATGATCTGTTTCGAGAAGTGTGTCAAATAGATTTGGAAGATGACTTTAAAAAAAGGATCTTTGTGTAACATCGTGTTTTTTCAATTGGCTGAAAATAATTTAAATGGATTTTATTCAGCAACAAACCCTAGTAGAGTGTCTAGCTTAAAGAGAATTGGCGGGCGTCCTTGTCTAACAAGATTTGTAATCAAATCTCTTGCAAGAGGGTCGGCAAAAAGTGGGGCCCAGCAATTCGGAGAATGTAGATACCACATCCTTTCATGAGGGCTCGCGACAATTGTACAACCAAAGCATGGCCCAGTCTTAGGAAAAGAGCTTCGGCGTTCCGATCTACCTGGCAGAGCACATTGCCCGATTCGTTCTCGAGATCCGTTTGCTTTGGGGAACCCCACCTCTGGAATTCCATAGATGTGGGTGTGTCTTTTTTGGGTGTCCCTGTTGCTTGTCCTTTAAAACTACTCCCTACTAAGTACCCTCTTTTTTGCAGGGCATCATGTCGACCCTCTACTAAAAAAGGCGGTATTTACCACGGAAAAAAAAAGTTTCCAAAAAAATGCCCTGACACAAGTGGGTATTTGGAGTGAGGGGTAGCCAAAATGGCTCAAAATGAAGACGAGCCACCCGTCTATTTTCTGTATTGGGCGGTTTGCCGGAAAGGCTGCGGTGGTACTGGACCTCACGGTTACCTCGAAGTAAGCCCCTTCGAAGCCACGCAAAAACCGACGCGTTTTCAAGGAATTATCTTGTGGCAGTTGCTGAAGAATATTTCTTTATGTTCCCTGTTGGTTTGAAAAGGAAGCCATCACTACTAGACATATGTTGCCATTTTTCCGGGAGGCTTAAGCAAATGGAAGTTGGAACAGCAGAAGAGACACCTCTTCTGTTGTTCCCTTGTTCTGATTCACAACGGTCTTCAGGGCCCCCGGCTAGAGTGAGCGCACGAAGGTAGATTTAGGGCACAAGTTTCGGTTACGTGTAACTCAAACGGACTCAAGCAATGTGACAACTTTATGTTTTACATGTTTTGTTTTTGAATTCTACGTGTTGTTTGCTTTTGTTGCAAAGCACACATGCACACACACACACAGATGAACAGGGCCTCGCTGCGCGGGCTTGGGCTTCAGGATTGCCCCCTCTGCGGACAGCTGATGATCGACTGCATCATGCGGCTCGGCCGAGCAGAGGCGCGGCTCTATGCGCCCGGCGCTATGTGCCGTGTGCACGGCTCTCAAAGGCCATGATTCAGGTTCTTCCGAAGCGGTTTGGCAAAGCGCCAGCGACCGATGGCCTTTTTTTTTGGGGGGGGGAAACATCGCCAAAAAAAGATCAGTGACCACCGAGTTGTTGAGTGACACTCTCGTTCCCTTTGTGCCTTTCCGGAAGTTTAGCCCTTTGGGATGAAAACCTATGTTGTTCGGTGTGCGAGGGTCGCCGTTTTGTCTGCAAGTGGTGCTTTTTTTCTGTCATCAAATGGGGCCGTGTGCCGTTGGGCTGCAGCAACGCGGGTTGAGATGGCCTCGCGGGTTGAGATGGCCTGGCTTTTCCAGGCAGAGGGCTGAAAATGACCAAACCACCAGAGGCAAGTGCGGTTGGGCCCCTTGTGCGCTATTTAGCACACAGCCTTAAACTTCCCCAAGCCAAAAAAGGAAGGATTTGATCTTTGTTTTCCCAACGGCTGAAAGCGTTTTGGGGGTCGACTAGGGTGAGTGGCAGCTTTCGCTGACGGACTCCGCTCACGGAAAGGTTATCTTGCTGGTGCTCAGTAGGAAATGAGGTCATGGAATGAACCGGTTTGCGGGATTCGCGAATCAGAAAAACCACCAGCAAGGGGTGGGTTTCTTTTGGGGCATTCCATTTCTCAAAAACCTACTGAGAACGCACCAGCAAGTTATGAGAACTCGTGTAAGAACCCTTCTATAAAGTGCTGAGAGCACTTCTTGGGGGAGCTGGGGGTTGGTGGGGGGGGGGGGCGGTGGTTGGTTTTTTGCCCTTTTTCAAGAGGGTTCCGTAAGAATGAGTGAGGCAGGGATCCCGAAAGCCGGCCATTTTGCGGGTTGCATCCTTGATGGTTAATCCTTATCCCTCTTCTTGGTTGCGTCCATGGTGCGTTGCTCAAACATGACAGTTTCCGACCAGCCACCTTCTCAAGATGCGAACGCTTGGTGAATGATCGCAATGAGTGCAAACACATTTGCCACATCTCAATGTCCGCAAAAACCAGCACTCATTCTTTTCTTGGTGTCTCCCCATCCCCTTACTTTTTAATGTTTTTAGGGTTTGGAGGCAGTTTCCCTTTTTGACCCACTACAGGTTAGACCCACTTCTGGGCAGCCCAGCTGGTCCTCGCGGCAAAAAGCAAAGTTTCTGCGCGCGTTTGGCGGCTCGGTCTGAGGAAGCCCTTCATTGACCCCGAGGAGGAGGACATCGAGTCCTGGGCCATCCCCGACTAACCGTCCGATCCCGCGCTGTCGGAGAGAAAAAAAATGAGCGGATCGAGCGGATCGAGCGGCGCACAAGTCTCGAAGCCCGGGGCGAAGGTGTAGCCTCCCATCCATAGGTGTCCTTTTTAGGTTAGGTTGGCTGGAAATAGATGGGTTCCACTGGTTTAGACGTGGTTTGTTAACCATTTACCAGGGAATCCCATCTATTTTTCCAAAAGGCCACCTATGCTCCCAGCACTTCCTGAGTTCATGGGCTTGAGGCTTTTTGGGCCTTTCATTTCTATCTGAGCTCCGTAGTGCAAAAGGAATCAAGGTTGCATTTGCATTGCAAAGGTGGGTGTGCGCCAAAATATGGGGACACCCCACATGGTGCTTTTTCCTTTCGTTTCCCCTTGAAGACCATGCAAGGGGGGGTCAAACCCAGGTCCAGGTGAACACGAGCTGGGACGTTGACACGTATTGAAATGTTACTAGTAATGGGCCATAATCAAACACGTATTCCTCAGTTGCCCAGTGGTCCCCTTTTTCCCTTTTATGGGAAGGGTTCCCCTTTCAAGTCAACCAACCAAAAAAAGGATGCCCTTTTTTCCCCATGGTCACTGGGCATCTGAGTATTTGGTTAAAGCTGAGGTAGACAGGATTGTTTTATATCCCCCAAATTTCTGTGAGTTACTGTCCCCTGGCTGAAATTCTGAAAGCCGGCTGGGGAGCACGCAAAACACACTATGTGTGTGCTTCTCATGGTGTAGTGTTTGGTTTGTTAAGAGGGAAGCCGAAGGGGACCCGCAAATTCGAGATTTTTGGAGAAACACCGCCCAGGTATCGGGAGGTGGGGTGCACATGCACGAAGGATAAGCCACCCCGCACAAGGTTTGGGGGGACGGCACTGTGGATCCATTTCGCGCCAAAGAAACCCTGGAACACTTCGATCCCCCCCCCCAAAAAAAAAGAAGCCAACGAAGAAGGGTTTCCTTGCCATGATCTTGTTGGCTTCCCGAGGAGAAAACAAAACAAACAAACCGGCCGCTTAAAAGGGGCGCCATGGACGGTGCACCTCGCAACTCGTTTTTGAGGCCTCAATGCTACGCCAGGCATCGGCTCGGAAGGGACGCGATGGGGGGACTCGACGGGTTGTCATTTCTTGGCGAAGCCAACCATCCGATTCCTTAGCTTTTTAGCGTTTTAGTGTTTAGTGGTAGTTTCCATGTAAGCCACCAAAAGTTAGACTTTTAATTGGCGGATATTAGCGGAGGATCTGAGGGCAGCCCAGATTTGATTTCTGCTCGGCCCCGAGTCCTTTTTGTTTTCCTAGGTCCGGCACGGCCGTGTTGCTGCGAGCTGGGGTTTTGGCTTGGTCGGTTGGTCTTGCCCCCAACTTCCACTTGCCCAACGCTCACGTCCGTGCATGGACGGACTTTAGGCACTTGTTGGGCCTGGTTGCCATTTTGGTGGTAAATGACAGTTTTGTTTTGGCCTCAGGGAGTGAGTAAGAATGTGTTTGTTTTTCCCCTGCTTGTTGGTTTTAAAGGGGATCGATCACTGATGGACTCACGTCTTTTCCCGGGAACTTCAGCACATGGAGGCCTTTTGGTTCCCTGATTTGGTGCACAGTCAATGGTTCCAAACGGTTTTCTCGCAGGTCCTCTGGTGGTACTCCTGTGGCATCCCCAAAAGCAAACCCAGCAGATTTCATGGAGCCCAAAGGCGGGATAGCTCCAGTTCAGGGGCGCAACCTGCGGTTGGTTCCTTGCAACGTTGCCACCGCGATATTGCAGCAAGTGATGGGGGGTCTCCGCTGTGCACTTAAGGGAGGGCCCCTTGTTAAGTGCCAAAGACTCGTATAGGATGTGGGTGCCAACATGTTTTGAGTGGGTTGCCTTCTTTTTGGCTGACAAACAAAATATGACACAGATTGAAACGGAGCAAGAACTGTGATCTTTTGCGCGCCCCCTTTTTTTTGTGTCTGCCAAGGAAAAGGGGGAATGAAGGTAAAGTTAGCTTCCTGCGCCTTCCGACCTTGTCGCATGCTGTATCCCAAAGACATTCAAAGATAACATTTCCTCAAGAGCTAGAGCAGCCCTTCAGAGCTATGACGCGCGATGTTGGCATGGGCTATGCCTGCTGCTTGATTGCCAGTGTCGCCTATGCTGTGAATTTACTGCCTGTGAAGAAGTACGAGACGGGAGATGGAATCTTTTTCACCTTTGCCATGTCTCTGGGGATCTTGATGGTTGGCCTGGCAATGGGCTTAAATCAGCACGATCCTTTTGGCTTCGAACCCCTTGCCGCACTGGGCGGAGTCATCTTCACGATGGGAAACCTCCTGTGCCCGTTGGTGATCCAGCTCATAGGCCTGGGCCTAGGTTTGACGATCTGGGACCTCAGCAACATGCTCATGGGCTGGTTCACGGGGCGCTTCGGCCTTTTCGGGGTGGACCAGGAGATCTCGGAGAGGCCCCTCTTCAACTACATCGGTTTAGCGCTGGCCTGCGTCTCCTTGGTCTTCATGTACCTGGCCGCGCACTTCGACACGAAGCCCAAGGAGGTTGAGTCGCAAAACTTGGAGGGTGCGGAGGACTTGGAAAGCTCGGCCTCGGACCTGAAGGGCGAGAGGCCAGACCCCATGACAGTAGTGATGTACATCTTTGGCCACGCTCGCTGGCGTTCTCTTTGGCGCGACCTTCAAACTGCCCCAGGATCTGCTGCAGGGGCAGATCGGCCAAAACCATAGCCGCTATTCTTTGGACTATGTTTTCAGCCACTTCCTGGGGATCTTTGTCTCGGCAGTTGCGTCCTTGCTCGTTTACGTCATCGTGCGGCGGAGAAGAAGCTACGCCCCCTTGAAACTTGTGCTGCCGGCCATGTGCTCGGGCGTCATTTGGGCCCTTGGCACGGTTGCTTGGTTCCAGGCCAACGCTGAGCTGGGCTTCGCAGTGACGTATTTTCACTTTGGTTGGCAAGTTGTTGGGTTTGCGTTGTTTGGTTCTGTTCATTTTGAATAATTAGGGGGCTGCAAAAACAATTGCGGTTGTAAAGGTATCCCTTCAATAACAGCGTGCCCAGCATCCTGGCTCTCTTGATCGGCTTCTGCTGTTTCGGTGAGCTTGCGACCTCAAAGAGCCGCTGCTTCGCGCTGATTGGCGTCATGATTCGCCTGCCGGGCGTGGCCCTTATCGATCTCTCTCGACTCTAAGAGGTGGAGGGCAGGAGCCCTAATTACTATGGGTGGACAACATCCTGCAGCAGTCGGGATGATAACCACCCCATCCACAGTGTGTCTAGTGTGCACCGTTTTTCGGCAGTGCCGCCGATCCAGGCGACGTGAGGTCGCGGGATAGCTGCGTCTCACATCTCTTCTTGTCAACATGTGCGAACACTGACACTAGACGTGTCATGGTCGTATTGAAGGGAAGTCTTGACGTGCAAGATTGCGTCTAGACGGTGTCAGGGAGTTCCTCCTTCCTCACCATTGTACAGGCATTCTGGACTTTTGGCACAAGCTACTGTAAGCAGTTCTGTCTATGGCCACATGACTCCCTACAAAGCTCGCGTAAACCTTTTGATTCTGGAGGGAGCGTCTCCTTAAAAGATCCAGGCAGTTTGGCTTTGAAAAGCCCGGGGGTTGCAACTTTTCCTTTTATGGGAGTAAAAGCAGATCCCAGCCCAGTACTCCTTGCAGGAACGAGGAGACAGTAACCTTCCCCAGAATTAGCTCCCCTTTTTGCTTTTTTGCTTTTTTGGGTTCCCTTTGTTTTCCACTAACCAGGCAAACAAGATATCTTTGTGCTGGGGGGCTAATTCCAGCCTAGTAACAGCGACCACGATCGAAACCACAAACAACTTCTTTGGGGGGGGGGGGGATGGATTGGACGGGCTGCCTGCTTTTGGGGACCAGCTGGGGGTCTTCTTCTCAGGAGCCTTCGAGGGCGGGCCGGGCACGAAACGGCGCCGATCTGGGTGCGTTCCAGCCTAGGGTGTCCCAGCCCTTGGCGCTGGAAATCCCCACTAAACTGCTAAGAATCATTTTTTTTGCTCCCCTTCCAACGTCAACCAAGTACTCGCCGCTTCGCATGCTGAACTTCCCGCACAAAAAAGCGGGCGCTGGGGTGGGTGCGGGGGTGCAGGGGCGGGCAACCCCGGGCTGGCACGGACGAGCGTGTGCGGGGCCGGGCGCGCGGGAGGAAGGCATAGGGCATAATTAACCAGAGGCAACATCAGAACATGAGCTTCCATTTGCTTAGGAATATTTTGTTATTTTCCCTTTTTGGTTTTAACAGTAATGTATCACTATTGGAATTCTTTTGTCCAACGGTCTTAAGCAAATGGCAGTCAGCAACAGAAGCGCGCCAGCACAAAACACCACACAAAATAGAGGAAACACACAAAAAAACGTGCAAAACACAGAGAATCAACAGCATGAGACAAACGCACCGTATCAGCCTGAGCTATTGATCGGAGCACTAAGTCAGTATCAGGAGGGACGGGCTCTTCAAGGGCAGTCACCAGTTGTTCAAAGCCGACCTTTTGACCTTTTGGTTTTCTCATCTTGGTCCATATTTAGTCATGGCCCCAAAAGGTTAACTTTTTGGTTCCAGGTCCTTTGGGCAACTGAGACAAACGTGGTCGCGGATATATTGTAGTGCCCATGGCCGCCATAGACACGAGTAATATTGTCAGTTGCCCACTTCTTCCCTGGGTCCCATGCTTTAAATGGTTTGCCCGTGCAAGCTAAGTCATCATCGGCTGGATGTTGATAAATATCGGGGGGTTATTTATCCGTCAGGGGTCATTACTTTAAAGACCCTCCGCTTTGTTTCAATGGAAATGGTCAGGGCGCGGAAGGAGTGGGGATTTCCTGCCCGTGAAGAGCCTTTTGACACGAGCTGGAACAGTCCTTCAGAGCTATGACGCGCGATGTTGGCATGGGCTATGCCTGCTGCTTGATTGCCAGTGTCGCCTATGCTGTGAATTTACTGCCTGTGAAGAAGTACGAGACGGGAGATGGAATCTTTTTCACCTTTGCCATGTCTCTGGGGATCTTGATGGTTGGCCTGGCAATGGGCTTAAATCAGCACGATCCTTTTGGCTTCGAACCCCTTGCCGCACTGGGCGGAGTCATCTTCACGATGGGAAACCTCCTGTGCCCGTTGGTGATCCAGCTCATAGGCCTGGGCCTAGGTTTGACGATCTGGGACCTCAGCAACATGCTCATGGGCTGGTTCACGGGGCGCTTCGGCCTTTTCGGGGTGGACCAGGAGATCTCGGAGAGGCCCCTCTTCAACTACATCGGTTTAGCGCTGGCCTGCGTCTCCTTGGTCTTCATGTACCTGGCCGCGCACTTCGACACGAAGCCCAAGGAGGTTGAGTCGCAAAACTTGGAGGGTGCGGAGGACTTGGAGCGCACGACCTCGGTTGCGGACCTGAAGGACGAGAGGCAAAGCCCCATGAGAATGGTCATGGGTACATCCTTGGCCATGCTCGCGGGCGTTCTCTTTGGCGCGACCTTTGACCTGCCTCAGGATCTGCTGCAGGGGCAGTTTGGAGAGAACCACAGCAGCTATGCTTTGGACTATGTCTTCAGCCACTTTCTGGGGATCTTTGTCTCGGCAGCTGCGTCCTTGCTCGTTTACATCATCGTGCGGCGGAGAAGAAGCTATGCCCCCTTGAACCTCGTGTTGCCGGCCATGTGCTCGGGCGTCATTTGGGCCCTTGGCACGGTTGCTTGGTTCCAGGCCAACGCTGAGGTGGGCTTCTCAGTGACGTATCTTCACAGTTGTTGGCAAGTTGTTGGGTTTTGCGTTGTTTGGTTCTGTTCCTTTTGAATAGGGGGCTGCAAAAACAATTGCGGTTGTAAAGGTATCCCTTCAATAACAGCGTGCCCAGCATCCTGGCTCTCTTGATCGGCTTCTGCTGTTTCGGTGAGCTTGCGACCTCAAAGAGCCGCTGCTTCGCGCTGATTGGGGTCATGATTCGCCTGCCGGGCGTGGCCCTCATCGCTCTCTCCCGACTCTAAGAGGTGGAGGGCAGGGGCCCTAATTACTGTTGATGGACAACATCCTGCACTAGTTGGGATGATAGACCACTCCATCCACAGTGTGTCTAGTGTGCATCGTTTTTCGGCAGTGCCGCTGATCCAGGTGACGTGGGGTCGCCGGATAGCCGCGTCTCAACATTTCTTCTTGTCAAATTGTGCGAGCACTCACGTTACACGAGTCATGTTCGCATTGAAGGGAAGTTCTGACGTAGCAAGATTGCATCCAGACGGCGTCAGGGAGTTCCTCCTTCCTCGCCATTGTACAGGCATGCTGGACACTTGGCAAAAGCCACTGCAAGCAGCTCCGTCTAAACTGCAAGAATTGCGGCTCATGGCCGCAGTGTTGTTCTTGTTGGGACATGTACAAGGTGCTCTACATTCTGCATTGGGCCCATGACTCCCCACAAAGCACGAGTAAAACCTTTGATTCGGAGGGAGCGTCGAATAGAAAGATAGGCCCGAAGCAGTATTTGTGTTTGAAAAGCCGAGGGGTTGAAATTCAATGGCAGGGCGCCATGCCCCCCGCCCCCCCGAAAAGAGATCCCACTTTTCAAAATGTTCTAACTGATTCTTCATGGGAGTACACAAAGATCCCAGCCCGGTACTCCTCGCTGATTGAAAGCAGGAACGAGGGGCTGTTCCTTTTCACCACAATCACCCTCTCCGAAACGAACAAACTTGTCTGACAACAATGTTGATTGTGACTTGAGAACGAGATCACAAACAGCTTTGAGCCTGGTTCCAACGTAGCGGAGGACGCGTATTGCAAGTTGAGCGACGCGGTCTCTTACAATTGTGGTCGTGGATTTATAGTAGTGCCCATGGCCGCCATATCCCTGAGTTCACTGGCTTCTTCAGAATCAGTCCTAAATCCTTCGCAGTGTCCCTTGCTGCGCCCTCATTTGCCAGGTAAGTTCACATGGGCCAGAGTCAGACATTCAGGCAACCATAATTGGATCGTTTGGCGTTGGTATTTGCGCCAAACCCTTCTTTCGGAGGGTAGAAAAGGGCAGCCGCCCTGGCGCGCGCCGAAGCATGTCACAGGCTTCGTTTCGCTGGCCCAAGGGCTGAACCCGCAAGAGCCACACACAAGCAGACAACCAAAAGACACCAGAGGAGACGAGAACCTTCAAAGGAGTCGCAATCAAAACCCATTCGGGTAGACGAAGGTTAGCAAAATCCCAACCGGCCGCCTTAATTCTTTACATGGTGGGTCGACCAGTTTAATACTGGGTTTTGATTGTCACTCAACTTCTCGGTTCGCAACTTTTGTTGTGCGTTGGTTCTGTTTAGTAGCCAGGCCTCCACCTCCCCACGCAGCATCAGCACCATGCCTACAAGTTGTGGCAAGATCTGGGTTCCATGCTGCGAACGAAATTATGCACCACCTAAGAAGCTACACTCCCTCATGGTTTGCCTTTTCCACTGGTTGGGTGATAAATAAGCAGCCCCCCTGGTAGTGTAGGAACCCCGTTCAAGGGAGGCTGTTCATTTCAGTGGAAAGGGAAACCCTGCACTCCGTCAGACTAACATGGAAGCTCTCAGAAGACCTCCGCAACATGGCTGTCGTTGGGAAACATGTTTCCCCATTTTTGCTTTTATTGCGGTTTAGTGGTTGAAATCCAACCACTTACCTAAAATTCAAACTTTGGCTCCCCTTACGTCAACCAAGGCAAATGCGTCACCAAGTCCGTTCGGGAGCTTCCGTGGGAAGGCTTGGGGGAGGGGAGGGTTGAAACCATCGCCCCCATCGTTTTACTCGAGGGAGAGCTTCCATTTGCTTAAGAACATGTGTTGTTTTCCCTTGTTGGTTTTTAAAAGGAGTTTATCACCACTGGAAATAGTTTTTTTTCTGGGGTCTCAACCAAATGGAAGTTGTTCCTTTCCCTGCCCTGAATCCGTCAAGGGCATTTTCAATCATGGTGTTCGGAGGTTGTGTGCTATGTGCAAACAAATCGGGCGTACTGCCTGGCCCCATGATTTCCCAGTTGGGTTTGCTTCCTGTTTTCCATTTTTTTTGAGGGGGGTCAGGGTTCCCCTTTGAAGTCAACCAACCAAAAAAGGGCGCGGTTTCTTTTTTGCCCATGGCCACTAGGCGTCTGAGATTTTACCATGATCAAAATCACCCCCCAAATCAAGTGGTAGGTAAAGGGAAAGAACCTGAAAATCGACGCATCAACATATTGGAACCATCAAACCAATGACCCCAGAAACCATAAAAAAAATGCATATTTCGAGAAACCATCAAAATAATGACTCGCCCAGAATCTGTTTTGGTTGTTCCGGGCGAATCGTCGGAATCTGCGCCTGGCAGGTGGATTGACGTCCGGACGGAATGCAAGGCCCAGCCCCGAAAGTAGGCTCAGCCTTCGGCCGAGGCCTAGGCAATGCCATTGGGGCGAGAAGTTTTTTGGAGGGCTCCAAGTGAATCTATTCTTGAAGGGTCAGGGTACTTAATGGTTAGTACACCTGGTTACAACCCATTGAACAGAGACGGTGCCCCTGTTTTGTGGGTTTTTTAAGGCGAAACCAAAGCAAACCCACGATTTTGGAGGGTCGTTTTTTAGAGGGTTCTAGGGGTACCTTCCATTTCCATTCTTTCCAGGGATCCTTCCTTTCAGGAACCATCAAAAACCCGGGGGAAACGGATCCGGTTTTTGAAAAGAACGTTGAACCAACCCTTGGAAGGGTGCCCGTGGTTTGTGGTTTTTAAGGCGGAACCAAAGGAAACCCAAGGTTTTACCTCAAACAATGACACCAGCATTGGAACGTTGGCCGTTTTTTTTTTGTGTTCCGTCATGTTCATTCTTTGGCCAGCCACAAGCTTTCTTTTGGCAGAGGCCTTTGGTCAAGTGAGGCCGCCTCCAAAATGATTTGCCATGTAGGGTAGGCTAACTTGTTTTCTGGGCGTGCCTTTTCATGTTTATGGCTTGTGGTAAGCATGGAGGCTCTTGCGCCATTGAAGGGTTGGCAAAAGGAACAGTTACAAGAGGGGTAAGGGGTGTATATGGGGTTGTGTTGTCTTCCCGCCCCAAAGCTGGTTCTCCTCTTGGGCCTCCTGTAAAACCAAACGGAAAAGGGGTTCCCCCCAGCAAAACAGAACCATCTCTCTTTGCCTCTCTATGTATACATATGTAAAGAGAGAGAGAGAGAGAGAGAGAGAGAGAGAGAGATATACACGTACGTATGAGATATACATTTATATATGTGCATCTCTACATATATGCAAGTGTCACGAGTTTTTGATTGTTCGAACATGCCAAGCTTCAGGTTTTGCCTCCTCCCCCCCCCCCCGGCGCAGGCGAATTGGCGCGAGAGGCGAATGATGGTACGTGGCTCCGGAAAACGCGCCGCGGTTTTCCCCTCGGCTCTGGGTCAACTGTTTGACCAGTACAAAGCCAAGAGGTACAACCACGAATTGTGGTCAACTAGCCCTCCAGGGAAAACATCCTACTTGCCAATTTCGAATCGACCTCTTAACCATTTGGTTTCTCTGCTTTGGTCGGCCAAGGTTCCAAAAGGTGATCACCTTTCAATTCCGGGTCCCTAAGGGGCAACTCATAATTTGTGCAACGGGTAAGTCACAAAGTCCCCTTTGCCAGTTTCAGCCTGTCACTGACTGATCCAACATGGAAACATGTCAACGTTGACCTTGCAGTACTTAGCCTCGCAGAAAAAAAAGTGCATCAGGAAGTGAAGGATCCCTCAAAAAAAGGGGACCTGCCTATCTATGAACCATAACAACAATACTTCAATGAACCTACCTATCTCCCAACCAGGAGGTTACTTCAATCCAGGTTTCCCATGAATCCAAGCGAACTCACATCCACGTTCTCATCGCCGATCGTTGCCGCCTCGATGGGCTTCTCCGCCAGCCAAAGGGGGCGTTTCCGTCCGGTTCCATCGGATGCCGAAAATGGATCGACTTGGTGCTGTCAGTTGCCGCTTGAACTGGAAAAAAAAAGTGGAACGGCCATGAATTCCACCCCCCCCCCCCCCCAACAAAAAAAGGGCCCACTCCCCCCCAACTGCAAACACAATCCTCTCCGCTGCTATTTTGGGAGCCTGCATTATGAGGTTGCCACTACATTAGGTAACAAAGGGGTATCTTTACCTTTGGGTAGGTACATTATTTTTTCCCCTAGAAACCTGCTTCGTGTTGACCCTTGGCGATAAATAGCACATGTGCATTCGCCCAAAGGAACCCAAAAGGATTACTATATTGGTGCGTTTTCCAGACGCTGTGCACGGACGAAATCCACTTTCAGCCAGCTAGGTGGTGCATCCCGGTATTCATAGGGGTTCATGCTGTAAGTTTTTGTCCAGCATCCTTTACGCCTGTCAACTTGATTGCTATTGGCATGGATCGTTAGGCTTTAACGGTTGAAATCATGGGTTTTCCATTCAACCCACAACAATCAGAGGTCAACAGCAACCAAGTTGAGGCAACCAGTTGACGTGACAACTTTTGGCGGTCCACGGAACAAAGCCATCCGAGCTCCACAAAAACTTGCTGGGAGCACACCGCATGTTAATCGAAGCGCCTCCCCCCAAACCCCCAAGAATCAAGTTGAACTGGCTGCTGTATGGGGACGGATCGCATTCTGATAACCTTGCCACCGGATCGCAAGCAGCCAGGGAAGGAGTCCAAGCACCAATTGACTGCCACAGGATCAATACCCAAACCCCTTTGCTGGGCTTTATTTTTTTCAGGAGAGAGAAGCCCAACCAAAAAGAAAGGATAGGGCCATTTGGGGCACCTTTGTGAACTGTGAGATTTTCACAGATACACTTCGAATTCAAATTCAACGCCCCTTTGAACATGGACCCATCCGGAGATCCCTTTTCAACCAAATTCGTCTTCCAGGACCCCCCCCCCATTCTGTGAGGTTCCATGTTGTGGATGGGAGGGTGCCCCAAACTGGGTTTTGTTCATGACGACTGGATCCAGCTGCACCATCATGCTGTCATATGTGTTGTTGTGTTTTTTGCATGCGCACATATATCCGGGCAGTTTATGGCGACATTGCAGGCTGGGGTTGCTTCCCAATGGCGGCGTGGTGTTTGTTTTGGTGTTAATTGTCGACTTTAACTCGTTGTTGGAAGATGTGTGCAAGTGAGGTATCCCTGTTCAGGTGTGCTTTGGGATCTTCCTCGGCAGTGCTTGCGGGAAATCAGATTTCTTCTGCCGCGTTCTGAGGAGCTTAGCTTTGTGAAGATCCCAATCCATAAGCGGGGGAGGCGATTCCTGCCATGACACTGAGCTCATGCGCGAATTCGTTGATCGAACTCCTGCCCAGAGACGAGTCTAGCGGAATTTGAGGGCCTGAATGTCATTTCTGGAGAGGACGCGGGGGGTGCCTTTGCTCTCAGGTCTTGGGCCGGACGGCCTGTGGTCCCGAAATTTTGACCAGCCTTCAGTGTTCTTGGTATGCAGCGAATGAAGCAGCGCGGGCCAGATTCGGAGGTGTTCCATTGCTAGGCTTCGTTTTTTTTTTTTTTTTGCGCAGCCTCAGATCCAAGGATGGGAAGCTTCAACCAATCTGAGCCTTTGACTGACTTAGATTTGCAGGCGCAACCTTTTTGCGTATTGCTTGTTTGGTTCCCGGGTGTCAACCCATCGGATTTCCTTTGCTGCCAAGGCTGCCAGTGTCAACTACGACTATGGGCACAACAGGGGCACTACATGCACAAGTTGTTCATTCACTTGGGGGGGGTGGTCCGTATGGCCACTTAGAGTCTTCCTTTCCGACTTTTGTTGAGGGTATGTGTTCTTTAGGGCTCTGGTTTGGGTCGAGAAGGCTTGACGACCCAAGCTCAAACCCTAAAAAAAGACATACCCTCAACAAAAGCTTGACTTTTACTCACTTCCTGAGATCCTGGACTTTGAAGTGTTTGGGAAGACCATTTTGGTGGTAGAGAAGGAAAATCGTATGGACTTGTTTTTGGCCAATCCACTCAGGAAGTGAGGTGCATTGCTCCGTAACTGAGCGAAGCTCTGGGAAAGCACGTCGATGGGCACAGGTTGTACGATAGGTTCAGCACTGGGTACGTCAGGTTAGTGGGTAACCATGGCTTGTGGATCATGTTGACGGTTTCTGGCGGTTCTCAAAGTCAGTAACCTCCCAAGGGGGTCCCTTTGAAAGGAAGTGGCCTTCCGGGATCCAAACACTGGCGAGAGGGTAATGGGAGTTGTGTCCCTGTTGTTTTTTTCCCCAGCCACTTTGGGGGCGAGTTTGAGGGCAAGGGGGTTCACAACCGCGGCTTCGGTGGGTTCCCATGGTTACTACCCTGATACCTGACCTACCCTGCCCCTTGAAGCAGGCATAGCGCGTGGATTCAACCCGGACAGTCCGGAAAGGCGTGCGTTGACCGGGTCGAGACCCGGAGAAGCAGTTGCCACAACATCGACTCGTCACAGTGGTAAGTTATGATCGCTTTTGGGCTTTGCTAAGCGTCCGCAAGCAAACGAAAGCCGGCAGGTTTTCCGATTTGCTTGTACTGGCTCCCAGTTGAACTCCGGTTGAACGCCCAGACTTGCGTCAAGAAGGAGCCCAGCGGAACGCGAGGACTGTCCTTTCGACTGCTCCCTTTTTGGGGTAGGTGAATTCACCACCCATTTTAGAACCTATTTCAGTAGGGATTGGGATGTTCACTGGGGTACGGGATTTTGACCCATGGCCAAATTGGGGTCTTCTCCATATTTTGTAGGGTACGAGTATCCAAATATAAAGGAGAAACTGAACGTGGCAGCTTCCAGATGTACCGCAGATGTGAAAAATGTGTAACCAGGGTAGACAATTGGACCACAGTTCTTCCCAAAGGTCGGGTCGACTGGGAGCGGCTCTGAAAGATAGCAGGGGCTGATCTCCCAGATTGCCATCACTAAGGGTGAGTTAAGATACCAGGGGTTCAGATATGGACGTATACATTCAGCCTTTGAACGTGGTCGTCAAAGTTGGAAATGGTTTCTCTTTAAGTTTGCCACTGCACGGGGGTGACTTCATGGTAAAATTACTTGGCCAGCCAAGTACCCGCAGGTGCGCGGCAGCAGAGAATGCTTTGGCCGATATGGTTCTTCAGCAGCAGTTGTATTCCCTTTTGGCTTGGTGGGCTCTGCTTGAAGCACACCCCAAAAAAGGCGCCCCTTGCACCAGGGTTTAGCACGGGCAACTAGGAAGTCAAGTAGTTTTCTGCCAGCAGGCATGGAATTTGACGGGAGGTGCCACAGACACATCTTGCTTCTAGCCGTTGGTGGGCGCGAGGGTAAGGGAAGTCATTGTTGATTCTTGCCAAAACTGGCAGTGAGTCAGCTTCTTACGCTCTGCTTTTCTGCAGTTATGCACTCGTGTTCTTGCATTCTTGCTGGCTGTTTGGTGGCACTTTTAACCGCCGGCCCACCTTTTTCCGGGTTGAAGGTGAGTACGCATCCCCAAGGCCCACTTGAAGGGTACAAGCCCGTCAAAGCATCACCTTTACCTGCTGGTTTGGAGTTCCTGGACCACAACATTATTGGGAAACCATACTTTGGTGGCACACACAAAGTTTTGTTTGGCAATCCACTCAGGAAGTGCGGTTTTGGATGTATCCATCCGGTTCCCCTGTCCCGACACGCCAGCATTTTGGCTCGCCAACTTTTCGCTGGCCAAAGACCTTAAACTCAAAGATCACCGCCATGGACGCGTCTGAGCGGCGGCCTTAGCTGGGCCAACTGGACGTGTTGCTTTGTTGCCCCGATGTGGGTATGGGTCAACATAAGCCCACCACAAGACCGCAGGTTTTCGTCTTTGGTTCCATTTATCAGGGTTCCATTTTGGGTACGCATTTTTGAGGCACAGCCATGTCCGTGTTGTGGGTGTTTTTGTTTTTTTTGGCTAGCTGTTAGTGGGAAGGGCGCCAATATCCAAATTTGCTTGTAATTAAACGGGGAGCAAAGGTTTTCCTGGCTTCTGACTAGACACCGAGACCAGCAAAAAGTTTCGTCCTTTGTTTCTGAATCTTTTGGACAATCTCAATAAAACGTACCAAGTGGTTTCTATTATGGCCACTGGGTGTTTTGAACACATGACCTTTTGCGGCGACTTGGCAATGAGCTTTCTTAAGTTAGGATACATCGGTACAATTGTCCTCTTCGCTGGCCAAGAATGACGCGCGCGATAGAATTTTGGTTAATAGCTGGGCAGGTCTCCAACAATGTTTGCCGTTGGCGGGACGATTTGATTCGATTCCCCCCTGTAGATACGAACAACAAGTAGTTTCTTAGGTGGTGCGAAGTGGATTTCGCAGCCATCCACAGTAGGGAAATGCAAGGAGCACTCGCGACAGCGTAGCTTGCGGAGGGTCCCTTGCTCCGTGTGAATCCCGACGCTGGGGCGCTGAAGGGCCCCTGGTACAAATTCCTGATATCCCCAGTTTGTTGAATGGAAATGCAGCATAACAGGCGAGCCCTCACCCCCAAACCACTACAGCCAGTGAATCGGGTTAAGTCATATTCCCCTTTCCAGTGGGCTCAGTGGTTTGGGGGATGGGGGGACCATATTAGACTGGAAGGGGAAGCACATACATCATGTTATTTGATGAATTCAAGGAGGACATTACGAATCAGAGCAGCCCCTTAAAATAGATAGAAATAGATGACTTCAATAGGGGAACCACCCCTCCGGAATCCGAAGTCTTTTGCCGAGGCTGCCTTGGCACGGCAACGCGTTCCCAGTGGACCTCTCGCAGTATCGCCAGGTGGGAAGGGATGTAAACGGGTCCAATACCACGAGGCCACTCAATCCCTCAATTTCCATTGGAGGGACGGGGTTGTCAAAAGAAATTGGCCCTTGTTGGACTAAAGCGCGCATGCCGGTAATTGATTTTGACCCCATATTTATTCAACCAACCAGTTTATTAATATGGGTGCTCCCTTCACAAAATGATGAATCCCCACTAAACCCAGGGACACCCCTTTATTACTAAGCTGGGGATGGTTGATATGGGGTGAACGCCAAGTGCCGCCGCGGCCTTGTCAATGTCAAGAAGGGTCCTTATGGTTTGAAACCGCTTCATGGATGTTTGCCTGTTTCCTCACTGAAAGTTCCACCTGTTTCCCCTGGCAGCCCAAAGGGTATTTGTTTTTTTTGACAGTGCCAAGTTCTTGGGGGGGGGAAGGGTCGTCAAGCTCTTTGAACGGCGTCAACACGGATAAATGTGGGTCAAAACCCAGAGGGCCGCTTTTTTGGGGGTAACCCCCCTTTTGTTTGGTACATTTTGCACGGGAATCTAGGGGGTAGAGTGGGTAGCGGGGGTTTTGACCCATATCCAGGTGGAACTGGGGGACACTGGAAAACACCTACCCAGCCTTTGGCTTACTGTCTTCGGTTTTGAAGGTGTTGGTCCTTTTTCCACGTTTTTGCTCGTGCTTCAAGCGGGTTGCCCCAGCCAGCCGCCCTCCTAGCCGCAGGTGGCCATCGACCCCTGGCAGACGGAGACTTTGAGCGCGCAGGACTCGGCGGCTTTGAGCGCCAACATCGAGCTCTGCAGAGGCGGCGTCTCGGGGCCACGCCCGGGGTCGGGCGCGGGGCGTCGGATTCAGTGGTTTTCAGGGCGCGCCTTGGTTGGGGCCGTGGGTCTGGTGAAGGTTTGTGAAAGGAATTCGGTGTGTTGTCTTTTTTGTTTTATCCACTTTAAGTTGTGAATTCATGTGCGCTGCAAGTGTTCGGGGTTTGTTGCGGTTTTTCTTTGCGGGCGCCCTTTATTGCGTCCATTTGCTGAATGGAATGGGCATGGGCCAATGAGGAGGCTCCGAAACCAAGGGCAATTCTTAGCTTTTGGCATCGCCTTCCGTCGGCTAACGTGGACCAGACGGTCCCGTTTAAAGGGGGAGATGGTATTCCAGGAGCCCCTCAGTCAGTTCCATGTGGAAGGTGAAGTGACAAACAAGAGTTGCCGTGCTTTTTTTTGGAGCAGACAGCTTCCTTTTTGCCTCAGAGGCCACCAAGCGAGCACGCAAGCCACGCCGAAGCTTTCTACCAAGTAGGTAGGAAGGAACCGGGTTTGCTCCAGGTCCCTTCTTGGAACCTCCAAAAGTGGCGAGCGTTTCAAGAGCAAATTTGGGGAATCCGGTGACCTGTAAAATAAGAGTGTGTCTTTAAAAGGCACCCCCAAAAAATGTGGTCTCCTTTTGGTTTTCCCCCCGAAGCCAGCAAAACAGGGGTGACCCCTGAAGAAGGAAAAAAGGAGGAAGGAAGGAGGAAGGAAGGAGGAAGGAAGGAGGAAGGAAGGAGGAAGGAAGGAGGGAACGAGGGAACGAGGGAAGGAGGGAAGGAGGGAAGGAGGGAAGGAGGGAAGGAGCGAAGGAGCGAAGGAGGGAAGGAGGGAGCATGCAGCGTAATGCATGCCTTGCCCGCAGATGCCTTGGTTTGCTTCACCTCCCTCGGTGGCGCCTCCGGCTACGGCGGGCACACAGGAGGCGCTTTTGATATGATGCCGGAGGCCAGGGGGGTTGAAGGGTGGGGTGCCTTGGTGGTTCCCAGCCATCAGCAGGGAGCTAAGGAGGTACCAGGAGGTCTCTAATGACATGGTAGTTTGTTTGTTGCAAGCTTTATAGGGTGTTCTTGTGGTTTTCCTTTTGCGCCCCTTGGCGCACCATCCTAAAAAAGCTGATACCGAGGTTTTGGCATCCAAGAATCCCTGGCTGCAAAGCTATCCCATTTTACTCTGGACTGGGATCTATATACAGCACCTCATACATTTGTACACAGTACAGCGGGGTGACACCAGGCCCCTTCCGGATGAGTTCTTAGAAGCCCTCTAAGGACCGCTACGAAAGTTCTAAGAGCCTGGACTAGCTGCCAAGGGAACCAAGGGAGCCAAGGAGCTGGGGTTATCCAATCTTGCTTCGAAACAGGGAGCCTAGCGGAGCTAGCAGAGCTTGTGGACATGGTAGTGGATACCACCCACCCACCCACCCCCCACCCCCACCCACCCCCACCCCCCACCCACCCCCACCCACACGGGTCGCAGGTTTGCCTCCTGGATGCCTTCTTCCGAGCCTGCCCAGACAAGTTTGCCAGAGTCCCAGCCTTGTTCACCGATGCAGGGCTGCAGGGCTCGATTGGTGGACCGCGGGGTAGACTCAAACCCATGCCCCCAGAACTCACTTCCTGAGTTGGTGGACTTTAAACTTGTTGGAAAGACCATTTTAGTGGTAAATAAAAAGTTCAGACTTTTTTGGCCAGTCAACTTGGGAAGTGAGAAAAGGAGAACCCCTGGGTTTAAGTCCATCTTAGGGTCAGAACGCAGAAGCCCCGCCAGGCCTTTTCATTTCGGAGGAGGGGGGACTCGAACCTTCCCATGTGGGCTCCACCTCAATAAGGCCTCACTACTGCGGAATGGACGAAGTGTTGCACCACCCGAGAAATCCAGGAGCCCTGTAAGAATCAAAGTGGCGTGAAGGGATTTCGTCCATCCGCAAGAGTGCCAAATTGCTTGCCGTATCCCATTTTTTAGGTAGCTACTGAGGGCGCCTCAGTTGCCCCCTTGGGCAACGAAGGCCTGAGGCTACCCTTTTGTGGTACGTGTAAGAAACCAGCTGCAGGAAGTTCGACAGGAGTTCATTGTCTTTTGGGTTGGCGTTTGGCCAATTTCCTGCAGAATTGTTTGTAGCTTGTTTCTGTGCCACAGAGAAACCAACGAACCAAGTGCTGCTTCTCCTCGTTCTCCTTCGAGGGCGAGGGCGACTTGAGCGATGGCTGTCGTAAGGCGGGGGCTCCAAAGCCGCTCCTTGATGTTTGAATTCAGTGTCCCTTCCCTCGGCACTTGCCAGGCCAGACGAAGGCAGTGAGGGGCCCTTGATGAACGTGAGGCCCTTGGGGTGGTTTGCGGGACCCCGACACAGAGATGAATATGGAACCAGCGACAGAATCATTTTAGGAGGACCCTTTGATTTGCCCGAAAGGAAGCTAAGGGGGCGAAACACATGTACAGACAGCCCACTTAGCTTTGTGCTTTTGCGAGGGTAACGTACCCTTTTCAGGCTGGTTTCAAACGAAACCAAGGTGAAAGCCGGCCACCCTAGTTAGCACCCAACATCATCGGAGAACCCACAAGATGGGTGGGAGGAAGCCAATTATGGAAACTCTCCGGTCGAGAACCACGCTCCAACTGGCTAAAACCACTCATTTCAGGGGCACGTGGACAGCTGAAGGAATCTTCAACTCTAACCCTGAAACACAGCCATTTTGAGAAGAGGTCCCTCTCTCCACTGAATTGGTCTGAAGCAAAAGTACCCTTATTTGGGGTGGTTCAGGAGTTTGAGCCCTTGGTTCTAGACGATCAGACGATCAACGGGAACCCCCTCCTTAACCACCAAACCACCAGGCTCCAAACCACCAACTAGAGGGAAGCTGCACACTGTTGGAATCACCCCCCCCCCCCCAACCTCCACACAGCTAACCGATTTCGGCTCAGAAATCCCAAAGAGGAGCTTGTAAGTCCACTTTTCAGTGTAGAATTCAATCCTGGCTCAAAGGCGCCCCCCTCAATGTGAGGATTGGGTGAATTCCATTAGCACTCACGAGGTGCCGACCTTCTTCGACGAGGCGGGGCACCGGGTGGCCACGCAGTATCTCTTCTCGGTGCTGCACGGGCACATGCCCGCGGCCAGGCGCGGGAGGGAGATGCTGGGGTTGGGGCTGGGGAGGGGGGGCTAAAAGAAGGGCGATCGATAGCAATCCTTGCAAGGGTTCCCAGCGAATCGTCCGTTCCTGGGTTTTGTTTTAGATCTTTTTGGTGGGTTTGGTGGGGAGTCTTTGCCATTTGACCCACCAGAAGTGAGACTTGTAGCAGGGGAGCTGAGAACGGACAGCCCAGAATCATGTTTTGTTTTTGTTTGTTTTTTTCAAAGGAAGAACAAAAGGGGGGAAACACACACCAAATCACATCCGAAGTGCGGGGCATTTCCCAAGAGCGGTTTTCTAGCCGCTGTCCTTTCTTACGCGCGAGCCATGCATTCCCACACTCCCTTACAGATACTGTGGATGGACGAACTCCGTTTCGATCCACCGGAGAAACCCGAGAATCGTGACTCCCTTGTAACTAGCAACCAAGAATGGCTTCCCATGGTTTCAGAGTGGTGCGAAATGGATTTCGTCCATCCACAGTAGTTACGTCTTGTTCTTGATACGCGTTGTAGGTTACCTTGAAGGAAAAGGACAACATCACCAGTACCCCCCCCCCCCCCCGACTTGCCTGCTTCTTCAACCAGGTCAAAGTGGTTAATGAAACTGTTATTTTGAGTTTTGAGTGCTACTGGAACTCACCCCGGCCTCACGTTGAGGGGCACCTTAAAGCCTTCTTGAAGGGGCAGTGTACCTTGGGTGATTCCGCATTGCGAGTGATGCCAGACGTACCCGCCGCTTAAAATTAAGTGGCCACATAAAAGGGGCCTTGTTGTACCTCACTCCGTTTTGTACCTAACTTTCTCTCGGGTGGAGATAGGATTTACTTTTCTGGGTCCGGTCCTTAGGTAAGGTTTTGGGGGTTTCCATTTAACCCACTAAAAGTTAAACTTTGAGCAGTGGATCTGAGGACAGCCCAGATTTGAGCTACTAACATTGAGTCCTACGGTTGTTCTATGTTGCATTTTTGAAACCGACACGTTCCCGCGGTGGCCCATGAATGGACATGGAAAAGAATGGAAATGGAAGGTACCCCTGGAGTTGCCAAGGCCGAGTTTCCAATCCCCAGCTTCCGCCCCATGGGACGCCGACGGTCGCCGATGTCCGGCAGGCTGCTGGACTACCGCGTGGGTGGCAAGGCCCTGCCGGGGCATCCTGAGCTGGGCCTTACGGAGGGCATCGGCTTCAGCTCGGGGCGCCTGGGGCACATGTGGGGCCACGTGAACGGCGTGAGCCGGGCGCAGCCAGGCGGGGAGGGCGGGGGGGTTGGGGGGTTGGGTTGGGGTGGTTTGGGGTTGGGTTGGGTGGTTCTTGGGGAGGCTTTGGGGTGTTTTGTGTGTTGTGTGTGTTGATTTCTTGGGCGAGGGGTGGGGGTTTGGGGAGTGGTTTGGGTGGTTTGGGGTGGTTTATCTTTTCTGTCGAAGCATATGACCTGTTTCCTTTGGCGTTTGCTTCTCAGGCCTTGCCTTGCCCAAATGCCACGGGTGCCACACCCCATCACCCCCCGAAGCCAGGTTTGATGTTTTGAAGTTCCCCTTTCTGGTCTATTTGTTGTCATGGCCCCAAAGGCAAACCGTCTATTTATGGGTCCTTAAGGGGCAACTGAGAAAAAGTGAAACCATGCTCTTCGACCCGTTTGTCACGTCCAGTTGATGCTTCCCTTGAGGTGAAGAGCCTGGAAGCTTGCTCATGAACCCCAAGCCCAACACCTGCCAACCAAAGGGCGCAAATCTGGCTTCAAGAACCTGTAAAAATGTCGTACCCTGACTAAAACAGTGTGTTTTTTTGTAGGTATGACATTTTCATCGGTTTTTGAGGCTCCTGGTAACCCTGGATTTGAATGAAGTCTCCCACCCACGCCCTCTCAGCAACGCCTCTACCACTGATTTCCCAGGTGCCACAGGTGCTCGAATTGGAAGGGTTTTCCTTCGGCTTTGGGACGACCAGTGCCCTCCAACGAAACTTCCTCGTGCCCTGTGCCAAACGCAGCCGGAGTGCATGTTGCAGCCAACCCCAAGCAACAAATCTCCTGAAGATGCTCATAAGAACCCAAGTGTCCATCAGATCATTATACCATCCTCCCCCCCTCGCCCTCTCCCCCCCAAGGATTCCCATGTGTCCTTTGTTGATTGTCTCAATCATCACCTTTTGGTTGCCAATGTGCAGATGCGCTTTGGGGTGATGTTTGACAGGGAAAATATGTGCTTGTGTGTCTGTTTTGAGGTGCGGGTACCTGTTTTTGTTCTTAAACCAAAACCAAAACGAGCAACACAATTGTTTGGGGGGGGTCCAACATTAAAGGTATGTTGGAAATACTGTGGGTTGCGCCCTCAATTTCACAGCACCTTAAGAAACCGTAGGGGAATCGAATTAGAAACCAGGGTTTTTGGATGGTGATGCGAAATGGATCTTGCAACTTTCCACTGGACGTTTTGCCGGTTTCTGCACAGTGGTCTACTTCGGGGATTCCAGCAATAAACCAAAAGCAAAAACACAATTGTTTGAGGGGCCGTCCGCAAATTCATGTCTTCAATCTATGCGATTGGTAAACCCGCATCGCGAAAGGCCGGCGATTAGGCTTCGATTGGGGGGTAACATCCACGTGTTTGCTGGACGAAGTTACCAAGTTTGCTCTCCGATTGGCCCGCTGTGGTCGCGATTGGAGTGCGAAAGGCCGGCGCTTGGAGGGGCTTCAGGAAAAGCAACATTGAATTGGAAAAGCCATTGCTTATTTATATCTATAGTATATATTGCCCAATACGCATATATAATTACTATTGCTACTATACTTGTGATTATTATTGTTGCTTTGTAGAAACATATTCATATACGCATATATATATATTAATATATATATATATATAGATATATCCAAATATATATCCAAATATTATACATGCGTGTGGTTTGTTTCAGGCCGGGTGAGCTGCTGCTTCAGCTCCGATGGCTCGCAGATGGAGGGCAACACCGCGGAGGCGCTTTGGCCCGGGAGGGCCCGAGGACCCGACTTCGGGTGCGAGCGACATGCGTGGGCGTTGCTCGGGGGGTTTTAGGGTTTTGGGTTCCAAGTCCTTTAAACTCAACCAATCAAAACAGGAGGGCCCTTTGTCCCAATGGCAACCCACCAGGCATCTGGGTCAGTAGGGAATGCGGGAATAAACTCAGGGATTCCAACGTAAAGCAAACCACAAAGGATAGTTTATAGGGGTCATTCCCTCATTCCCTGCGGACACAGCGAGTTTTCGTGGGTGTTGTTTTGAAGCTTCCCTTGAAATTGGGGGCACTTGGAGTTGGCAACACGCTGCTGGGGAAACACCCTCCAAAAGTGGTCTGATTCCCCACATCTCACCCATGGAGAAGCACCCCCAATTAATGCTCGATTAGATATGGGATCAACATTGCCTTGGCAAACCCATTTTGAAGTGACAAGTGTTGGGCTGTGGCTCGTTCATCTTTGTATGATAGACAAAGGTATTGTCGTTGTTGTTTCCATGCCCACTTTGCCTACACGTTGCCTCATTCCGTTTTCGTACTCTTTCTGCGGTTGCGTTCAATTGAACCCAACCACTTTTGCGGGGTCTCTGTTTCGAAACCTGCCGCGTTTGTGCTTTTGGTGTTTGTTGCTTCCACCCGTTGCCAGACTTGGGTGTGAATTTTAATTTGGGGCGCTCGGACATCACCATTTAATGAAAAATCGTGTCCGCCAGCCACCTTGCAGGTGGTTCAAACTCCTAACAAATCACTGCCAACTACAAATACGCACATTTGCTGCTGTATTCCGCTTTCAAAAGTTGGATTTCGGGTGTCTTTTTGTGAGGCTCGCCGGTTGCCGGTTTCCGGTAGCTTTGGCAGCCAGGCGGCGCGCCTCGCGGTGGCGCAGAACTTGCCGGTGAAGCTGTTTGCCGCTTGGCTTTCCGGAGCACGGGCCCAGCTGTTTGTCTCAAAATCGGTTGAAGCCCTGCAAGGTGACGCGCTGCCAGTGGATCCATTTACCTGTAAAGCAGGCAGCCAAGGGACCCACCCTGCAAAACCAAAAAGATAATTAGGTCATTTTGGTGGTTACCTACTACATGGGTCACTTGGATTCCACTGGGCCTGAGTTGCTGGACCATCTAAATTCGTGATTCAGTGGTAGATAGACACTTCAGACCTGTGGCCAATCCGCTGAGGAGGTGAGGTGGTGTTTCGAAGCTTTAAAAGGGGTTGTATTTTTCGGGGGCACCCAAAGAGGCCTTTGGCTCCCAGTGTCTCAAAATTGGGGAGCCTCCAAAAAATGTGTTGTTTTACTTCAATTCCACTAGCCAACCCCCCAGGGTGCGGATTTTTTGTTTTTTTTCCCAGTCCTTGCCCGTACCCCCTGGACATGCGTTGGTGGGCCTAAGATCGATGACAACGATGTGACCATCGCCGGGCACCCGTCCTCCTACATGAAGGGCTTCAACGTAGGCCGGGCAACAGTTCAACAGAGAGCGGAGCCAGTTGCAAGACGACTACCGTGGGGGAAGGGGGGAGGACAGGGGCGGGGGGGGGGAAGGGAAGGGGGAAGGAATCCAAATCCATGGCGAAGTGAAGGGGGGATGTTAGCGAAATCCGCTCACACCTTTTTAAAACCATAGTTGAAACCTTGGTTTGCGGGTATTTGCAGGGGTGGCATCATTCCAGGGCTTCTTAGGTGGTGCAGGATTTTGTCCATCCACAGTATCAATGTTGATTCCATATTGATAAAAACTCAGTTTATTACTAGGGGGTGCTTTGAATCAGACCACTTTTGGAGGGGCCAACACCCCCTTATTACTAAACTGGAGTTGATTCGTGTGGGGTCAACAGTATCAATGTACAGCCGGAATGAACTCGTTGGTGTTCGATAGTATACCCTTGCGGGGTTGTTTTATTGTTCAACGAACACTGGAAAGCCTCGATCTTCCGCATTGGTTCCCCCGGCATTTGAGACAAGCGCTCAAAGGAATTTGAAGCCACCGCGGACCGCGGTCTACACGCGGCTTGGAGCCACACGCTCCTTGAGAGATAGGTTGCACTTTGTGGCTCGAGCCCCCCAGAGGTGCCAGTTGTCCAAAGGACGATCCAAAGAGAAGTCCTGGACGGTCCCCCAGCAATTGGTGCCCTTTCTCGCCCCTTTTTTTGGTTGGGAGGGAGGGTTCCCCTACTAAAATAGACTACAGCAAAAAGTCGGTACCCTTATTCTAACCTCTCTACTGGAGGACCTAGAAGTGGATGGCTGCCACCTGCCCCGTGTTGCCAACATGCGATCAGACATCGATTTTTGGGCATGGATAGGATGGATAGGCATGAACAACCATTGTAAACTATGCGTTTCGAGCTCCAAAACTGGCTGTTTCATTGCACCCCGCTCCATTTCGAGAGGGGAAGTCCAGTGACTTCCCCCTGCAAAGCCTCCAAGAGTCCGATGGTTGTCAGAAGCACACCTGGAAATGGTCCCCGGCAGGATCCCTGTTAGCCTTTTATTAGTCGCTACTGGGCCCTTAACCATAGAGAAAAAAACAATTAAAAAAAAAAGGCCGCAAATCTTTTGCAAAAGAAAAGTCAAACTGTGGACTCCAATTTTCTTTTGTCATCCTGAACCGCTGTTGTCGTGCTCCGGATCCCTGGATCGATCAAAACGCCGTTCCGCGCAGCCGTTCATTTTCGGCGGCGAGAGGCCGGACGCTGGAGGGCCAAGGCATCTTGACTGCTATTGGGCAACGGATCTTTAGACTTTAACTTTTTGGTGGAAATCAAGCAAGGCGTTTTCCACTCAACCCCCCCAAGAGCGTCCACTTTTTGCAGGGTCGTTGCGGCAAGGCATGACCACGGAGGACGTGGATGGCGAAAGCTTGGAGAAGTTGTACGCGGCCATGCGCCGTGCCGCCAGGGCCCTTACAGCCAAAACAGGCAGTCGTCGGTTTCGGCGTTTTGGAGTCGAACTCCTGTTTTGCCTTCGCGCTGTTCTTGGATCAAGTTGTTTTTTGTTTTTTTGGTTCTGTTCAGTTTTTGCAGGCTGCAAAAAGCAGTTGCAAGCCCATACCAAGGGTTGTGAAGTTACGAGGGTTGGAGAGGTTGTCTCAACACCCATGGTTGGTTTCCCTTTTCTCAGTCCTGAGTTGCTGGACTGGATGCTTGTCGGAAACACGTGTTTAAGGATGAACGAGGTTGGCTTCCCGGCAAACGCCCGAAAGCTCGTTGGACAAGTCTCGTCTGGTTTCATGGGTGTATTGGATGATTTCATGGGGTCTGGGCGCAACACCTGCATATCCAGCCAACAGTCAATGGGATTTGGGCGCTTTGAGGCTTGATTGGGGAGGTTGCCTAAACTTCCCCGTTTTCTTATTACCATCATGAACTGTGTTTTTACATCAGAAGTCCTCGCAGAGAATCATCAGCCTCTTCAGCATGTTCTGGGCACCCGTAGCGTTGGCTACCACACTCGTGGACATGGGCAGGCCGGGATTTTGGCATGCTACCGTCCTTTTAAAAAGGCCCCTGCTTGAACCTGCTCTTCGGGCCAACGTGGACAAACGGCCAGTGCAGTTTCTCTAGCTTGTTTTTGCCTGAGTCCAAGCCCGAATTCATCTTATGTGAACCCTGATTCCATTTTCAGTCACTGGTCGCGACTGGGACCATTCGGACTCATTTTTCACCACCTGAACTGCAGAGACGCCTTCCCAGCCACTGCTCGCGCCGCATGCCCCGCTTCGCGGCGTGCGGAGCGGCGCTCAGGTGATGCATGAGGGCCCGTACGCGGTGGTCATCAAGAGGAAGATGTGCCCAGGACGTGTTCGAAGTGGCCGCGAAATCTTCTTTTCTCTCTAGCCTGCAACCCCTTTAAGAACGATATAGAACGACATATCCATGTTTGCCCTATGGGCAATTGATTTGAAGTGGACATGCATGAAGTTGGCTTTCTGGACCAGCTTTGCCCTTCAAGAAATACCAGGCAGTAAAGCCCTCCTATATCAACCTGCTTTCCAGTGTTCACCCGATCTGGTACCACGTGCAGCTGCGTGGCCGTGACATACAAAGAGTTTTTGCATGACTCCTTCAGGCAAGCGCTGCGTTTGGAGCTGCTGGAATTTCATGAGGTTGAGCCACCGGAGATTCCGCTCCTCAAAATATGTTAGGCTTCGAGCTCACCTGAAGGTTTCATTCGTACGAGCGAAAGCCGTGAGGAAGTTCCTTTACTTGCGGATTACTTGTTGCATGCGTTGGGAAGTTTTGCGATATGTTTGCAGACTGATGGCCCTTCTTTGTTTTTCAGCTTTCAGCCTGCAGGGCGCCACTTATTCAGCTCAGGCAAAAAGCGGGCTCCTCAAGTTGCACGGTTGTTTTTGTGGTTGTGTTTCTTGTTTTTGTCTCACTTCCTGAGTTCCTGGACTTTAATTACAGTCCCTCAAGCTAACATGGAAGCTCCCAGAACCCCTTTAAAAAACTTGGTTCGACGTACAGAGGCCAATTGGGGGAGCTTCCATGTTGGTCTGAGGGAGTGTGCACTTTTTGGCAAGGCCATGTTAATCTAGGTCCCCAGTAGTGCCCTTTACCCTTTTTTGGGGGGAGGGCTCCCCTACTAAAATAGACCACAGAAGAAGAAGAAAAAAAGGTACCCTTAGTCTAACCTCTCTACCGGAGGACCTAGTTAATTGCTGCTAAACCGAAAGTTCAATCCTTTTTTTTCCACGAATCCACTCAGGAACATAGTTTTCGCCTTTTGCTACCCTTACGCGCGCAACGAAAGCTGCGCTTCGTGCACAGAAGGAGCGACAGGTGGGGAGTGGGGATCCCACTTGAGGAGCCCATGGGAGACCTGTTCATGCCCATTGGCGTGATGGTTTTAGTTCCCCTTGTTGGCTTTAAAGGGAATCTATCACTGCGGGAAGGTGGTTTAAGGTGGTTTATGTGCTTAGCTTCTTTTTGGTTCTGTTCATTTTTCGTGGGGTGCGGAAAACAGTCGGCGTTTCGCAAGCCCCTAACAAGAGTTGCAAGGGAGCCCATGAGTCAACCCATTTCCAGCGGGGATAAAGCGGAGCTATACCGCTTTGGGTGCTGAAGTCTGGCTGCCTTTGCAAGCACGTATGCTGAAGATTTAGCTTCCCATTTTGGGAAACCCTTTGGATTTAAAAAGTCAAGGGGATTCTCGAAAACAATCCTTGAAAGGATTCTTTCCCACAAGGAATCTCACTGAAGCCAGGTACAGGACAAAATTCACAGGAAACCAGCCAAGTATCCACCAAACCCAGGGGTTTCGTATTGAATTTCCTCTAGCCTTCTGAGAGAAGCCCGAGAAAACGGATCCTTTTCTGATTTCTTCAGCCCCCCCCTCCCCTGCGGCGCTCGTCCCAGGAGTGCGCGACCTTGAAGGCTCCAACGAGGGCCACGACGCCATGCCTTTGGCCCACGCCGCCCTTTGGACTCCAAAGACGGATCCCCGGGTTTTGGTTTTGGGCGGCCTGGGTGAGGGAGCGGATTCGCCTTTTGCGCGAAATTGGCGGCATGTGACAAAACCCAAACCCTCGAGTTCCGTTTCGGACTTGATCGTCCCTTTTTAGTTTGGTCAATGCACTCAGGAAGTGAGCTTCCGCTCAGGGCATCTTGAAATATACATCTTGGCTGTCTTTAGCCTTACCTGTTCCGGCAAACCAAACCAAACCCCCATTTCTTTTCGAAGCGGGGAAATGTTCAGGTGGATGCTACGCGCAACGTATACGGGGTTGAAGAATCCCCCCCCCCCGCAACCCCCCCAAAAAAACAAGCAAAAACGTCTACATATCTTTCAGCCCCTTCCATGGAATGGAAAAAACCACCCCAAAATCTCCCAGCGCCGCTGGTTGTCGAGGTGCAGTACTTGGAGTCCCGGCAGCTGCACGCGGCGGTGGAGCTGCTGAAGAAGGTGCCCAAGGCAAAGGACCCCGGGCCCGGAAGCCCGAGGTCATTTTGCCGGCTGTTGGGACTTTAACTTTTTGATCCAACGAATGGGTTTTCCGTACCAAACCGCTAAAGGTTAAACTCTTGGCAGGGCTTCGCAGAAAGCAACCGAGAAAAGTGATGCGACGGGTGCCTTTGCTGGGCAGTAGCCGTCCAAGTGGCGGTTCCTAGCAGAGGTTTTCGGGGTGCATTCCTTGATTCCCTTCTGGGCACCGGCAAAAAGGGCGGCTTTGGGGCGATTTTTGCAGGGGGATTTCGGGCAAGGGGGGGGTTGTGGCGAGAGCTTTTCCAACCCTTTGAACACGCAAAGGGGGTTGTTCGCAAGGGAAATTGAAAGAATGCCTTTTTTGGTGGGACATGGTGGGACTATGTGGGACTCTTCTATTTTGAGGCACACCCATGTGTGACTTACCTCTTAACAACACAACTTTTCAACTTTTTGGGTAACATGGGCTATATGTCTGTAAAAGATTAAGTTCCCCAGGGCTTGGAGTTTTAAGGGGTAAGGGCAACCTTCCCTTGCTCTTCTTTGAAGGTAGCTAGAGTTGTAGAGACAAATTTTGGCCAGCTCTGGTTGCAGCCTGTGGATATTCGGCCATAGTTGACAATTACATCTGCGAAGAAGCTACCTGGAGCCCTCCCTTTCTTGTGGCACGCGCAGATCTTATTGCTCCACTCGAGCCAGGGTCGAGCTGGCACTCCAGTTCCTGATAATTATCTTTGCAAACAAGCAAACACCTTCTTACCCTCACCTCCGCCACAGCGCCCCTGACCACGGTCCCAAATGATGGCCAATGGCTTGCATTATGTTGTTACGGACATGTGCAATTAGTACACGCTGCTGCGGTAAACATGCGCAGTTCTGAATGGGTGCTCCTGAGCGGGCGTGCGAACCTTTTGTCCTTGGGTCAAACTGAGACAACTAAATCCCTGTCCTCATTTCAAGACACACCCAAATATTTCATCACATGCCCGACTTGGAGGAAGGGGTGTGTTTCCGTCAAAAAGTGATCATTGGGTTGCTATTCTGGGCGTACCTTGTTTGAAAGAAAGCAAAGGCCATACCCCCCGCCCCCCAAGCATCGCAGGAAATCCAAAAAAGTTGTGAGTCTTAGGCCACCCCACCCCTTCCCCCAACCAAATCAAAACAAGCAGCGCTCCATGGAGTCTTGGGCTCCCAGTCGCAACACGCCTCTTCGCCTCTTCGCCCCGAGGCACTACCCCCTGGCAGGATCCTTCGGCGCACCGCGCCAGGTCTTCGGAGCCCCTCGTCTCGAGCTTGGTTGTGCCTCCTTCGGGGAGGGTTTCTGTGGGTAACTAGTGTCTATATATATATATATTCTTGCTGGTTCTCAGCAAGGAATGAGGGAATGACCCGGAGAAAAACCATCCCCTATAGTTTCCTGCCTCAAACAGCACCCCAATCAGCACCTGAACCAGCAAATCAAACTGCACGCCCCCTAGCACCAGCCCATCAATCTCGCAAATCACTTTCCCCTCATTAGAAGTTAGAACCCCTGTTGCTTTCAGCTATCTGGGGAAAAACGATCTTGCAGGCTCTCAAAATGGAGGTAGGAGAAACGGGAACCCTCAACAGAACTTGCCGATGCTCAGTAGGGAATGACCTTCCGGGCGCTGGGAATGAACCGGACCGGGATCACCCTAGGGGGCATGCAGTTTGGGGTGCTTGTGCAGGTGCTGTTTTGGGGGGTGACGATGCGCGCGTATTGTTGCATCTTGACGGTAGGACGCAGGGGGGAACGCAGTTTGGGGTGCTGGTGCTGATGGTGCTGTGGGGCGCAGTTTGTAGGGAGCTGTTTGAGGTGCTGCTGACGGTGCGGGCGCATTCTTGCTCGATTGACTGCCGGGTTTTGCTTGGGGCGTGCTGGTGTGCAAGCACTGCTATCTGGGGTCTATGCTGGTGCATTTTATTTTTGGGGTCGAATTTCTTCCCTCCCCCCCCCATTTGTTTGAGACTCGGGTGCGAGGTGTTCGCAGTTCCAGAGATCCTCCCAAGCATCCAAAACAGAGGAAATGGGCTGTTGTTTGGAAAGGCTCAAGCATGATAACCCCACGCGCGCGACTCGTGGGATAGGATTATGGGATAGGATTAAGGAGGTCGTTGACAAATTAGCCACCATCCCTGGCCTCGCCAGTATTCGAACACCTTGCCTTGGCCTTTGTTCTGCCTTGCCTTCGGTGGGCCTCCCCTTTGCTTCACCCGGCGCCTGCCGCCTTCGCTGCTCTCCTCTTCCACGCCATGCTTTCCACGGACTGCAGTTGGTGGTGTTCCGGCCGTTGGTGGGCTCAGAGGATTCAGCTGCACCTGGTGGGCTCAGCCCACGTCACCATCATCTCTCCAGGAGCTGTTACACAGGCCCGCGCGATTTCTACTTTTTATGTTTTTACTACATTACTTAGCCGGCTGGCTAGTGTTAACCAGGTTATAAACGTTTAGTATCTCGGCTAAGTTGGGTTATAAGGCTGCCAAACTCCTTGGCAAACGAGATAAGTTGCTGGTTTATAAGTCGTTTCTAAGGTCTACCAGAATCTATCTAAGGATTATAGGAGATATGACACGCTTTATAACTCCCGTTGCAAACCCCAAGCCAAACACTCAGCAAACATGGTCGCAACCCTTATAAGGTTTAGCGGGGTTAGCTTTTGGGATTTGTTTTCGGGGCTAACACCCTTAGCAGACTTAGTTTTTTTCGAACACAGTCACGCAGCATGCAATAGGGAAGCCGAATCATTTACCTTCCGGTTTTTCTCGCTGCGCGGCACCCGCGCGAGCCGCAGCCGAGTGTGATGCATGAGTCGCCTTGCGGACGCAAGTGTTCAGATTTGATATCAGATTCAGATTTTCCAGATTTTTCCAGAATCTGAATTTTTGTAGATGTTTTTAAGATTCATATTTTCTGATTTTTTGCGAAGCTGTATTTCTCAGATTTTTTCAGATTCAGATTTTTTCAGATTCTGAAATTCTGAATCTTCATCACTTTCTTTACTTAACTATTCAGATTCAGATTCTTTCAGATTTTTCAGATTCTGACAAAATCTGAAAAATATGAATCTGAAAACATCTGCAAAATTCGGGTTCTCAAAAAATCTGAATAACAACTGAATCTGATATCAAATCTGAAAAATGCAGAATCTGAAAAAATCTGAAAAATATGAATCTAACAAACAATGTCAAAACAAATGGGCGCTCTGATCCGAGCTGTGGAACCGCTAAAGAGAAAGGAGAAAAAAGATGAGCTGCGTCTCTGGGACTGCCCGCTGCGGCTTTGCTTGATGTCGCGCTTGCGGTAGGAAAACACATTGTTGCACCAATTGCACACAGGTGCTGGAATTTGAAGGAAAAACCTTAACAGGTTTAGCTGGTTTAGCTAAGCTTTAGCTAAACCCTTGCCTAAACCACCTCCTAAGCCACATTTTGCATCCCTTATAAAACCCGCTGCTAACTCTTATAGTGATTTATAAGAGATATCTAATCCCCAAGCGGCTAAGTATTCCGCTTGCTCGTTAGAAATTGTAATCATAAGGCTTCAACAAGCTGCGACGCTCGCCCTGCTGTCCATGGGTTGAAGAGAAGGAGAACACCATTGTGTTCGGCAACCAGCGCACGTGGGCTGATGTAGAAGCTGATGAGACCAGTTTAGACAAGAAGGAGACCACGCAGCAAAACCTGCAGCGGTTAGGCAGCGCTTGGCGGCGATGCAGGACCCAGACTGCCGAGTCAATGCGACGGCAGGTTCTTGGCTACTTTGGCGTACGACGGGCCCGCTGCGCTGTCTCGGCTGCAGGCTGACGACGAGATGTGGAAATCTGCTTTGTTTGCAGCTAGATGTGAGCAGGGTGGAAGTCATGAGAAGGCGAACAGGGCTAATTATTGACGGGAAATGAAGTTTTCCCATTTGTTCTGACAAGCAGGCCATGCTGTCAGGCGCGTGGCGTTGCAATGTTTGATTTAGTGGCAGGTGTGGACGTCGAGCTGGGTGAGCTCCAGCAAGCACCTGCAGCACCGTTCGGTCGCGACTGAGCCGAGAGAGGCGGAGGCCGTTGTTACAGCGAAGTTCGCCAAGTTGCAATTGCCACGGCGCCAGCATTGGCGCCCCGTCGCCGCCTTTTGCGTGCGCCACCTTTTGCGCCTCACCACAGCCGTCAAACAACGTACCGCAGGATCTGCTAATTCCAGAAACGCTGTCTTTTTCATAGGCGGTGGCGCCAGGCATGACCCTCATTTTTGAGGGGGGGACAAGTGACACACTGCGCAGCTTGGCTTCTTGAGAAGATCACCTCCTACACCAACTTTTGCGCGCCGCTAGTTTCCGTGGGAGCTAGAGGGCTCGTAGCACCCAACTGGCGAGCTCCAACTTGGTGATGTTGCCCACTTGCAGTTGGCCTGCCCTACCCCTCACATGTCCTGATATCTGTTGGGCACATATGTGGTCTAGCCTTTGGCAGGTTCCCTTTAGTAGCTGGTATGGGCGGGGGTAGGAGAATGACTTCTTCTACTTACTTGCAGGCGCAAAGGTCATCAACACAATTTCTGGTAGAGAGGTCTCTCATGGCCAACCCCAAAAACGCATTAACTTATCTTCGAAAGGCAAGGCTCAATTTAACAAAGAAAATCTCTGTGGTATATGAAAGCAATTTTTGATGACAAGCAAAATGCAAAGAGCTTGTTTCTCTGGAAACATAGCCCCCAGTGCAACCAAGCCCCTTGTTGCATCCACACGTGCTGGCTCATTCAAGGTGATAGCAAGGCAACAACCAACGCGCGTGCTGCGCAGCACATTGTTGCTAAAACTACTTCTAGCAACGGCTTCCAACTTGCAGCGTCAGTAACACTAGAGGCTTGTCACTGACGCGGTGCTTTTCGCGCAGCTGTTCAAAGCAGCAGACGCCAGCTAAGCGTACGATATCTCAGTTTACAAATTGAGTGGCCCACCATATAGTTTCAAATCAAAGCAGCTGGATCGCATAAAGTCCAAGGAAGTTGTGTAAGCAAACCGGGGCCCAGGGACTGGTAGGGGGACTACCCTACTGTGTCCCACTGAGGCGAGTCTGGGGGTCCCGGCAAGGGGGGAGGACAAAAAAACGAAAACGACATCATCTTTCTTTTTCTGCTGGTCGCCCCTAAGCCCCCCCCCCCCCGCTTCTCTCCTTCCCCATGTCAACTCTAGAAAATACAACGCATAATCTACTCTTATTCCTGGAATCCACAAAGCCTAACATTGTTTTGCAAAGTCTTTGGGAGGAGCAGTGTGGAGGCAATAGATGCTTGCGCTTGAAAGCAAGCATCTGAAAAAGACACCGGTTACAATGTGCAAAACGAAGGCCTCCACAACATCCCTTTCTGTAAATTGAATGAAGGCACGGCACGAACAACCTGACGTACAGGGACACAACGGACACATCAACACGGAACATAGCCACATAGCCACTGTCTGACTTTCCCGCAGAACTTTTAAACTTGCTGATGCGTAAATCTTTAAATTTTGGGCCGTTTCTTGTGGGTTCTCCTAGGACGCAGTGGCCAGCATCCTCACCAAGATGTGCCCAGAGGAGCGGAAGAGGCAAGGGTGTGGTCCAATGTGTCGTCGGTGTTGTCCAAATTCTGAGGTCGCGGAGGGGTGTTTTGTGGCTGGACAAACCCACTTTGCCCCAAGAACGCACGGTTGAAACCATAATGTTTGTTGGCATTTACGGGGGGAATCGCATCATTGCATTTGGTTTCATGGGCAATGTCCATTTCGCACGACCTAAATGCCTAAATGTTGCACCACCTAAGAACCCATACTGTTTGTTGGCATTTACGTTTGGTGATGCGCATCAGATTCCGAGGGTTTCTCAAGCGGTGCGAAATGGATTTCGCAACCCTCCATAACTATTAACCTTCGGGGCCTCCAAGACACTGGCTCCCCACAAGTGCCATGTCAATGGGAGGAAGCAAGAAGTAGCACATGTTGGCAGCAACATTCCAGCGAGTTGGGCACTGGGCATGTGGGGTAGGTGGAAACTTGCAGCCATGGCGTTGGATGGCTGGCTGCCTTCGACTGGAGGTGGAAGAAACTTGGTGGTTCCCAGCCATGCAGTCCCTTAGGTTTTTAAGTGGTTTAGTGGTAGTCTCGTCGCCAAATCATGCGGGAGCATCCATCCTCCTAAGAGCCAGCAGATGCATCGCCGATATTGTCAGGTTTCAGGCTTGCTTGATGCAAGGGAATCATAGAGCTTATGCTTTGTAGTCTATAAGGCTGCAACGCATGCACCGACTGTGGTAGACGAATTCACGACGCACTGCCCTGCTGAATTAGGCGTCAGGTGGTACCCGCCAGCAAGGGGTTTTCACGATTTCCATCCCGCCGTCCCGTGTTGGAAGGGTTTCTCCAAAGGGTGACACCAATGCCACCATGTGAACTTTCATGTACACGAGCAGACACCAATGCCAACATGTTAACATGTCACTTTCAGGCGAACACTCAGTGGACTGAAAGGAGCCATGACTGCCGATGTGATGATGCAGCTGTGTCGAAACATGCCTCAAAACTTAGACGGCCCAAGGCTGTGCAAGATCAATTTTAACAACCATCACAAAACACAAGGGGATACGCAGTTTACAAACTCCGTACGTCCAAGCGGTAACCACCCGATGCGTAGTGAAAGGGCAGTTGGAGGCTCATTGTGTAAGCCCCCTTGTGGGTCCTTGCCATTTTTATTACTTGATTGCCTAACATAACCAATCGATCGCCACTTGATACTCTAAGATGGTTCTCCAAACCTGCCCCAGGGGTTTCACGGGATATGCAACCACTATGGAAAGGGTACATTGCCAGATTTTCCCCGGGCCACAGTGTTTGGGGGGAACCATCTTGATTGTCACCAGCCCAAGTTTGGTTGGGTTGGTTAGACTTTGGGCGCCTTGTCTACTTCCACGAGTCTTGGAGACGGGGTACTCCAAATCAACAGTTGGCCCCTAAACTGCATGTGGATTTGCAAGAGTTCTGTCCCTTTGGGGAGTACGTGCCCCAATGGGTCTAATCCCTAAGACACCACGCGGGGAAATCTACAGGAAGTGACCAACACACCTACCATAGAACCATGTTTCTGACCACAATTCCCGCCGCCAAATGACGATGGGTAACTTCTCCCGTTTAATGTTAACCCCGGATTAATAAACCCCTGGTTGATTAATAGGGTGGTGTCCCCTTTTAGTGGGGATTCATCACTTTTGGAGGGAAAGTCATTTTGTTGGTGATTTCCCTGAAGGTCATCCCATGTCATCCCCATGTTTTACGGACCCTGTGGTCAACCCCCAGGGCTGTGCGCCGGACCCACACGTGAGCCACGTGAGCGTCGCCAACTTCGGATTCGCGCGGGCGGTTGATGTCGCGACTCGGAGAGGCGAGTGCTGGTGGTGGACAGCGATCTCGAGGGCTCCTGCGGCTTGAAGAAGGCGTCTGGTGGCAGCCATTTTTCGGGCTCTTTTTGTGTGTTTTTTTTGAGTTGTTGTTTTTTGTGTTTTTTTCTCCGGGGGGGGGGTTCTATGGGGTGGTTAGCCTAGCTTCCATTTGCTGGGCCGGAAAAAACAAATGGAAGTTAGTGTTGTTGTTTTTTTGGGCGCGTGGTTAGGGAAACGTAAAGGAAGACACATATTTGGGGCTTGTAGCTGGGGACCAACAAAAAGAAGCCGTTTTTTTCCCCCCGTGCAAAAGGACCCCCTGTTTTAAGAAACGCCCCTTTCATGGCTAGCGGAAGCTCAACATGCTTTCTCAGTGTTCCAAATTTCAAAGCCTTACTTTGTGGCTTGGATGTAGGTTTGAGCCGGTTCTTGTTGAGGGCAATTGGATAACCACCGCCAACCTCTAAAGCACCGGGCTCCAACCCATCGAACAGAGAAAAGCTACTTCCGGCATCGTTGAGTTTGAGAAGGGTGGTGGGGGGGAGGGCAAACGGCTGCTTTTTGGAGGTTTGAAAGGGAAACCAAAAGGAAACCCACCCATTTGGGGTGTCCCCCAAGAAAGCTCACGCCCGACCAGACAGACATTTTGAACTACAATAATTTGCCCAGAAGAGGTTTTGAGGGCACTTGCGGATGTCACATTAGTGAAGTGGAGCTGCATTATTTGTGGCTTTTTGAACAACTTCCATTTGCTTAAGAATGTGTATTCTCCCCTGTTGGTGTACAGTTGGAATGGATCACTACTGGACATACAGGATTGTCATGACTTTTTCCAGGAGCAAGCGACAAAAGCCAAAAGGAGGACAAAAATAACAACCCCTGCCAAGATTCTGGTGTGTCTTTTGTAGGACTCCCAACCGTTTTGGATGGTTCTGAGGGGAAGCTGCCCCTGAAAAGACCAGGAGCCACTTCTTGGGCGGACGGGCTGACGGGCGGAGGTCGTAAAGCCACCTGTCAGGTGGGCCAAACCTGTCCGGAGGTGTACCTGAAGGTGGGTTCACGTCCGGATGTGCCCCTTGAACAGTGGGGCCCGGAGGGGGGTGATGGGTGATGGGTGATGGACACTGCATGTTGCAACTGCAACCTCCTTCATTGAGGGTATGTTTTTGTTTTTCTTCTTCTTCTTCTTTTTTCTTTCTCCCGTTCTTGGCTGCAACATATGCACGGGGGGGCGGGGGCCCCCGGGGGGGGGCCTGCTATGCCAGCTGTTGGTTGGAAGGGAGCTGGACGAAGGCAGCTGGGACCCGGTATCCAAATTTGCGCTACACCGGGAGCCTTGCGGAGCTACCAGGTGGTAGTGAAGGCTCCCCTGATAAGTTTCCGGGAAAAAAGCAAAAGGATGCAGGACACCGGATTCCGGCTTCCCTGTTTGGTCAGCTTGGGCGCCCCTTTCAAAGGCATGGAATACCTGTTTGGGGTGTTCGAGTCTTTGTCTACCAGGTCACGCGAAACACGGCAAACGGAAATGTATAGATTCTCAAGGGGTGCGCCCTTTGGCAAACTGAACTACTTCCATTTGCTCAAGAATATTGTTGATTTTCCCTCTTGGTTTTAAAGTGAATCTATCACTAATTGCAAGATTTGCATTTTGTCCCGCGGAACTTAAGCAAATGGAGGACAAACCCCCCCTTAACATGAACGATTTCGACCCCAGACCTGTGGGGTGCTTCCTCCTCTTTTCCTTCTGGAGGGCTGGGCCCCTTGAAAAATCAACACACAAGGTGCCAATTCTTTCGGCAAAATCCAAACCCAGGACATGTCCAGATGGAGTCTGCATGTACCTTTACCCTCCTTCGTCTAGCTGTTGGTTGGGTTTGGGAGCCGGACGAAAGCAGCTGGGACCCGGTATCCAAATTTGCTGAGCTACACGGAGCCTTGCGGAGCTACTGTGGATGTACGAAATCCTGCACCACATGAGAAACCCGAAAATCATGATTCCCTTGTAAATACCAACCACCAATGGCTTCCTATGTTTCTAAGTGGTGCAGGATTTCGTCCATCCACAGCACCAGGAGATCTGGTTCGGGACATGGTAGGTTGGAGATTTCGGCTGGAACCAGTTGGACTGCTCTAAGGGTGGGATGAAGAAACAAATATTTGTTCTGCTGAGGATGAGTGCATTCCACTGATACATCAGTTTGGTACCATTCAATTTTACCGCTGCCATCATGAGATGTGTTTTCCAAAGAAGGTCCCTTCGATTCCCTTGCTGCCACTTCAATCATCACTTTCCGGTCCTTAAATTTTGGGTGAAGATAGTCTTGTGTGCCTTTTTGGAGGCTACCTCTTTTTGGGTTCGCTCTTTCAACAAGACGCCCAAAAACCGAGCACCTGCCAACACAGCGGGGGGTTCCCCCTCAAAATCCGCAGCACGTGGGCCCCACGTCCCTCGCAGGGCGGCATCATGGAGCGCGGGAACTTCTCCGCCTGCGCCGGCTTCGGCACCGAAGGCACCCGAAGTCCGAAGCCGTTTCGACTCGCGGAGCTCGCAACGAACGAAGCAGCCGAGCCCCGAAGCCAAAAGGGCGCCCGGTTTTGTTTTGTTGGTTGTTTGTCTTACCTCTTAAAAACACAACTTTTCAACTTGTTGGGTAACATGGGCTATATGTCTGCAAAAAATATTAACTTCCCCAGGGCTTGGAGTTTTAAGGGGTAAGTTGTGTTTTTTTCTTTTGGGGGGGGTTCCCCATTTTGATGAAGGATATCTGACGTATCTTTGGCTCGTGTCTGTTTAGATCTAGATCTTGTTTTTGTCGTTTATTCCGGGCACAGCTGGGGCGGGGTGCCAGTTGTTGACCACCCTAAAGAAGAAGGCTTCAACCCCGGGCAGGTTGTCTTGAGAGATGAAAAACCTCTGGTTTTAAGACTTGTACCAGGGTGAAAGCAAATGGTTAAAATCCCTGTGGGTAAGTGATGGGGATAACTAAACCAATATTGGCCTGGTGGCTCCCAGCCATCCGGTTCCTTAGCTCTTTAGCCTTTTAGTGTTTAGTGGTAGTTTCCGTGTTTAACCCACTAAAAGTTCAACTTTTAGCGGGGGATCAGAAAACGGGCAGCCCAGCTAGGGATTTGTGACATCTACTTTCACCCAGCTATGTACTGCAGTTAGCCCCCATTGGCCAACATTCCTTCGGAAACCTGGAGCCGGCCCAGAACCCTACACGAGCCAGTTTCATGACCCCAAAATGGACTTATCGCGTAGCTTACCTTTTGACTTACCCAGGGCAAGAACAAGAAGTGTTGTTAAGAGGGGTCGAACGTTTTTTGTTTTTTTTTGTTTTTGATTTCGAGGCAGTAGTTGACAGCGACCTTGCTGGAGTGTAACAGGCCAATTGTTGGTTGCTCTTTGGAGTAGCCCTTGAGCTTGTTGTTTCAACATGAATATGAGAGTGTGTGTGTGTGTCAGTGTGTGAGCTTCTGGTTTGGGTGTCCCCCTATTCTCCCTCCCCGAGTTCCGTTCTGGACTAAAAGTCACCTTTTGGGCTTGGACCTTGTTAGTGGTAAACCAACAAAGTTCGGTTTATTTTTTTGGATCCAATCCACGACTCAGGAAGTGAGTATTTAAGCTCCCATGTTACTTGGTGGTTCCCAGCCCTCCGGTGTCCTTAGCGTTTTTCAGGCAGTTCGTTGTTAATTTCTAGTAGTTTCCGCATTTCACCTAAAGCGAGTGACTTTTAGAAGCGGATCAGAAAGCGCACAGCCCACTGAAGTTCTCCGGTGGTTCCACCGGGCTTACGGGTGCGTCTTCCTTAGGGGTGCAACCCTTTTCGGTTGGACTCACGTGAGCATTTCAACCCCTCGCGGGCCCGAGCAACGCGCGAGAGGCCGACAGGCGGTCTTCGGCACCTTCGCGGCCTTCCAGGAGGGAACCCAGCGAGGGAGGGCGAGAAAAACGACCCGCCCGGTGCGACAAAAATGGGCGATGTTTTTTTTGTTTTACTGACGTTTGGGTGCGGCTTTTTTGTGATATATTACCCCTGTTTGGTTTTGTGTTTTAAAGGGAACCAAAAGGAACCCCCCCCATCTTTTGGGAGGGGATCTAGAAAAAGGCAGCTCTCAGTTTTTTTAGTAATGGAGCCAAGAGCTGAAGCTTTTACTTCCAGGTTTTTTTGGGCAACTGAGATACATATTTAGTGCTACCCTGTGAGATTAAACATAGAATGCTTGTAATGCCGGCCAAAATTTAAGCCTTAAACTTGTTTGGGGATGCCTAGGGAGACTAGAAAGGGACCCCAACAAGTTGCAACATTGCCCCCAATTTCCGAGAAATTGATCATTTGGCCTTTCGGCTTCCAGAAGATCGGTCCCGTCCCGAATTTGCCACGAGCCGTTTTGGCAGTTCCCAGCCCTCCCCTTGGGTTTTCAGTTTTTTTCAGGTTTAGTGGGAGTGAGATTCCACTAAAAATCATCTTTCAGCAGGGGTCTAATGACAACCCATCCCTATTTCTTGTGAGAGCAGGCAGAACATCTTGGGGCGCAGGGCAGGGGTTTCCTTTATCATTTCCGGCAGGAAATGATCCTCAGCGAGGCACGGGGGTGTAGAGACCAGGAGGGATGGAGACTGAGAGAGAGAGCTCCTCAGAATTCACGGCAGTTTCTTAGATAGGGTTCAGGCCCTTGTCCACTGTTCAGTGTCCATTTAGACGGTTCAAAAGCCAATAAGGGTCAGTATTTGGGACGGTGTGTTTTTTTGAATTGGGCATCATCAGTCATGCGTCTTTCGGCACTGCACCCGGCCGAAGCACATGGGCGCAACCAATGCGATTTGTTTGTGGTCAGTCTGGAAAGGCAGTGTTACTGGAGCAGTCCCTTGATGCCTTCACGATTTTCCGTTGGGCAAGGCATGGAGTTCCGCCCAAGGCATATAGTGTGTTACAGTATTTCAGGGATTGGTGCTGTTGGGGTCACCTCAGTTCATTTTGAAGCCAAATGGGGAAGGCACCGGGTCCCTACGATGTAAGCCACTAAGCCAAAACACCGAATAGGGCTAAGGTGAGGATTTCACATGTGCCATGGTCAAATGATCGGTTCCTGTGCGTGGCTCAACAGGATCTGGTTAGGATCCTGAATAACCATTGCAATGAATCCAACTGTGGACGAAGTCCTGTATTACCTAAGAATTCCCCGGAATCATGGTTCGCCTGTAAATACCAGCCAAAATGGGCTCCCATAGTTTCTTAGGCGGTGCAGATCTTCGCAACTCACGGTGTTGAGGGAACCATGGCCATATCTGACCATGGCCCTCATGTCATTTCCAAACATTGTGGAAATCCATCTCGGCAATGCCTGGTGCAAAAAGGCAACCGTGGGGGGACCTTTAACCTGCGTTGTTTGCTTGGGTTTTTGAAAAACCTTCCCCAAACACGGGTTCCTCCAAACATAATTCATCAGCCCTCGAAATGTCAACCAGAAAGAGTGCCGCATATTGTTCGAAAGCACGGCTCATCGAAGATGGCTTCCACTGCGCCCAAACCACTAACACAAGGGTAAATTGGGAGAGAGAGAGAGAGAGATATATATATATATACATATATATATATATATATCATATATATATATATACACCCTTTATACAGGAGCTATATGGCCGTGAATTTAATAAGGAACCTCCTGGAAAGTGGTTGGTGAGCATAAAACCCCCACCTAAATGATGTCCACCAGAGGGTCCCTAATTAAAGTTCATGCCCATATTGTAGCTGTACCCCACTAACCCCCTGGGGGTAGCTTCCGTTTGGGGGTAGTAAAACCATCTTAGAGCCTCCAACTGGTGGTGCTTCATGCGGCAACAAAATGTTGTTGTGCAGGTCACCATGGCACGGCTGAACCACAGCAATGTGCTGTGCCACTTCAGCCATAGCGGCGTTGACGACATGTCCGCGACTTGGCTTGCTTTGGGCAAAGCGAGGGGGTGTTGAAGGCCATGATGTGTGTGTGTGTGTGTGTGTTTGTTGGGCCTCCGTGGCTTGAAAGGGACAACACGGGGGACATATTTTGTTTTTGTCAGGCCTTAATTTTGAGAGCTCAAATGTTTTGGCACACCACTCGCCTTTGCTTCACCCATCAATTTGTTGCCAGGCCTTTGGCGGACCATCAGCGCTTTGACGATGATTTCTGGGGTCAGCGGGTGGGACACGTTTGGGAACCCGCCAAAAACCAGTGTGGTGGACAATAATTAACCTGATTAACATCAAAATAGTGACAGATAGTGGCAACATTAGAATGCAATGTGTGAGGCTGTAGCAGACAGCCTTAAGGTGTTCCCTCTTTCTGCCAAGGACGGCACATGGCAATCAGCCCTAGCACACCCCAATCCCAGACGAATCAGGTTGTCACAACTCGAAATCCAGAGACCCAAGCTGGACAAAGGCTGAATGCTGGGAATTTGCCAAGGAAAAGACCTGCCGCTTTGGAGACATCCCATTTTGTTTGGTCGGTTCTCCTGTACAATGGAAATAATTACGCACACATATGTTTATACACTTATGTGCAGGTGAAACTAGATTTAGATTTATATACACACATATACATATATATATATATATAGACATATATATATATACATATACATAGATATATGCATACATACATATGTCTGTTGTTGCATACATGCCTCAAGAAGAAGCGGCTTATGCTGTGGCTACCTCTTCGTGTTGTCTGCGACCCTGCGCCAAATCTGCATGGCGCCGAGGACAACACCTGCCATTTCGGGGTGAACAACTTCTTCTCCGACAGTGGCTTGGACGCCCACGACACCAAGGGCCACGCGACGCATCTCTTCTTCCCGGCGGACGTGCGCCAGACGGCCCGGCGCTCGATCTGCTCGCTATCTGAGCGATCCCTGCTGTCCTTCACTGTTCTGTGCATGTTTTTGGAGTTTGTTGCTGTTTTTGGGTTCTGTTCTTTTTTACTGGGGTGCTGCAAAAACAACAACGTTTTTTTTTGCTACCATACCAAGAGCAGAACTGTTTTCGACGGGTGGTGCTCCATTGGCGTTTCAGTAGTTTGTTACTTCCCCTGTTGGTTTTGGGGGAGCTTGTTGGCTTCTTTGATTCCAGCACAAGGCAACAACAAACATGAAGCATCTTGGTTTTTAAGGGGACCTACTGTGGATGGACGAAACCCTGCACCACTTGAAACCATAGGAAGCCATTGTTGGTTGGTATTGACTTAAGGGAATCGAGTCATTCCCGGGTTTTTCAGGTGGTGCGAAATGAGTATCAGTCACGGACATATGTTATCACTTTTCCCCAGAGAAATGGAAGTGACTGGCACAAGACTTGGCCGCATGGAATTAAAGAAACCCTAGCGGAATACTTCCATGTGGTTCAGATTTTTTGTTTTCCCCTGTTGGTTTTAAAGGGAATCTATCACTACTGGATTTATTTGTTTACTTTTTCCAGGGGACTTAAGCAAATTGAGGAATATAGGTATGGATGTGTGAGTGTGTGTTTTGTTTAGGGTACCCCCGCAAGGGTCAACAAAGGGAAACCAAAGGGACATCATCCAACAAAAAAGGCGTACCCTCAAACCCAGACAGGCCCATACGAAACTTGGGCCTTCACCCAAAAGTCAGTGGGTTTCTTTTGGATCACTTCGGCTTCCTTTCAGGCCGACTCTACTCGCACTGGAAGCATCCCGGAACCAGGGTCGATTGATAGATTTCCCTTGTGCCTTGTCAGGTACTTCTTAGTTAGTGGCTTGGATTGGTGGAGTTGAACCCCTGGTTCTTGAGGATAAATGGGACACCACCCAAGCTCCACGCCTCCAAACCACCGATTCGGCTCCAAACCACCTGCTTTGAGGGAAGCTGATATTGTAGGGGTGGATGTGTTTTGTGTATTCACTCCAGGCTCATAGTGTGGATTTCCGAAATCCCCTACAGAAATGCCAACAAACGTTATGGTTCCAATCATGGTTTCTTCGGTTGTTTGCGAAATGCGTTACTCGCAGCCATCCACAGTAACACCATTTCGAATTGAGGCCAAGGTGGTGGACAAGATCTTTTGGATGCAGGGCCTCCGCTTCATCTACACCACACGCTCCAAGGCGCGAATTCGAATTCCGAGCCCGATTCGAAGTTCGAATTCGCGGGCCTGGAGCGGGAAACACGAAACTCCGCCGGGCTGGAACACTCGCAAAGCACTGGAAACAAAAGGAAAGCTTTGTATATGCAACCACCGTTTGGAGACCATTGGACACCATAGCTTGTTGGTATTTGCATCGGAATCATGGTTTCTTAGGTGGTGCGATATGGATTCGTCCATCCACAGCAGCAAGGGGCAGAGGAAATTTTGTCTTGAGATCTCAGTCTACATTTTTCAGTTTGCCGGGCGGCGGGCGGAGGCGGCTGGATCGTCCTCCCCCTTGAGGTGGAGGCCATAAGCATCCGTAGGCATCCCTCCTGCAAACTCACTGGCCCAGTGCGAATGGAGAGATGGCTTTGCTCGGCCTAGGTATAGTTACGGATCCGGGTTCCCTGGCATTTTGCCGCCGAGCTTTTAAAGTTCAGAAGCTTGGGAAACGGCGAGTTTTTATGGCTTCACGAACTGTCAGTATGAACAGCCAACCAAAGCAAGGGACGCCTATTTTGCAATGAGGACGCTCATTTGTGTATCTTCTTTGCGGTTTCAAAGGCACGGGTCCAGGTGCCAGAGATCTTGGACGAGGAGGGCAAGCCGGTCTTCGGGGAGGATTACACCTTCGAGCTGGGCAAGGCCTGGGCCATCAGGTTTTCGGCCGCCTGGGGCGCCGATTTTTTGTCTGGAACCGCGCGAAGAGGGGGGCGGTTCCTTGCTTTGCGGCAGTTGAATTGGTGGTCTGTCTATTTTTTTCCATGGGGTTCAGCCATGCCAACTGGTGTAGGACTTCAATGGAACTCATTCATACACGGTATGGGTTCCTTCAGAGCAAAACAAAAAAGATGGTGCCCATGGTTTGTTCCCCTTGTGGACCAATGGAATTGGGGGACCCGCCACCCCAGAAAACCACAAACAAGGAGACTCCTAAGAAAGACACCCAAATGAAGTATAGAATGAGGCACATGTCCGGATTTGTCGCGCGAAACTTGATGGATTTCATTGGTTTGAGTTTAGTTCCAATCAATCATCCCAGTTCCATCTCGTCCACAGCCGCACCAGGGTCCTAGTGATATTTTGCCTGAGGATTCAAGTTCCAAGATTGACTCAGAGCCTTGACAAAACGCCACAAGACGGTTATGGCCCTTAATGATCCACAATGGCACTTTTGTCTATTTCGGCATACTGTGGATGGACGAAATCCATTTCGCACCACCCAAGAACAACGGTTTGAACCATGGTTTCAACGTGGTGCGAAATGGATCTCGTCCATCCACGTAGCAAGTCTTTGTTTGACAACGACTCACCTCAACGTTGTGAGGCAAGACCCTCTTCCTTGAGGCTGATGTATGGGTTCGTCTCAGAAGTAGGGCCGCCCTGAGATCCTGGTTTCCTTTTGACTTGCCTTGAAAGCCAACACAAACCAACAAAATGGGGGCTCCCCATTTGGTTTCAGAAACTATTGGGGTTCGAATCCTCAATCCACCAATTCAAACCCCCAAATCGCTACCTGACAGGTCGCACAATTTCAGCAAAAGCACATGTTTGTTATATTCGACTTTTGATGGAGAACCACCTCAGTAGCCACCCCGCTGGCATATTTCTGAATAAAACATCACAAGAAAAAAGTGCAAAACGTGCATATTTTGCCATACCTTAAAATAAACGGATATTTGCTTGGCGGGAACATCATAACAACAAAACTTCAACACAAACCAACAAAATGGGGGGGTTCCCCCCAAGGAACGACTGAGCCATATGTGGGTATGGGTCAAAATCAAACCACCAGGTTGCCGCAGGTTTTAGTCCTTGGTTCTATTTGCCAGGCTTCCATTTTGGGTACCACATTTTGACCCACAGCCATATTAGTCAAGCACAAGGACGACCTCATCCTGGGCGGCGCCTGCGACGGCTACGTGGTGTCCTACGGGGACGCCCTCTACCGTGCCATGGATGCTGTGGGCCGCCTGCGACGGGCGGGGCTGAAGGTGACTCGGCGAAACGACCAAGGATCGCCGCGGCGGGTTTGGTGTTTTTGTTTGTTGTTGTTGGTTTGGATTGGTTGGTTTGGTTTTTGTTTGGTTTTGTTGGTTTGTTGGTTTGGTTTGTTTGGGTTTGTTGGTTTGGCTGGCTGGCTGGCAGACTGGTTGGTTGGTTGGTTGGTTGGTTGGTTGGTTGGTTGGTTGGTAGGTTGGTTGGTCGATGGGTTGGTTTGTTAGGTTCGGTTTGGGTTGTGTGGTTTTGTTGGTTTGGCTGCTCGGTTGGTTGGCTGTTTGGCTGGCAGGCAGGCTGGTGGTTGGTTGGTTGGTATGTTGGTTGATGGGTCAGTTTGGTTGGCTGGTTGGTTGGTTGATTGATGGGTATGTTTGCTAGGGTTGACAGGCAAATCAATGGAAGGAACCTCAAGCAGGTAAATACAGGCTACCAGGCTACCAGCTTCCACCATGCACTGGAGGAGCGAAAACATTTGACACCACAAAACAAGTCTTTCCAACAATCATGGAAGTGGGGCACAAGGCCTTTTCTGAAACCCCTTCTTGCTGGAAGGAGGGTAAACCAAAACGAGGATTCGCAGACGACCAGACCAGACAAAAACTTGCGGAGCAATAGCCAACAGAACTCAAGCAACGAGCCCAAAAGAAACAAAGGCAACAACTCACAACCACAAACTTGCAACACCCAACAAAAAACACCCACAACCAACCCATAAACACTAACAACCAACCACAAATACCAGCAACACGCCGACCAACATGCTGACGGACCAGGCAGCAGCTACTGCTTAGTATGTTTTTTTTCAATATAAGCAAGACACCACAACAAAACAATCAGCCAGCCAGCCAGCCAGCCAGCCAGGCAGCCAGACAGCCAGCCAACCAAGCCAACAAAAAAACAATCAAACAAAACAAACCAAACCAGACCTACCAAACCAACCCATCAACCAACCTACCAACCAACCTGCCAACCAGCCAGGCAGCCAACCAGCTCGCCAACCAGCCAGCCAGCCAGCCAGCCAGCCAAACCAACAAAGCCAACCAAACGGAACCAAACCTACGAAACCAACCCATCGACCAACCTACCTACCCACCAACGTGAGTCTTCAAGCGCGCAATGGTTAGGTGGGCCTGGTGAACAAGTGCCATGGCAACGCTGTGGATGAGGAGTGCGGGAGCTAGTGAGCGTAGTTGTGGACATCACGTTTTGTTTGACAGTTCACGGATTTTGTTTCACAGTTCACGGATTTCCGCATGAGATGACAGCTAGGGTCTGGAGCACAGGCGCTGGGTCTGCGCAAATTTTCCCGAAATAGCTTTGGAGCTTTGTGCAAAATGTGTGTTTCCCGCTCGCCAGTCACGCATTGGCCTTTTTCCTCGGGTCAAGTTTTTCTGCTTTTGCAGGTTGGTGAAATGTAATATCATCTTTCGCCCACCGCAACAGGTCCTGTTCTGAAACCAGGACACTCTCTACTTGCGGTAGGATGTGGGGAGTCTGGTGTGACCCATCCCATTAAGCATTGGGCTGTTCCTGTTGTTGATGCCAGGCACAGGATTCAAGCCCTTCCTCCCCTAACCCTCCCTCCTTTGCTTCTAAACAAGGCTTACGCAGATCTTTCTTGACAGCATGGAAAGTGGGGTCAAGGCAGGGGACGGGATCCTACTTGGATGATTGATGCGCCAATTTAGTAAGTGGTTAGTAAGCCTAGGTGATAAATAGTTAACTCACTCATGAGTTAAGCTACAACCAGCTTGCTAACTTGCGAATCGATCACTGTTGTCTCTTCCCCACGGAGATTCAATCGTTTCCCCTGTCATCTTCCGGACTGGTTGCAACTCGAATTGCGACGACCCAAGCTGGAAAAGGGGCTTTTCGTGGGAATTTGCCAAGGGCAAGACCTGCCCCATTTTGTTTGGCGGGTTCCCCTGTATATTAGAAATATTTACATGCATATGTCTATATATTTAGGTATACAGATTATAAATATATATATATATATATACATGTCTATTGCTGTATATACGATTGGCTTCGACCACCCAAGCACGATGGTTGTCCACGAGGAGATGATGCAACGCCTCTGCCATGCCAAGTTCGTGCTCGTGGCCGAGCGCCTCCGATGCAAGTAATTCGTAGACCCAAAGGATTTTTTCTTCGGGGGGTGCCATGTTTAGGGAGTCGTTTGGTGATTGTTATACTTTTTTTTTCCGGGGGGGGGGTGCCATGTTAACCTGAAAAAATGTGTCAGTGAATCTTCGGAAAGCTCTCTGGAGCCACCGATGTTTCTATCAATTGGAGGGATTTCCCTGGGGCCATGTTTCTCAGGGCTTGAGAGCCCAAGTCTGGCCAACTCACCCTAGGACATCTACCCAACCCATTCTCGGCTTCGATTTGCTTTGAATGAAAACCAACCAAATGCCCCAAAGGAGCTTTCTCCAAGGAGTTGTGTTTTTTATTTGGAGCCATGCGAATCTGCGGGGGAGAGACAAAGAACTTCGAACATCTGCTGGTGAGTGAAAAATCGCCTATGGTCTCACCCCGTTGAAGGCCACCCCTGCAAACCTGATTCCTTTTTGGAACCGAGGTTTTGGGTTCCGCTTTTGGGTTATCCTGCACTCAGAAAACACAGACGGATATGGAAATCTCGTTGTTTGTTGTTGTTTTTTTGAAAGCAACTTTTTTAGGTTAAGAACGCCTTTTTGGGCTCTCATTTTAGGAGCAAGCCTCAGGCTCTCCTAGTTTCTGCTTGTATTTTTTTCCTGTCCGGAGACCTCAATGTTGACCCCAGATTAATCAACCCCTGTGTATTACTATGGGGGGGCGGTCGCTGGTTTTCATGGGGATTTTTCTATTTTTGGCGTGGAACTTCCCCCCATATTGATCAGCAGGTGTTTATTTTCATCCGGGGTCGGCATCAGGTCCCAGAACGTGCGCACCGGCCTGGGCCTGCGTATGGGCTGCTGGCTGCTGGAGCGCGGCTTCGGCGGGCGCTTCGGGCGCTGCGGTACGCACCGCGAGGGCTGCGGCGGGACGTGGGAGCAGGCGCACCACCAAGGCGAGGAAGGGGGGATGAGGGGGGAAGGGGGGGCTTACCTCTTAAAAAACACAACTTTTCAACTTTTTGGGTAACATGGGTATATGGGGGATGGGGTGGGGAGGTGGGGATTCGGGGATTTGGGGGGGATTCGAGGGGGATTCAGGGGGATTCGGGCGGAAACGGGGGGGAGAGGGATGGGGTGGGGAGGTTTAACGGGGTTCCTTACTCCCTGAGTTCCGTTTTGGGGTTTAGTGGCTGTTTGGGTGTCTTAAACTAAAAGTTCGGACTTTTTGCTTGGCCACTCCACTCAGGCAGTGAGGGGTGCCTTAAGAGGGGTTCGTATTAGGGTGTACGGAAAAACATGGTTTCAACCATGCGTTCTTAGGTGGTGCGAATGGAGTTCGTCCATCCCGGCAGTACGGTGCCCCTTCAAGAAGCACCCCAAAAAGGGACCCGCAGACACACCCCGGTAGGGGATCTTGTTCTCCCTTCAAAACCAGTTTTAAAAGGATTGGCCAGGACCATTTCCGCACGTTAAAGGGCTGAGGACTTCTAGGTTGTGCAGATCACGTATTGTAAGTTTAAACGCCCAGAGACTTGGAGGAGCTGAGTACTTAGTGGTTAGCATTCAACTTAGGACTCACTTGCCATGCTTTGGAAGTCCCCTGAGTGGATTGTGACCATGGCTAACAACCTGGATAGCCAGTTGCTGTTTTGGTTCCGTGCACTTTACCCCAAAAACCAGCAACAGTGACTGAAAAAGGCAGCAACTTGGCTACCCAGGCAGATGCAGAGTTCTGTTTAGTTGAAGATCCAGAAGTTCCGCTGGCTGAAGAGTGGTTCCAATTAAGCCCGGCCAAGCGGGTTTATCGGCAGGAGTGGAATGCTCACCACATCTCCCAAACCTTGGCGATTCCCATGCAATCCCCTTAGGTTGTTAGTTGCTTCTACTTAGTTTAGCTGTTAGTTGGTTTTCGTTGCTTTAGATTTCCACTCAACCCACTAAAAGTTAGATTTTTCAGCAGGACAACCGAAGGACAGCCCTGCCCACCCCACCCCCACCCCCACCCCACCCAGACTTCAAACGCCCTGTGAGCCGCCGAAAGTGACGGAAAGGCTACGACCCTGCCTCGGTGGTCACCAAGATTCTGGATCTGGCACATGCCGCCGGAATAGGCTGGCGGGGGATAAGCGGGTGAGCCAGTCGGGTGGCGAGACACTCGACGCGTTGGACATTGTTTTCTTGTGTTCTTGAGGGTGCCTTTTTTTGTTTCAGGGAAGGGGAAGGGAAAGTCACTCCTTTTGCTTTATTTTATTTTTTGGGTGGGGTTCCCCTATATAGAGACACACTTGTATGGTGAGTGGGTCGGACATCCACTAAGAGGGCCCCTCTTTATTTGCTTAGGGGAAGGTTCGACATTTCGGGTTCTGCCTTTGATGGACCCCCCTCTTCGGGGCGAACTGGAATCGGCTGTCACGTCTTCAACCCTTGGGGGAGTATCAGGGGCTTATTTTGGCTTAGGGGCTTATCCAGGGGAGGCCCTCTCTCAAGGGTTGTTGTATTATACCCTGGGAGTACACCCTTGGGAAATGACCTCAATGGTTCGACATAGCGCGGTTTTATCCGGTCCGGAAACATGCAAAAATTGGATCATTTCCCAGTGGGTGTAATCTCAGGGTGTAACACACCTTGGACTCTCAGACCCGCCACGAGCTCCATCAAGACGAGGGAGCAAAATTTGGTTCTCTGGACTCCCGAGAAGACTTTGCGTCTTTCAATCGGAGCCTAAGAAGTTGTAGTAAGGACCCTTCCGAGGGTGGGAGGGGGGGTTGGGGGGGGGTTCCTCCAGTTTACACTTGTCGGGAAAGACAGTTTTAGGCGCAAACACAAAGTTCAGACGTTTTCTGGCCAATCCACTCAGAAAGTGAGGGATCGTTGTTGGGCTGATTATTGGTTGCTTCCATGGATTCACGGCTGGTGGCGCAGAAATTTGGCACCCTCCAACAAACAAATCTGGCACAACACGACTCCACGAGTCTTCCCAACATCTTTGCTCACCACATAGCCGAGACCAAGAGGATCTGAAGGCCATTCATGGTTGTCTTTGTTCCCAGCGCACATGAGGCGAGATCTGCAGTCTCATAGGCTGTTGGAATCACTTTAGCTGGCTGCGGGCAGCACGCGACTGGACTCAGTTTGCCCGGAGCCGAATGTTTGTTTTGACATGTTGCTTCCTACTCTGGATGGACAGGGAAGTGAGGTTTAGGGTATCAACAACCCCCACCTTCCCAAAATGAGACCCTAAGACAGCAAAAGAGTTAAATAAGTCAACAAGTCAGCTGCTGGTTGGCTTGACGAAACAATGCATGAAGCAAGGCGAAAATGGCCCCCCATTCTTGGTCCACCATCTAAGGAAGCGGCTAAAGGAGAACCCCCCCTTCCCTTCTTGAATTTGCGAGCTCCCCGGGACAAAACGACCAGCAAGATGTGGCCCTCAAACCTGAAAGGCCTGTAAGGGAGTTAGAGCTCAAGGGAATGATCCAGAAATGCCGCAAAATAATCAAACCATACCTACTAAAAGACCCGAGGTTCACAGGTGCTCAAAGGCTCGTGAGACGTTGAGACCTGTGGATGGTTGCGAAATTCTGCACCACCCAAGAAACCATGGTTGGAAGCAGTGTTTTTGGCATTCACAGGGGAGTCCAATCATTCCAGGGATTCTTGGGTGGTGAAGGATTACAGTTCCGGGACGGATTGCTTGAGCAATCAGCAGCTTCAATTGGGGGAAGTCTGGGGTAGACTTAGGATACATTTTACATGTTACCAGTGACTCAAAGTGAAGCAAACAATAAAATCTACATTCTATAACTGGGCCTAACTCTAGTCATGAAGTGAGGCTCGGGTGGGGGGAATTCCATGAACCTGAGAATTCCATGCCAGGCAATCACTCGCAGTTCATGGTCGAGGGCCATAAGCACCGCGCCATCGCACGCGCCCCAGTTCCTGGTGCCCCGTAGTGCTCTTTTACCCCTTTTTTTGGGGGAGGGTTCCCCTACCAAAAAAAAAGGCAACGGACAAAAGTTGGTACCCTCTTTAAAGGAGGACCTAGTGGGGATTGGGGTGATTTCAACTCTCCACCTGGAAGTTTTCATCAAACACCCCACCAGACTCACTATGAGGTCTTAATGGGCAGGGGCGCCAAGGGTCCTCCAATTCGTTCTGTGGTGAGCCATGTCCCGATTTTTTTGTTTTTGGGGGGGGTAGAGAAATGGAAAAAAACTGGGTCCTGGCCCCCCCCCCCACTCCCCTCAAAGATAGGGGGCATTGCGAAGGCCTGTTGAGATTTTCAGCCAAACCAAAGGCAGGCTACCCCTTTGTTTTTCTCCACGACATCCACCGCTTCAACTAGGTGCCCCAGTAGTGCCCTGTTACCCTTTTTGGGGCAGGGTTCCCCTACCAAAATAGACCCTTATTCTATCCTCTCTACTGGAGGACCTAGTCAACTGTGGCGCGCGAGGGCAAGTGAAAAGGCAAAGGACAGCATGACGCCGCTTCGGTGAACTTCTTGGGCCTCTGAAACTGAGCACCAGGGAAGTCGCAAGCCTCACCAATCAGTGGCTCAAGGCCTCAAGCGGACGTATTATGTCTCCCTCTTGGATCTGAAAGGGACATGACCACTCACTTGGCCACACAACGAACCATGGTACCAAGCTGATGCCTTGGCGAATGATTAGCCAAAGGCCAAGACCTGCGGTTTGCCCCAGCTCTTTAATTTAATCAAGTTGCGGAGACCAGTTCGGTATTTTGTGAGTGTGGGGTCCTAACATTTTCAGTTTGGAAGGATCGACCCAGTGGCTCAGTGGCAATGTTCGGTGCGCAATTAGGTTGTGAGATGTGTGAGATGATGGCACCCAGAATGAATCCACTTCCCACAAGAACGGGGGTCCTTCTCAATCGGAGGGGTTCTGCGTCCAAAGTGGTCAACGGATTTTGGTATGGAGTTGTCTCAAGTTAGTTGGAAACCCTCCCCCCCCCCAACCCCAAAGAGGTCCCCCAGTAGTGCCCTTCTCTCCTTTTTTTTGGGGTTTTGGGTTCCCCTACTGAAATATATATATATATATACAAAACAGAAAAAGTCGGTACCAACTTCTTCTAACCTCTAGCGCCAAAAAGGGTTACCGGCCCTCCCCCCTAGCTTCGCTCGCCACGGATCGCCACAGATCGCTCGCCGAAACGCGTAGGCAAGGCCTCTGGGCGCGGGTTGGGCATCGGAGACGGCGGAGACGGTGAAGGCTGCGCCGAGCTTCGTTGGTTTCATATGGCAGTGGGTGAAAACCGTTTTGGGATCCCATTTTGGGGTAGTTGCACCACCCATTCTAGTCTATTTTAGTGGTTGGATTGGGATGTTCCCTGGGGGACGGGATTTTGACCCATGGCCATATGAAGGCATAAATTGAACACATGATTTTCTTTGGCACTACTTATTATACTTGCCCCATGATTAGCTCACTTTCGCAAAGCGAATCGACCTTTTACCTTTTGGTTTTGCCATTTTGAAATCCCATGTTGGTCCTGGGCCCGAAAAGGTGGACCGTTTACTTCCAGGTCCTTTGGGCAACCGGGGACAGCGACGAGAGTTTTTGAGGGTACCCGAAATGCCGTACCACCAGGCCAGCTCCGCTGTTTGTCTGGCGGGGGGAGCAAAACATACAGATTCAGAAGGTTTGTGGCCTTTGAGCTTTGGGCTAGTGAATTGTTTGTTTTGTTTTTTGGGACGAGCAAACGAGCAGACGGCAGTTTTCTCTACCAACAAGCAAACGAGCAAAAATTGGAGTGTTCCAAGCACATGCCAGTTGTTGTCATGCCCCATAGTGAATTTCCCCCAGTGGGTTCCAACATCAACTTTGGGTTGCCTGGTGTGGCATGGTGAGCGCCGTGTTTGACAGCCTGATGAGAAACGGTCCCGAGATGCTCTTGAGAGGGATCGGTGCGTGCCATTCGAAGTATCCTCACTCAGCCGATCAACCCTACAAATCACGAGGCTTCACCTGAAGAGCCAATGCTGAAAAGAAGCTCTCTGTGTGCTTGGCGCCTCCGTCCAAACGCAAGCCATCAAGTGATGTAGGGGGAATATTGGGAGCGGCGTCCAAGACCGCGGAACATTCCCACCTCCTTTGGCCAACTGACTCATTTGCAATCGCGAACCGACCTGCGGGGACCATTTGGGGTTCCACTCAGTTGTTCAGGGTTTGCGTTTGCAATTTGTTTTTTCCACCAGGGCCACTGAACAACTTTTTCCGGACTTTTTCCGACATGTCGCGCGCGATCGGGCAACGGGCCCTCCACACTGGGCTATAACTTTCACAAGGGGCAGTGATGCCCGAGGTGCGCGTTGGCACTCCAAAGGTGGCCAAGAACAGAGCACCAACCGCATTGCGCGGTTGGGGCGCCGCAAGTTGAACCACGAGCGCTTAGCGCTCTCCTGAGGTGTCCAAGAACTGAGCACCAACCGCTTCGCGCGGTTGGAACGCTGCAAGGTGAACCAGAAGAAATGAGCAACGCGAGAGCGCCACAGGCAGTGTGTTCCAGCCCATAAGTTTCGCCGTAAACGCACCAGATGGACCCTCAAGCAAAAACTGACGGCCCGTCGCCTCTATCCAAGTTCAAGGCCCTTCCAGAAGAAAAGTCAGAGGAAGCACGGCGCAGAGGTAACGAAAGCAGCCCGTTGCTGCAATAAAACTTGCACCTCCACTTCATATCACCAACAAGTTCCAGGAACACACAGAGCCCATAGGTGTTCAAAGTGAGCAGTTCCAAATTCTCCACGAACCAAATGCTCTTGCTTCCCTTCGCCCCGGCATGTGAGGGGAGGGCGCAAAGGAACTTGGCACGCGCGCGGCTGAGATAAGCATAGTCAAGTGTAGCCTCCTCTTGATGTAGGCAAAGAAGAGCTCGCAGAGACTGCGAAGAGCCCACGGCAATGCAAACCACACCGACGCCCGCATTCGTACAACGCTCCAAAATTATAGAAATGTATTGCAGGATGTTCGCTGCACTCAAGGCACCTTGTGTGCCTACTGCTCTGCGCATGAAAGACCAGGACCATGAACCACCACACGACGATCCAGCAGACATGTGGGCCCTGCATCTCCATATTGAAGGAAGACCTACACCACGGTGCACCACTGTAGATCATTGCAAACCTGTGTCCATGGCGCTGCGCGGCCCACCCTTTGGTAGGTTGCTTGGGCCAGGCTGCCATTGAACAACTGGGTCTAGATAAGGTTTAGCATGGTGAAACTTTTGGAAGGACCCAGTTGTTTTTTCCCCGTCCTTTGCCGTCAAACACGCAGACCCAAGCCAGGTGGCAAGCTGAGCTGCTGGAAGTGGACCTGGCTCCGCTTTCGGCCGAAGCGACTGGAGGTTTGCTTCGGCGGCGGCGCAGTGGCGCAGTTTTGGGAAACTCACTCCCTGAGTGAAGAGCCCGAGCCTTGTCCTGGGCCGGGGCCACTGGTGCCGCAACAAGGCACCAGTCGAACCCAAGAGTTTCCAGTCTCGCGGTGTGCCAATGCAGCACGCCGCTTGTCTTTGCAGTGTCCATCTGGGAAGGAGAAACTGAGCTGCCGGATTTTGATCTCAGCGATCCGTGGTGGCACTTTGATTTCTTTTGATTTTGGCTGCAACTGCAGAGACTGTTTCCTGCGCGGCATGTTGCAGGTGAGGCATGGCGCCGCTTGAAGGATCGATTCCGAATCAGCTTGCGGATCAGACATACTGTGGATGGACGAAATCCTGCACCACTGTGAAACCATAGGAAGCCGGAAGCCATTGTTAGGCCATGATCCCCCGGCTTCTCAGCTGGTGCAGGATTTCGTCCATCCACAGTATGGTGCACAAGGGGCACAGGCCCACTTCAGACATTTGGTGCTCTCCGCGTTCTTTGGCGCAGCAGGCCTTGCCGAGTTCCACTTTTTCAACACCGGCCACTGGCCGGATGCAGACTGCCCACGCGAAGGGTACACTTCGCTCAGCCGGTAGACCTTCGGTAGACTCATGGGTTGGATCTTTTGAACCCGGATTCCGGGTGCAAACAACTCACCCTGCCCAAAGCGAAACGGCCAAAGTGACCTTTTGGCTTCCCCCTTGGTCCATTTTCAGCGCTTCACCTGTTGATTTTCAGGTCCTTTCTTGCAGGAAGACAAGGTTGGTGGCAAACAAACCGTTTGAACTTTGTCGTGCCAATCTACATCGGAAGTGCGCGTACACATTTTGACGCAACATGCAACGCCCAACCCCGAGGCTGCTCCAGGCTAGCGCACGGAATGCTACCTGCAGCAAGGTGAAGGAAAGGCTCCCTGCGGCTCCATCCGTTTCGGTGCGCGGGGCGATGAACGGACTGGGCTGTTCCAAGGCAATCCGCAAGATACTTACCGAAAGGGGTCACAAAGGGGATTGGTCCTCCCTTCGCGGCGTTTTCCTTAATGCGGGCGGATTAGGTTGGCCGACACTCATTGAACAAAACCTAGGTCCCCCAGTAGTGCCCTTTCTCACCCATTTTTTGGTTGGGAGGGTTCCGCTACTAAAATGGACTGCAGTGGAGGACCTGGAAACATGTGGGAGCCACCAGCGCATCGAAACTGCCTGCGTCTTTGCTGCTTTGTTGGGAAGCCTGATGGAGACCCGGGGTGGTTCAGCTAGGGTTTCAGGGCGCCGGGCGGTTGGGAACCTGGGCCTTTCTTACTTCCATTTGGTGGAGAATATTTTTTTAATTTTCCCCTGTGGATTTGAAAGGGAACCTATCACTACTGGAAATATGTTTATTTTGTCCAGGGGACTCAAGCAAATGGAGGTTTAGGTCTTTCTCAAGGTGCCTTCCCATTTGTTCCTCATCCGATTTCCTCTGTTTGTTTTCTTCGTTTTTTTCAGAAACGGTTATGGCAGGGTTTCCTTCATTTCCCTGTTTGGATTCCCCAAAGTGGGTGTGTCAATGGAAGGCCGATGGGGAAAATTGATCAACCTGTGAAAGGGAGACTCACTTCCTGAGTTGATGGACTTTAAACTTTTTGGAAAGACCATTTTAGAGACCAAAAGAGAAAAAATAAAAAACAAAACAAAACAGACTTTTTTTGTCTTCCTGAGTTTTGTAAATAAAAAACAAAACATACTTTTTTGGCCAGTCAACTTGGGGAAGTGAGGAACTCCAGTGACTGGGATCCCATCTGAGCCAAGTCCACGGCCCAAGCTCGAGGTGCCAACGGCCGTGTTTGAAAGAGGAATCGGTACCCAGGTTGCTGCGACTGGCGAAAACGCCGGGCCTCAACAAGCGACACCCCACATGGGGCGCATATGTATTTGTACATATGTAGCATCATATGTATGTGTATATATATATATATATGTATATCTGTGTCTATAGGTTTTGCATGGTTTTGCGTAAAAGTACATAATGCATTTGAGGCACATAGGGGCATGTAGTCATTCCGCTTGCTTCAGGTAGGTCTGCAGGCTAAGTTTCGCCGCAGGTTTCTTCGCAGATGGCCCAAGGAGGACTCATGGCATGGTATGGTGGCACACACGCAAGTCCTTAGCGAACCGACAACAAGAATGGAGGCTAATGCGAGTGATTGCATGATGAATATGTATTTGCGCGGGGACCATTTAAAAGTTCACAAATCAATATGCATACAGATATGTTTATTTGTTGATTTATTTACTTGTTTACTGTTACTTCTTTATTTAAGTAGCATGTGTTGAGATTAAGGACTGCCAGGTGAGTCAGATCTCCCTACTCCAAGTTACCCGAAAGTGCGGGTTTGAAGGGTCTGCCCCCTGAAAAGTGTACTGAGCCCTGAAATTTTGGCAAGCCTTCACTGCACATGCAGAAGCAGTCCATGAGCCCAAACAGATAGATGAAGGTTAGTAGGGGACATGAACCGCAGGGGCGGCCGCCCTTGCGATTCCTGACAGGTAGACCCCTTTGCTATGAGCTGTGTGTCGCATGCCAGTTCCGACAAAGTTTGATCGTCTTCAAGCACACATTCTCAAGCAACTGCAGCGGATTCAAAGTGGAGCGAACGGATTTGGTCCATCCACCGCACTCACTGAGCCCGTTTTCCAGAAAAAGGTCAGGTCTCGGTGCCCGCTTCTGAGAGCATTCTGCTCATCGATGGCCACACTGAATTCTGTCAGCCGCTGTGAGGCGCTTACGCGGAGTTGTTTGTTTGTGTTTTCGCGGTGTTTGAACATCGGTTTTTTTTTTTGGGCCGGGACTCTTTTGGGTGAATTTCATGGCCAGCCTAAAAGGGAGCCGACCTGAGCTGACTGGTTGGTTGCCCTGATTTGGTCCAGTGTTAGCCAAGCCATCCCAAAGGTTCACCGGTTAACCTTGTGTTTCTGTCTTTCTTAGCTGAGCATTATGTTTACGTGATTTCTGTATCCCAACCAACGAAGCCCTATTCTTCCCCTGGTTCGTAATTTTGCACTTTACCCGGAGCCTTTTGGTGGCAGCCCACATGTAAGCAGGGTGTCGCTTTTTTGTCCCCACTTCCCCGAAGGATTCCGTGACAAGTTGGAAGCCTTGTCAGCTTTCGGAAAATCACAGCCCTCCCTAGAGAGTCTAAGATGGATCCCACTACCGCCAAACCACCGCCCCAGGGGTTGAATGCGATATTATACAGCCGCTACATTGGCTACATGGCCACCAGATAAAGCAATTTTGGCCCGGGAGAAGTGGCTCGAGGTAGTGCAGTGGTTTTCACTTAGAAAGAGACTCACCACGGACGGCAGGTCGGTGCCGGGCACATACTCCCCCTAAGGCGAGACGCTATGAAGAACACTGTTTATCAAATGGGGGGAATTTAGGGAGCCCCTTGCGGTCGTTTAAACAAAAAGAACGAGGGCCATGAAAGACCTTAAGAGCCACCCAAAAGGGGCTCTTGTTGGGTTGCCATTTGATGGACGCCATTTGGCTGTGGTTCCTGCTTTTGCACATCCGACCCTTGTTGGGCTCCGAAAATCCGGGGAAGAGAAGCAACGGATAACCTTCTTTTGGTGTTGTTAAGCGACCTAAACCGTTCCCCGATTTGTCAGGGACACCCATCTGTCATCCTCGCGCCAGATGCTGCCGACGGAGATCTTGGCACAACTGCTCCAGATCGAGCAGCCCGGACGCCCGGAACGTCCACTTTTTCCCGTCCTCCCCCGGTTTTTCCCGTCCCTTGTCGGGGGAAGGGTGGGCCCCAGCAAAGAAACCAAACCCAAAAATTGGCGCCCAATCTGCCATGGGTGCCTGTCGCATCAGTTGCATCGCAGCGGGCGCTGGGCGGCTTCTCCCACGGTGGAGCTTTTGCCACGGGGAGGCGACCCGTGTGGGGTAACGGCCAAGCTCTAGGGGTTGATCTCTTGTCCATCCTGTTCAACCATCCTTCTTTTCAAAAACTGAATCCGTGGGTTTCTGGAGGTTTTCTTTTGAAACATCCGGATTCCTGAAAGGAATGGGGAAGGTGGTGCTAGACAAGCAGCACGCCCGGGAACCGGAACCCTTTGGCGACACAAGCCCAGCATTCGCTACCCCACAGCGATTGGGGGAGATTTTTTTTGCGGGGGACGCCAAATTTCCTGCTGGTTGCCCTTTCGAAACCACGAAAAAGGGGTACCCTCTAAAAGGAGGCCCAAATGTTACAACGGTTGCAGCCATTTGCAACCTTATCCTGAGAATTTAGAAGGTGCATCTTGTTGCCTGCACGCGTGCCTAGAAACGCGAACAACAGCATGAAGCAATCCTTTTTGAGGGATTCCTGCATTTTCTGAAAGAGGTGGTCAACAATCCACGAAGCATTGCAACAGAGTGGGGCATGCTGAGCGCCATTTCCCTTACTCGCCCCGTGCTGTTGTGCTGAATTCATTAAATACAAAAACGACAAATTAAGCCATCAACAAATACGGTGGATGGACGAAATCAATTTCGCACCACCTAAGAAACCATAGGACACCATTGTTGGTTGGTATTTACGTTGGGGGAATCGACTCGTTCCCGGGCTTCCTGGGTGGTGCGAAATGGATTTCGCCCCAGCGCTCGCAAGCCGAGCTCGCGAGGCAGTGTTGCCCTCCGACGCGGCGGCCTTGGACGGGACAAAAAACGTGGGAGGAATGGCGCCCTGAGGCCTCGGTCTGGTCACCGAATGTTGACCCCCAGATTGAATCAACCCCAGTTTTACTAGTAGTGGGGTGTTCCCCTCCACAAACGATTCCGCTCTAATCCCAGGGACACCCCCCTATTAATGAACCAGGGGTTGATGAATATGGGGTCAACATTATGTGAGTTGCAGGGTTTATCACCCTGCCAATGAACCAAAATGACCTCCTGGACCATTGGACCAACCCACTTCCAATCCCGAACTCGGTATGAATCAAGTTCAGACACCCCCTCGCCTCAAAATGGTGTTGCCTCCCATGGTGTGATGTGATGATGAGAGAAAGTTGAGCGAGCTTGTCCAAAACGAAACAACCTGTTCAATTTGCTCACTTGCAACCAGCGTGAATCGACCCTTTTGACCTTTTGGTGTCCCTTTGAAGCTGTCCTGGCAACTGAGAAAAATGCCACGTCTTGAA